CTTGTTTGACAGACTTAACCGTAAAAGCCATCCCTTGGGACTGGGGTGGGGGCTGCTGCCCTCCGCATTGGGACCCGGTCTGAAGGAAACATTCTAAACATTTTTCATATGGCCTGGCCAAAAAAAAATATATCATATTTTCAGGACATCTGCTGTGCAGGGATAGAGACCATGTTGTAGGTCAGCTCGTATAAATATAACCATCGCTTGACTCAGCAATTTTTAACATATGCTCCAACTCCGAGTATGTTCATGGTTTCCAGTTAATGGAAATCACCGTTTTCTCAGTATAAGGTGGACATTTCCGTGTGATTTCTTAGACTTGTTAAATTGCACAGGGGACTATAGTAAAAATATAATATGAAATGACGAATTCCTGATGTTCAAACAACTGACGCTGCAAGGGGGGGGGGAAGCCTGTTTCAATTTATTTGCACATTTCGCACGTCCTACATGTATCTTGGGCATACCCGTATTTGATTCTAATCCAGCTACATCTCACAATATCCAAAGACAGGTGATTTCTCTGGCTTCATTCAGTTTAAGAAGGAAAGACAATTTCCTTTTCAAATCGTGCTCATTGTCATACCCCCCCCCCCCAAAAAAAGACAAAAGATGCTGATTCTCTTTTTCTTAGATGTAATTCCATGAAGACAGCATGCTTCTACAACATCAATCTGTTTGATTGTTAACATCTTTTGAGATGGTTTAACCAGTTTTCCGGGATACCCTGGAACAGAAGGATGTCCACGATAGGTCATTCCATTGGTCGGGGAGGGGCAGCAGGGCTGGGGAGCAGGGATGGGGAGCCAGGAGGACGGTGGGTCACGTTAGTCCAGACAGCCAGGCTTAAATCCCAAAACTCACAAACTGAATTGTTTTGGATGCGGATTGCCCCGATACCTCCGAGAGGAAACACAAGGTACGCTCTTAAAGACATGTCAAAACGGACGTCAACGAAAGATCTCATTAGGCAAAGAGCCCCCTGATGACTTAAATATAACTCAAGCGACAGAACCCTGGGAAGGGTAGGACACAGGTGAACGGGAGACCCTCAGGGCACAGGGGTGTCTAGACATAGAGGGGGGAGACAGGGGGTAACGCTCCAAAACTGTGATTTTTGACAGGAAGACGTGTTGGGAGGATACGCGGTGCCTGGTACATGAACGTGTTTTACGTTCGTGGCGGCTTCCAAAGAGCTGTAACTGAGGACGAGACGTGTTATTGAATGGGTCTCGGGGGTGGGAATGAAAAACCAGAGCATGAAATTGATACTTCCCGCACAATGGCTTGAGGTTACATTTACGAGATTTTAAGAATTTAAATTTAAAAAGCGTTTTTTTTTTTAAACTTGTTTCATTTTGAGAGCTGGAGGGTGGGTCACGAAGGCTCGGTCAATGACTGATTTCCTTTTAAGACTCTAAACTGATGGCAGCAACGTCTGCATTTCAAATTCGGCAAAATATTGTACGGGATATATTCTTTCAAATTTTTTCTGTTATAATACCAGCAGATTTTGGGCGTTGTAACCTGACAATTTATATATGTTGAAATCGAATCGATCGATTCTTGCGTAACCTACATGTAGGTTATTTAGCAGTACCTTTGAATTTAATTTTTTAACAAAACCTAAGACACTAAAAGTTCAATGAATAGAGATCACGGAAAATAGCCATGAATATGAAATTCAAGTGACGGACATTTGGAAATGTCTCACTCCCAATTGACCTATCGCTGTTCACAAGCATTATCCAATCACAGCGTCTGTTGACTATCACGTGATATTGCAAACCTTGGACACAAACAAATTCCAAACACGTGCGATCCACCGGCATGTGCGTCCGTCCGGGCTGTTTGTCGGCAATCCGCGAACGCATGTCAAATTTGAATGCAACCGCTCGGCCCAATATCATGTTTTCATGTGCTTATCTTGCTCGCAACACATTAGACAAATAACTTGCCTCTCCACTAGCTGTCTTAACGTAACCTCCTATGGAAGGATATTTCGGAGAAAAATCTCCTGGCAAATGAACAAGATGCACTGCATGCGTCATGCTTGGCTGTAACTCCGCTGGGCGCGATTCGACGTGCGGTCCATACATCATGTACACAGTGAGAAAAGTCAACTTCGGATGCGCACGTGTGTGTGCAGCGAACGCATTGAGAGCGCATGTGTTATGCGCCGTTGTACACTAGCAGTAGCGCGTACCGCGCATCGCACATACAAGTACATGTGCAGCTAGTGTTCCAAGTTAATTCGCGTGGCTAACTCACAAATGGCGACTGGTCAGTTTCGAACTCCTCACTGCAAAACTCTAAAGCATTCATGCATCAATTGTTGTGTGCAGCAAATAATGAAAACAGCATTTTGAGAAAAGCAAAATTAGTGCTAAGTGAATTAAAAATCACGCGCTAAAAAAGTTCACAACTTTGTGAACATCAATTTTGCACCCACTTTGGGACGGTCAACAGTAATCTACACCATTCAAACTGGGCCTTGGGAATTTTAATACTACATTCTAATATCACGTTTTAAATTGACGTCAAGTGAATTATGATTTGCTGAAAGGTGGGAATGATTGATGGCAATGGGGGCAGGAAAGTGATTGGCAACCGATCATACGGAACAGTGTTTCCTACACGCTTCCCTTAACCCCCACACGACTCTCTCTCTCTCGTTGTCTAGACTTGGTCTGGTGTTGACTCGTGCCAAGGACAATGTTGTGAACTCTCTGGGGGACCGAAACCAGACCAAATGTTTGCCTGGGGAATGTGGGGCAACAGGAAGTTGCTAAATGAGCCGTGTTGGATTGTTAGCGGGCTGTGGTCATGATTGGTACAGTATGCATATTGGGTTGGTTTAATGTTGTTGAGTACCCACTCCGGATGTGTGCACAGCAACAGAGGGCGCTATTTCCTCATCTGTAGCTCTACGTATGTCGTACCTGTAGTTATGTACACAAGTCCCCCTAAATTGTAACAAAGAGTTTTGTAGACACATGGTGCTGCATACATTGGAACTAGTATTGTACTACACAAGTCATGCCAATGAACCCATGGCCATCTTTGAAATCTCGGCTTCATCTGCAGTTACAGCTTCATCGCTGGCTCTTCAATCCCTGTGTAGTGCCTACTCGTGAAGCTGAAGCCAAGAGGCAAAGCTGGAGACACAGCCACAGTTTGGAAAACTCCCAAACAGAAACATGACCACAGTGAGAGCCAGCAACACAACTTGTGGTCAGATGTCAGCCGAGATGGCAAAAAAAACGGTCTTGACAGGCGAGGGAAAAAGTTGAGGTTTTCTGACAACCAGCGGAGGGATTACATGACTCAATGGAAATCCCTGTCACGTGACCTCGGCATCGTTTGTCTGTGACTCGGGAGGTCATCGCCGTGTCAAATGCTGCGTCATAGGAAATGCCGCACATGAGCGCGTCTGTATTATTGTAATGGTGGTGCATGTACCATCACTTGTCTGCTTTTATTGACCCTAAAGCTCCATGATCCTCGCAAAATCCACCCGATTATGTAAGATTTTACACTTACAGGAGTGGAAGGCGTAGAGTGAAGTCACTCTAACTTTACTTGGGGGTTCATGCTCTTTGAGATTTCAAGAACGATGTGTCATTGGTTCCTGCACAAGATTTCAGAGCATACTACGCGTAGAGTACATGGACATGTGTACATGTACACACTAAAGCGTGCAAGTTTTCTACGAACCGTTCAGCAGCGCCATGAAAACTGACCGCAATAAATTCGGTTAACATTGTCTCTTCCCCTCGCCCCACCCCACCCTGTTGAAACGGTGCCAACGCTTGGCTGCGATCCCAAAACAACCCTCAGTCAATTTCGTAATCTTCAGTCTGCGGCAATGGTGGCCGAATTAAGTGGTACGTGCATGGCTGGCCCTCAAAAGGCCTATTTCATAGCACTGCCTATAAATAACATAAGCCGGCTAAGCAGAGACTTTGCCATTGGCAAAAAAATGGTGACCATTTAGAAATGTCCTGTGCAGTACAGGGACTGGGCTGGATCTTACCTGATATTTATTGATTAGCGATACTTGTCTTGCTTTAAATAGCAATTCCAAGATACTGGACAAACGCAACTATGTTATAGGGCTAAATAAGCTTGTCAAACAAACTTTCATCCGAGTATAAAACCCAGGTCACCGACCGAAATGCCATGCAACAGAAATCATGATTGACTGGTCCATAACTACTTTTTACTTCGTAAGTAAAAAATGTCTGATCTTGGTAATTTGTTTTTCAGTATCCGGTCCAGACATTTTACTTGGCCCCTCATAATGTCTTGCTTAGAGCATGTCAAGGTTCCGGTCCGAAGAGCGCTCTGGCTGCTTGAGTCTCTAAAAATGAATCTCGAGTTGCGCTCTAGGCACTGACATGACTCATAAAAAGTCTGGCTTAGATAGATAGTGCTATTACGTGTCAGGGGCTGCCTTCAACTTAAGCTGAAGGGTCTACCGACTCGCCGCGTGAAACAGGATGAGGGCGCTCTCTAACCTTATAACAAGGGCGTGCGAAGGACGCATCAGTGGTTCGTGCGTACCATTTACCACAACCGTTGCGTTTTGTGGTCTGAGACTATGGCGGCCGAAACAACCTCAAGAAGGAAAAGCTTTACGTTCTGAAAATCTAGCATAATATGAACACATGCATTGTGTGTGGATTCTTTCCTGTGATCTCTATTTAAGGACTAAGATAGCTTACACGCCTATCAACATGTACAGAGAAGCGAAGCCAATCACCAGTCACATTTTAGGCCTCCAATGGCCGCCCCTATGTACATTCAGTGCAACAGTACAGCCTGCTTTAGCAAGATTTGGTGCACGGGTTTGTTTATGTCTAGGGCACTCAAGATGGCACCCCAGTGACTTCAGCCTGTGATCAAGATGCACCATCCAATGATTATACATGCATCAGAGGTCGGTGATTCCTTACTGCATGCACTGTGTGAGATTGAAGGTTAGGAAGAATTACCTCAAACGATATCGGGGACATGAGATCGGAGTGGGTTCCCAAGACGTCGCTAGATGCCACGCTGGAGTCTGCTGCATCCAGTGAGTCGTCGCTGAGGTGGACCGTGGGTTGCACGGCTGCACTCCCTCCATTCCCATTGGCTCCGCCCTCAAGGGTCGATGTGGGTGGGTCTGTCGGCTTGGGTTTCTTCTTCCTTCGTTTATCAGGACTCCCTTTTTTCTTTTGGAACTTGGCCAACTGTAACAAGGCAGGGGGGATTTGCAGAGAATTTTAAACATAATCCTCAAAAGACATCTGTAAGTTTATATAATACATAACTACAGGCCCACTAGTGTGGCCTTGATATTGCTAGGGCCAAGTTCGCGCAAGGACTATAGTTGACCAATGGTTAACTAACGTTTGCCCGAACTCTGTCTAGTCAACGGTGGTTGACTACGCTAGTCGACTATTTGGAACCAGCCTACTGGGGTTGGTTGCTTCGCTGGCAACCATTGGCCGCGCGCATTCATAACGCTAGCAGAGAGCCAGGATCCAGAAGTTTTGCGATGACATTTTGACCAGCGTTTGACTAGAGACGTTCGTATGTTGCTATCAGTGCGCAGGCGTAAGGTACGTCAAAAATCAACCACTAGTCGACTAATGGTCCTTGCCCGAACTTGGCCTAGGCTGTGCCCAAGGGCAACGCATAATGTCAGGTCAGCCCTTGAGAGACGGTTCTATGTTAAGAGTTTACAGCATTTTGAAAGTACTGGAATTTGGATGTATTCTATGACCTCTCAGCTTTGCCTCTTTGGCATGTCGGGTGGATTACGAAATCTTACGATTCTCCAATTCTTTGAGAAATTTAGGCATCTTTCTGGCTCAGATATGCGAACGTACATTTACTGATGGCAACCTAGGCTGCATGTATACGGCTGGAAATTTGTCCATTTTTCAATAATCTGTGGGAAAGAATGTTGCATCCTGACGAATTTTGTTAGAAAATACTCTCAAAATGCACTCGACTCTCAATAGCCTTTGTACACAACCAAAAACTGACTTTTGCAGATGACTGTCCAGTACCAAAGTGACTTTAGCAGGCTAAAGCAGTCTTTTTTCTTCAGATAAACTCATATTTATTACTTGTCATTTTGAACATGTTGAAAGCACTTTCAAAGAAAATGTGACTTTCCTACTTTTTTTGCATTTCGCCATCTTGCTTTGTAAATATCTTTTCTGTTTGCATCGTCGCCTTTGACCCCTGATAAATCAAAGCCCTGCCCTCTTTCTACAACATTTAACCTGCTGATATTCAAAGTGTCATTCAGGCATGCAACTGGGAAATCACAAAAAAAGAGGAAATTCAAATTTTACCGAGACTTTGTACAGTGTTTTACTATTTTCAATGGCACACATGGGAAGTAAAAAAAAGAGGAAATCAGCTGATCCGAGGAAAAGTTGCATGCCTGGTCATTGCCAACTGTTCAATTGTGTCAAAAAAATCAGAATGTCACTTTTGAGTGTCATTTAGTCAGCTGGTTTTTTAGTAAGTCTTTTAGGAGCAACTATAGAATGCAGGGCCACGCCGGAGCAAAGTTTTTTTTTATTCTGCTTGGAGGCGTGGTGGATCGAGGTCGGCGATGTGAGGATAGCAGTAATAGGCTGACATTGACAATATAATAATATGCAAACCTGCAAAAAGTGCTAAGTACAGCGAATGCACTTGTCTTCTAAGCTTCTCATGAAGGATCGGAAGGGAGGGCGCGCTTGTAAATGTGTCGGGCCGGGGCACGGAGTCGCAGAGACACGCGCCGATAGAGGGCGCAATTCTCGGCGGTATTTTTTTTGAGAACGAAGCATCCATATCCATTTTAAATGGGCTCGCAAAGGAAGGGAGGAGGGCGAGGGGGCACTGGAGTCGCGGAGTCGCGGAAGCGCGGAAGCGCGGAGTCGTGGAGTCGCGGGGCCCTGGAGTCGCAGAGGCGCGGAGTCGCAGAGACACGCACCGATAGAGGGCGCAATTCTCGGCGGTATTTTTTTGAGAACGAAGCATCCATATCCATTTTAAAAGGGCTCGCAAAGGAAGGGAGGAGGGCGATGGGGCACTGGAGTCGCGGAGGTGCGAAGTCGCGGGGCCCTGGAGTCGCAGAGTCGCAGAAACACGCACCGATAGAGGGCGCAATTCTCGGAGATATCGACTGCGGCTCCACGATTCGGAGGTAGGTCGACTGCGGCTCCACGCCTCCACGCAGCCATACGGAGGCGTGGATGTAGAGTGAAGTGGCCCTGCATTCTATAGTTGTACCTAGTCCGAGTAACTTGGACCCAACTTATCGCCTTTTTTAACATTTTGGACATGGTCTGGCGATAGTGGGGTCCAAGCTAATACCGCGACCTGGACAACATCATTCTGTCACTGTCCCAAACCAACATTTTCCAACAAAAAACATCAGATTTCACCTTCAAAACGGCCTCCAAATTACTAGATATGCCACCTGAAGTACAAGTAGACATCGATGATTAAGATGTAGAGTGCTGTGTAAGTTCGCGGTACGCCTAGGAGTCGCGCTGGCTAGCCATGCGCCTGGCTAGCCAGCGCGACTCCTAGGCGTACCGCGAACTTACACAGCACTCTTCATCAGGAAACAGTCGTCGGCGCGGCGCAGGGGAATCTGCCGTGCATGCAGTGCATTGTGCGCAAGCGCGCCGTCACGACCTTTGCATGAGGTTGAGGTCAGACACCATTACCCAATTGGGAACGCGTACACACAGCGTATCATGCAGTTTTGAACGTGAGCACAACAACGAAAACCTAGGCAGAGGGGGTCTTCAGAATTGAACGGAAAATTTCACTTTTCTTCCGGATCGTAAGTAAACTTAAGTACAACCATCTTAATCATCGATGTCTACTTGTACTTCAGGTGGCATATCTAGTAATTTGGAGGCCGTTTTGAAGGTGAAATCTGATGTTTTTTGTTGGAAAATGTTGGTTTGGGACAGTGACAGGATGATGTTGTCCAGGTCGCGGTATTAGCTTGGACCCCACTATCGCCAGACCATGTCCAAAATGTTAAAATAGGCGATAAGTTGGGTCCAAGTTAGCTGGAGTTACCCAGCCCTGAGTTTTATCATTGGGTTGTCTATTACTAGGGCTGGAGCGCATTTTTCTCGTAACTTGTAGTATTTGCAAAAAAAATTTGGAAAATGTTCAATTTTGTCCCCGTTACACACTAATTGCAACTGCAACTCGCCCCAAACTTGCCTGGAATAACCATTACACAGGTCCTTGAAGTAAAAAACGATCCACGATGAAGATTCAGCCTACAATTGCAGTGAAAACAGGAGGAATAACCGCTAACTTGACAACCTTGCTGGATTGGCCAGGACCGCTATTGGTTTGTGCACAAAAAAAATTGTTTACAATGAATGGCGGTCGATTAACGGGCACAGAGAGCGATCGCTGTCAACTACTCGTTTTTGCCGGCTGCGCTGGCTGTTGGCGCATGACGTCACGCGGAAGCGTAACACCCGATGACTGTTTTATGCACTATTGGTTGCGGTTCCTGTACCAAAGCTGTGATGCGAGTGGTAAACCTTATACTAGTGCATGAAACAGTCATCGGGTGTTACGCTTCCGCGTGACGTCATGCGCCAACAGCCAGCGCAGCCGGCAAAAACGAGTAGTTGACAGCGATCGCTCTCTGTGCCTGTTAATCGACCGCCATTCATTGTACACAATTTTTTTTGTGCACAAACCAATAGCGGTCCTGGCCAATCCAGCAAGGTTGTCAAGTTAGCGGTTATTCCTCCTGTTTTCACTGCAATTGTAGGCTGAATCTTCATCGTGGATCGTTTTTTACTTCAAGGACCTGTGTAATGGTTATTCCAGGCAAGTTTGGGGCGAGTTGCAGTTGCAATTAGTGTGTAACGGGGACAAAATTGAACATTTTCCAAATTTTTTTTGCAAATACTACAAGTTACGAGAAAAATGCGCTCCAGCCCTAATAGACAACCCAATGATAAAACTCAGGGCTGGGTAACTCCAGCTAGGTCCAAGTTACTCGGACTAAGTTGTACCGTCTTTTAACCTGAGGATTACCGACAGTTTGACTTTCCTACCTTTTTTTGCAGTTCGCCAATTTGCTTTTTTAGACTTTTTTTCTGTTTGTCTTCGTCTTTTACCCCTTTCCTTTCCCTCATAAATCAAAGCCGGCCCTGCTCTCTTTTCACAAAATTAAACCTGCTGATGTGACTGATATTCAAGGTGTCATTGCCAACTGTTCAAATGTGTCAAGAAATATTAGAATGTCACTTTTGAGTGTCACTTAGTCAGCTGTTTTGGTGAGTCTTTTAACCTTATGTACATAGTGTCATACATGACATAGGAACGGGGTCCTAAGGATTACCATTTGAATACACGGCGCGGCGCGTTGAACCTGAAAATGAAATTGTCCGACATGTCCGAAGTTGTGTTTACTTTTGAATCATTCAAACTCACAACAAAACTTTACATCGACTACTTTGTCGCGATGTACACATTCCTTACCCTTTCACGACCAGCTTGCAACTTCTTTTTTCTTTCTTCGTCGTCCATTTTCAAAGATATTAAAGATCAATCTGTCCCATACTGTATCGGCTTTCGTGCAGCGGGGACGTGGAAGTTAAAAATGGCGGACATCCTGTGAGACTTTTTATATTTCGAACGTGTACTTGATGACAAATTCAACTGCCGCCCCACCCCGCTAATATTAATCATTTTTTTTATTGCTAGAATAAAAGGAAAGATTCCCATATCTGGCCATCACTAGCAGTGGTCACCCTGTGCACAAACCCTATGAGACTGGTGTGATAATTTTTAAGTGTAAATAATTAAATATTTCCCCTGCTATAAATTTTGACTTTTTAGGACTGTATTATCACTTTCTGATGGCTGATAGGTCACTGAAGGGAAAAATTAGTGATGGCCAGATATGGGAATCTTTCCTTTTATTCTAACAATTATATAAAAAACAAAAAACAAATCTTTCTGAATTTAAACTTTGCCAGCCATTGGACTTTCTCGAGAAACTTTCCTCCCTTATTTTCTACGCCATATACACGTTCATCACCAAAACTGCATTCAACCAGAGAGTTGCATGAGGGCGCTATTCAGTAAACATTGAAAGTGTCGTCTGCTAAAACTACAAACGAACAAAACTCCTTCGAATCATATTTTCAGTTTATTTCGACAGTTGCGGATCACAAAGGTACAATTCCAATTTTTGTTAATTACATAATAAATGGTTAATCAAACGTTACATCCTCGAAAATTAAGATAAATTGTTCGTTTGAACTTTAAAAATGTTGTGCTTAAGTTATATTTTACAATACAAAAATAGTGAAAATGTTAAGCATGTTAAGTGCAGCCTGTAAAAACTTCACACACACACATACTTTACAGAACGTCAGATTGATGTAAAATATTTTTGTAAAAAGATTGACAGTTTAAATACCATATTTGAATGCCCATTTTTGAACATGTTCTCCACTAAAAAAAATTTGCAGCATCGATTCACATTTGAAATTTCTGACATTAAAGATAAAGTAGCATAATAAAAGGGTTTAATAGTCAAATTAACTATTTAAGAGGTCACATATGGTCAAAATTTTCTTCCTCACCTCCTGGCATACCGTGTACAAACCAATGGGGGTCTTGACCAATATTTACCCAAGTAATAACAAGGCTCACAATACATGTTTCCATAGGATGGTTTTTAAAACTATAATTATCTCTTCAGGCCGGTTTCAGTATTAATTCAAAATGTTTCACACTTCTTTATTCATACAACCGTTTTATTTTGTCCCACAAATTCATCAGGTCTTCTGAACTTTTTTTCCAGAGAAGCTCAAGACATTCCCATCCTCTGACCTGCGAACTCAGAATAGACGCATTTTGGGGTTGTGCCTTGTGCAACACCAAACCATATATCAATGAATACACAAATCTTCCGGCGATCAGAACTCGTAGTAGGTGGCGCTCGTCTTGTGAGAGCGGAGCGCGCGATTCGAAGCCCGCCAGCAGATGGGCGGTACATTCCAGCGGCGAATCGCTGCACAGCATCAGGTACATCATCGAGACCGCGATTTCGTAGACCAGCGCAGTGTGTACCATTGTGTCAAAGTCGATAATGCCACTGATCTCAAAATCGCCCGCGGTGGTCTTGTCGCTTTGTTTCGTACCGTTTGCCGAATCGGCTGATCTGACAAGTAAATTCCAATGACTGCAATCATAGACAACTATGCCTGAAAGAAAAATAACAGTTGCCTTTAAATAAAGTTTTGGACTAAATCTGCCAGAAACATGCCCTTACAAATATATTTTGTAAATTATTACAGCTTTTTATCAAAACAAAATGCACCTATACAATGATGGTGGTCCCATGAAATGTGCTGGGTTTTTTTTAACCGCCCCCTCCCCCTTTTCTAACGTGTTTTTAGTTTAATCATTAATTCTATTTTGAATCTAAGTGGGTTTTTCTTATTGTCTGAAATGCTAATGACGTACCTTTCCTTAGGTCTTCCTGTATCGGGGTAACAGTTCCGAGGGTTTCGTCAATCACTTCTTCCACAAGAGCCCTTCGCAGGGGGTCTTCGACAACCTGCAGGTGATGTTTGATCTGTTGGATGTTCTCAGAAAACCAGTAGCAAACATTGGCTTTCTCCTTGAGTGGCTCAACATTACCAGGATAGGTCTAGAAAAGTGAAGTGCCAAGATGTAGAGAATTATTCAATGGGGAGGTGGCTTCAAGGGAGGAGTGGCTTCAGGGAAAAGGGACGGACTTTCAGGAAGGGGAGGGGCTTCAATGAAGGGGGAGGGGCTTCAAGGAAGAGGCTTCAGGGGAATGGGATGGGCTTCAATGAGAGGTATTGGCTTCAAGGGAGAGGGCGTGACTTCAAGGGGGAGGGATTTCAAGGGGAAGGGGAATCAAGTGGGGGAGGGGCTTCAGAGGAGTATGAGGGGCTTCAGAGGAGTGGAATAGGCTTCAGTGGAGAGGGAGGGGCTTCAGGGTCATGTGAGGGCTTCGAGGAAGGGGCTTCAGTGGAGGGGGATGGGATTCAGGTACAGAGAGGCTTCATGGTCATGGGAGGGGCTTCAAAAATTGGCTTAATTCAGGGGAGGAGATGGGATTCAGGGGAGAGGTCAGGAAGGCTTTCAGGTCACGAAAGGGGCTTCAAGGAGGGGCTTCTGGGGAGGGGGCTGGGATTCAATCCAGGGGGGTGGGCTCAGAGGGAGGGGGAGGGGCTAGGGGAGAACGTTTTAACAAACTGCCTCATATTACATTTTTGGGTTTGAAAGGGGTTTGATATGAGGGATGGGGTTCTTACCAAATTTGGATAAGTGAAACCATCCTTAGGCCTACCTGCAAAGCGTGCTGCAAATCACCGATGTGTTGACCCATTTTATAGAAGAATTCCGATGGCACAGGGGCCACATCATCTAATGGCTGACCTTGAAGATAAACGAACATACGCACGGCCGACAAACCCTTTCGACTCGTGACAATGCCATCTGTTATCAGAAGGACAAATCACACCATGAAATTACGACTCGATGATTGGACCAAACAGGATTGTTTAGGGCACCCCACAAGGAATTAAATGAATATTTGGAAAGTTCATCTTCAGCATAGTTTAACTGTGCTAAAAAAAAATGATCTCATTTTCTACTTCTTTAACCAATATCGAGGATCTCGTTTTTAAGACTTTAGAGAGAATGAGTCATCAGCAGGCCCTTTTTTTTTAAATGAGGGATGTTAAAGTTTGGGCAATTTACTTAACATATCTTCTAAAATGACTTCATTAACAAAAAGAAAGACAATTTCACATTACTACTCATCGAGTCATTTTGAAGCATCTCATAGCTCAGCAGTTTGCCGTCAACGGTTGGCACGGGAACTTGGCATTTCAACTCCGGGAATTGCCTCAAGTGGTCCAAAACCTTCATCTGCACTGCGACAGTATCAGGAGGGTCGGTGGTCTCGTCTGTATTCAACACTTTGAGAATGAAGTCTGTCTGTCCGTCGATCCCTTTGCCTGGGGCCGACCTCACCACGAAAGCCCGATCCATGTAGCTGTCGAGCTCTTTCACCTCGATGGCTTTGATGGAGTACAGCCGCAGGACGAGCTCTGCTGCATCCTTCTCTGTGACAAACGGTGTGAAGAGCTTAACTTCAAGACGGTGAGCGTCCATCATGAATCTTTATAAACACGAGTGGAATTTGGAATTTGTGTTTATTCTTAGTCTTAGTTAGTTTGTCAAAGTATATGCTACTCAGCTCAGGGTATCAAATGCCAATGTGCACCTCCGTAAATAAATGCCACACTTCCACCATGTGTAAAAACATGTCGAACTTTGTAAAAGTTTGATTTTCAAATTTAGGCCAAAAAAAAAAATACTCGGTCTCTGGTCAGCGCGCGCGTCGATTTTAAACCTTTTTTTTTCAAATTAACACGGAAGCTACAACAGCGCCCTCTATTGCCGCACCTCCTCAAATTTTTGTACCAAGGAGCACCAAAGAATGGGGAAACTGCACCAAGGCAAATGATAAAGGGCACCAAGGCAAATTATGGAGGACACCAACGTATAATGAGGACACAAAAAAAGCAAAATAGTACCCACCTTGTCTGTACAATACAAGCTTGAAAAAAAAAAAAACACCAAAAAAACGGCGAATTAGAAAGTGCTGCCTTTTTCAGATGTCTAGTCTTACTACTAGCGAAATTTCCAGATTCGTTTGCACACTTTTGCGTATCAAAATTTCACTGAACATGAAATTTCACACAAATTATACATCTGAAAAAAAGGCAGCACTTTCTGATTAGCCTATAAAGAGGGTGAGTATGCTTCTAAAGCAAAAACAAACTACAAAAATCAAAATTTGACAAAGTTCGACATGTTTTTGTACATGGTGGAAGTGATGGCCTTTATTTACGGAGCCCAGTCCAGTAAATTGGCCACATTAATGCGGGTATTGATAGACCTGTGCATTATGTAGGCATGTAACTTGTAAGCCTTGTCATGCTAGTAGTAGTATAAACTTACTAGCTTGAGCTGAGTAACTCCAGCTTATTAAACAAGCTCATCAGGAATTTACAAAAGCTCACAACAAGTTGCTATACATTGTACTTCGCTAGTACATGTAGTAAGTAGTATCAGGTAAATCCTAAATCCTTCGATTAAGGGGCGGGGAACCGGCATTGAAACGGTTGCTCATGCAGGCCTCCATGGCCATGCTTAGTAACTCTTACCAGACGGTACGGTGCAACAGATAAAGAACAGCAAGGGCCGCCGATCCTTTCCAGTCTGCGCCTGCCACGATTTTGAGTTTCACAGCTTTATTGTATTGCAATGCAATGAACATCAACTGCTACTTGACTTATACAAATACAAGTGTACAATACATGCATGATGTACATGTACATGTACAGCCTGCCATTCACAAAGTCAAAGATCATCATAGAGAGCCATGATCTTTCGTCATATGCATGGTCCCAAGGTTAAGGCCAAAAAAAAAAGTCTCCGGTTTCTGGTATGCGCGCGCGTCGCCGTAGCCATGCGCGTCGGCAAAATGAAAAAGTTTTTTTTTTCAATACAAGATGATGTTTCAAAACCACCAAACTCACTGGTTTGACTGGAATTCTGCTGCTGCACAATTTTAACGTGTTTTTAGAAGGGGTTATGATCGAGAATAAGATTTATGTGGCCTCTCTGGACTCCCATATATTTGCACTAAGTTTAGTCGGGCACCATTTGCAGTCATCAGCCGACATTTGAAGCCAAAAAAAAAAAAAAAACAGGTTAAAAAAAAAAAAAAGCCGCGTCGCCGCACCACTTTTGGGGCAAGCTCCATACCAGAAACCGGAGACTTTTTTTTGGCCTAATAAACCAAGGTACAAAAGTGGCCAGCTAAGAATAACGTTTTGTTTCTCTATAGAAAAAAAATGATAGTTATGTTGATAATAATTGAGTCAGTCATACTCCTCCATGCCTGTACATATCAACAGGTTAAATGTCGTTCCAACATTGTTTTCTTTCTAGCAATTATATTATGATATGAATAAATTCAGATCGGGGTGGCGGAACGAAAAGGGGCACTTATCCAGAAAAAGGGGCACTTCCATCGGTGTGTGAATGGCGGATCCAGAACACAATTTGGGAGTAGGGTGGGGGGAGGCCAAAAAAGCTGGACCCCCCAAAAAAGAGGGTCCACAAATTCACGGCGTGGGGATTTGGGGCCCGCTTAAAAAAAGGGCCCCGAAAAAAAAGGATTCTAGATAATGGTCTGTTGTGCAATCTTCGGCAATTTCTGACCACTTTAACCGTATTTTTGTAGGAAACTATTGTGACGTTTCTATAAATAAAAACAATTTGGGTTCGCTTTTTTTTCTTCTTTTTTTTGGTGGCCCCGTTGCCCCCCCCCCCCCCACCCTCAATCCGCCCTACCTTCGGCACACCCCACACCATGGGCGTCGCAAGGGGGGGGGCAAGGGGGGGCACTTCCCCCCCCCCCTGGAAAAGCAACAAAAAAAACAAAAAAAAGGAAGAAAAAAAAAAGAAAAAAAGAAAAAGAAAAAGAGGCGCGAAGACAAAGTGGTGTAAATTTAATGAGTTGGGGGGGGGGGCAAAATGTTCCTGCCCCCCTCTAAAACTGATAAATCGAGAATGTGTTGAGAAATACAAGCATTTTTGGGCAAAAAAAAATTTGCCCCCCTCTAGAAAAAATCCTGGCGACGCCCATGCCCCACACCCTCCACCCCCGGCCGTAACCTCTCTGGTCCGCCCATCAAGGCCGTAGGAAGCGGTACGGCAGGTACGGCTATGGCCGTACCAATAATAACAGGCATATCTTTGTTTTTAATGTATGCAAGGCCTTGCATGGCCCCAAGGGTGGATTTTTTTTTTTTTGGTTTCTAGATGCTCTGTGGTGCGATCTGAGGCAATTTCTGACCACTTTAACCATATTTTTTTTAAAGGAAAAGATGGTGGTGTATGAAGTACCTGCCTCGATTGCGACGACACTGAAAAAAAAATTGGGTTCCATTTTTTTGGGGGGGGGGCATGGCCCCCGTTGCCCTCCCCCAAATTTTTCTTGTGTTGTTTTTGTGTTTTGTTTTTGTGTTTGTGTTTAAAGGGAAAGGGCGTAATCATACATGTCGCCACTAGGCCTACATGTTAAGTTAAACGGAATGGCGATTGGCCGCCACCATGAATTTTAGTTGTCCTCAGACTAGTACTTGTGTTTTCCTAAAAAGAAGTGGTTTTCTAAATGAGAAAATAGCAAGGAAGAACCGGTTTTGTGCAAGCAAAATTCAGGGAATAATCCGTTGAAGTTAATATCTTGTTGGAAAATTCCAAAATCATTCAAAGAAAGTAATTACCGCTGTGAATCAGAGTTTATGAAGGGACGGAAAGTGGGATTTGCTATCAACAAGACCGTTCTCATTCTTTACCTGATGGGATGTGAATCAATTGGAGGATGAGAGACTCTGCGAGCTGATGTATTTTTTTTAGAAAAAAAAAATACTTAACAAATATGCTCGGCAGTTCAATCATGTACGTACACTGGTATCCATACCGGTGAATTAAATTTCTAAAAAATACATCAGCCCGCAGAGCCTCTCGTCCTCCAATTTGATTCACATCCCATAAAAGGTAAATAATGAGGAACGGCCCTGTTGATGCTGATAGCAAATCCCACTTTCCGTCCCTTCATAAACTCTGATTCACGGCGGCAATTTTCTTGAAATGATTTTGGAATTTTCCAACAAGATATTAGTATCAACGGATTATTCCCTGAATTTTGCTTGCACAATACCGGTTCTTCCTTGCTATTTAAAACCACTTCTTTTAAAGAAAACACAAGTACAAGTCTGAGGAAATCTAAAATTCATGGTTAAATTCCATTTAACTTAACGTGTAGTGCATGGCGACACGGATTACGCCCTTTCCCTGTAAACACAATCATGGATCAAGCTAAAGAGCACAAATCTAGAAAGAGAGTCAAGCTACAGTTTTGATGTGATGCTTGTGATGTAATTTATCATCTTTGATGACCCACCCACTAAAACACGAATACATTTCATTCAAAAAGTCAGGGGAAAGTGGCCAGGAAATGCCTCAGATTGCACTACAGAGCATCTAGATCCAAAAAAGTTTTGCGATGAGCAAATGTCCAAAACTTTTCACTACGATAGGCTAAATTGTGACGAATTAATTTTGACGATTTATGTAAAGTTCATCAAGTGATATATACTGGTTAAACTTGCAGATGTGCAGTGCTCCAAAATGTGTCTTGTACAAATTACGAAGAATAAAATTCCCTGTATACATGCATAGTGTTGGGGGGGGGGAGTGGCTTTTGGTTACATTTGAGAGGGATTGGGTCAAATCCTGGATCTGCCTCTGCAGGCCTGCCAACTCTAACACATTGCGCGTAAGACTCACACATTTCAGGTTATTCTCATGCTTTAACGCCGACATGGGATTTCTCACGCAAAAATATATATATATAAAAAGATGATTGACTCCAAACTTGAAAATGATGATTAAATGATGATAGCTCAAAAAAAGGTTAAAGTGGTCAGAAACTGCCTCAGATCGCACCACAGAGCGTCTGGAATCCAAAATTTTTCGGAACCCTTAAGCGGGCCCCGGTCCCCACGCCGTTAGGGCTTCGCGCTACGCGCTCGCATCAACCGAGATCCCTGCCCTGAGATGAGCCTGACCAATAAATTTTAGCTTCCTACGGGCCTGCCGCCCATCATGAATTTGACTAGTTATATAGAGCATTTTCGCTTGAGGAGGATCTAGGAGCACTATAATTATTCAGTTAAGAGGGCCAGATTTCCACGAGAGGGGAAAGGAGGAAGTTGCGAGCGCCTGGGACATTGTGCGGCGAGGGGCAGTGATGGATCAGTGAGTTCAACAATTTGAGGCTTTTCTTGCGGTGTCTCGATTTTAATGTTTTAGTGCCATACTAACGTTATGTAAAAAAGAGAGATGTTAAAGATGAAATCCAGATTTTGTTTAGGTCAACATGAATGGCAATTTTGAAACATAAAGCGGGTCAGACCAAATATCGTCCGTGTATGTGGGCCTAAAAGCATGCGCATGGCTTACCCTCTGTAATGCCCGCTATGATGTCGCCTCTCATGCGCGTCCGGGTGTACCAGACCGTGTCACAAATTTGTGACAATCAAGTGAGTTTTTAACACTCCCAGCCTACACAAAGCAGGATTGACTGGCTGTACGTGACTGTTTACGTAGCTTGATACAGCTTTGCATTGACAGTAGGTGATTGATAAGCCAGCTGTACCTTACCAGTTTATGTACTTGGTTTTGGCTGTTGATAGAATTTGACTAGTCAAAGTGCTTGCTGGCAATATGATCTGTTGGGGACTAGCCTGTGTAAGGCATGGCAGAAAGAGGATTGATATGTTTTAACTGTCTCTTACAGTTTAGACAGCACGAGAGCTGGTATGGTACATGTATAAACCAGTGCATTGTATATCTTACATTTACCAACAAAAAGCTGTACTGGCTTAATTGTCTTGTTTGTAGAAGTTTGGAGTATTCCGTGTGCTCAACTCTTAACCTCTGACTCCTTCCCCGCCCACCCCACTTTAAAACAAATGTTAATAAAAGGGAATACATGTATACAACATTTGCAAACATCAAACAACAAAACTACCAAATGTTTACGAAAAACCTTACTAGGATGTTGGTAAATGACAGTTTAAAGCATCCGGTAAAATTATGGCACCTGGTGTGAACTGTGAAGTCATTTTCAAGAAAGGTGGTATTTTTGTATAAATTTCCAACGGTGGTCGGCCAACCACCGTTGGAAAAACCGAACTATTTTTCAACTACTGCTCCAAATTTACCAATTTTTTTTTTCAGTCCAAATTTGGTTTGCTATTGGTTACATGTTCATGAACGGGTGCAGGCCAGCTAGACTGGTTCCCTCACCTTACAAGTTTCCAGCATCTATAAATTGATCCATTTCATCTTTAGTGGAGTCAGGGAACCAGACTACTTGAACCTTTTTGGTTTTTTTCTTGGTTTTCCCAGCATATTCGAACACAAAATTTCCAACATGTCAGTGTAACAATATTTGATCTATTATACTAACCTCTCAAATAGTTCATTTCTGAAAATTACAGCAAAAGCCAATGATGTATATTTCCTTTAATGCTTATAGAGTACTTTCCATCGTATCAAAAATCTCAAAGCACTTTACAATAATTTCCCATTCATCAGGCCACGAGAGCACATGACAGCCGATATCAGCACACATTCTGTCCTCTACCCTCACAGGTACCCATTCATACTCCTGGGTGGAGAGAGGCAATTGTAGTCAAGTGTCTTGCCCAAGGGCACAAACACCATGTTCCTGGCAGGGTTCGAACCTGTGCACCATCGTGCATGAGTCAAACACTGTAACCAATGGACCATGCCATTCTCCCATTACCATATAATACATAAAATATGGAGGATGTATAATATTTTATTAAAACAAGCTGCAAGTAAAATCCAAATATATATGCATAAAAAAAAAAAATTCTCCAAATTTCCAAATTCTATTCAATAATACTGCAATGGGATTCTTGGTTCATAGAAACAAACAAATATTAGGAGTGTTCATGCCTGATTTTACAGACATGCTTTGTTACCATATCTTGAAGTAAAGATTGTGTTATATTTTTAAAAATATTTTTCAATATTTTGTCAAGATATAAATATAGATGCAGCTCTGTTATAGACTGTATTAGAAAAAATATTTTAAAAATTAATATATGTGGATCGCTCTATTTCAGAAATATACCATAGGGATAAAGTAATTGCATTTGACCAGTTACTGTGAAAATTGTGCGTAATGTAAATACTCTATTCCCAAGTAATGTCTATTTTAATAAAAATATCACAAAATTCAGCTGTCCACCACTGATCATTTACCGTTCTACAAACTGATGAATACCCATTAAATACAATGAAACATGGACGTTTTCCCACCTCCACGAATGAATGAAAACTTGCAAAGGAAAATATATGATAAATCAACATCAATAGTTCAGGAAAAAAAGGACATGTAACCAATGGACCAAGGCATTCTCCCATTATCATTTATAATACATAAAATATGGAGGATGTATAAATTTTTATTAAAACAAGCTGCAAGTAAAATCATATATACGTATACATTTATTTTTTTTAAATCCCCAAATTTCCAAATTCTATCCAATAATACTGCAATGGGATTTTCGATTCATAACAAACAAACATTGGGAGTGCTCATGCCTGATTTTACAGACATGCTTTTGTTACCATATCTTCCTATTTGGCTTGAAGCCCCTGCCTACTGCATTGATGTATCAAATTTGACTGATTTTTTAAAAGAAAGAAATCATAATCCAGGTCACTTTATTTTTGACTCGCTCTGTAGTTTCGTTATCAACCTTCCCACTGTCTGTTAACTGTTTGCTACTTGGCTCAAAAATAAAAAACAGATGTTAAACATACTCATTCATAACTTCAAACATACTTTTGTGACCCTATTTCCCTATATTGATATAGTTATCTTTAAAGATATAGTCCATCATTTGTAATTTGTGCATTTGAAGCAACAAACTTGTTCAAAATCTAATGAAGGATACTGAACAACTAACCTGATGAAGTTTCAACTCAGCTTTAGCTGTTTATTCCGAGAAAAACAGCATTCTAGGATCTCAATTTAAAATCAAAAGTTGCTGAATCATGTTTTGAATTGGGCCTGAATTCAGCGTCCGAGACGCGTTCTCAATGAGCCGATTGCAGCTATACGCGATGTCATGCACTGATCCGACGAATTATAGCAACCGCGCGCGCATCGTGCTAATGCTTGCGCGCGCTTCGCCGAATGAAAAAACGAACTACTAATTTAAATTTTCCTACGGTGCGTCTTAAGACGCACTGTTGGAAAGGCCTTCTTTCGTTGATTATTTCAAAATGACTTCTTGCCAGAAAGAATAATTTCACAGGGAGTTTAGTCCCCTTACTATCTTTCAATCAAGTATGTTTTTCAACAATAATTACACCAGTTACTTTTCGGATGGCTGCAAATGATGGACTATAGCTTTAATGTTGGCCAGCGCATCTTGCTTTGACGCAATCCCATAATTCCTGCAGCTGCACTTCGGACTGACTCCACCATTTCCCCAGAAGACTCCAACCTTCAATGAGTGTTTGACCCACGTACACATTGTCAGGGTGGTTCTTGACCTGCATCAAAGACATCAAAACTGACTGGGCAAATCGACCGGCAACCAAAACTTTCAAAAGTCTGCGTTCGTTCCGTGGGAGTGGGGACACCGTCTCAAACCCGGTAAGCACATACGCGGCGGCCACGATAGGTTCGTCGCAGCAGAACATGGCATACATCATGGCAATGGCGATTTCGTAAACGAGGCACGTGTACATGGTGTCGTCAAAATCGACTACGCCGGATATCTGGTATTTGGCAACGCCACCGGTCATCGGAGAGTTGTCACTGCAATCACTGGTACCCTCCGCTGAGCTGGTGACCAGCACATTATCATTATTGAAGTCACTCTCAACAATACCTACAAACCAGTAAAAACAAATAGCAATAGCTGTTTTGTGTCTGGCAGGGTTAGTTATTCCTCCTCCCCTCCCCCAATAAAAACAACCAAAATTATCCCCCCCCCCAAAAAAATCAAACAAGTCTGGTTCCCAGACCACTAGCACTGCTATTGCTGTAGGTTTCAGTGAACAGACATACTACAGCCTAAAAGAAGTCACACAGAGGGTGTTCATACACATTACATGCCCAAAATCTCCAACATCAATGAATTTCAAAGTAAGCTCACAACATTAAGATTATAACTTTGAGAGATAACTGTCATAAAAATTTGTCGTTTTTGGTTTTTTACCTTTTCTTAAGCCGTCCATCACCGGCACCACCGTTGCTTCAAACTGGCTGATAACCTCCTCTGCCAGACGTCGTTTCTTGTCGTCCTGGACAAGCGGCAGAAAGCTTCGGAGGCAAGGAACGTTTGACAGACACCACAAGTACGCCTGTGCCTTCAACTTGAGGGGCTCAACGTCTCCAGGATACTCCTGGTTGAGGGAAAAAGAGGCAATTTACTTTCAATCTTTTTCCAGGAGGATCGCCAACCACAAGACCGAGGGTTACTCAAGTTGGTGGCAACGATCAAGAAGTAAAGATGGAAGTCAAAGAGAGAGAAGGAATCTGTCGATATTTTGCTTGAGCTTTGAAAAGTTAGAAGGGAGAACTAAAATCTTGGGAAAAGAGGCAGTATAAGGAAGAAAACCTTCAAGACTACTTCAGTGCACCACCCCTTGGAACACAAGAATGCGAGGACGCGGCAAACCGAGTAGAATAAGGGAAAGTATGGGGTTGAGATGGAGGTACAAAAAAGAAAGAAGCGCCGAACTCCACTGTGAATAAAAATCCAAACTTCTTGAGTCCGTTTCATGTGGTCGGAGTCTGTTTGTCTCCAGCAGTTTGGCTACGAGAAAAAAGGAATGACGAGAAAGTAGCCAAGAAGGACTTTTGTTATTACCTGGAGGGCTTTTTGCAGTTTTCCAAGGTGTATCCCAACATCAAAAAAAAAGTTTGGCGGGAGTGGTGCGGAAGCACTCATTGGCTTTCCCGGCACAAAGTTGAACAAACGCAGTGCCGACAATCCTTTTTCTCTACCTAGCAAAACATCCCCTTTCAAGGCGAAAAGCAAATCAAAATAATCAATGTCATTTCTGAAAGGGAAAGGAAAAAATGTCAGAAAGGCCTGAAAAGAGACAAAATGACCTTTTCCCCTTCAAATTCTTCCTGTTTTGCAGATTACCATTTGTCAGGGGCAGATCACGTAGCAAATTGATACGAAGACCATTTTCAAAGACCTGTAACAATAAGCTAAAGGGAAAATTTGTTTTGGGGTTTTGATATTAAAGCAAACAAGTGGCATACACTGTTGCAAAAAGTATGATCTGATTTTTAAAAGCTCACTAATATGATATGTACACATGGTAAAATGTATTCATGTATTGAGAACAAATTAGTGAAAATGTAGGATAAGGCAAAAAAAAAAATTGTTCTGCTTCTAGTTACCGTACATACCCTATTTTGGCAGCCCACTACCCAAATTTTCCCCCTTTTTTGGGGGGGGGGAAATGAAGGGAAAAAAACCCCAAACCATCAATTACTACCCTTTACCCTTGACTACATGCAAACACCTCCATATGATCATAGACAAAAAATGCAAACAAGAAAAAAATGCTCCCTACCTACCTACCCTATTTTCAAATGCCATAGCAGAACTATTTTTTTTTGTCTATGCAGCTAGACACAGAAACAAATTTGAAACAAAGAGTACAAATTCCAGCGAACACTCTATGCAATGACATTTTGAAGAATAAGATTAGAATATTTTTATCAATAAAAACAAATTATAAAATGTAAGTCCCATAACCCAGTGTTTAGATTTTGCTTTTTTTTTTTACTGTAGCATAAATTGAATTGCATTTGAGGGTTTTTGCTAGTAGCATTAGAAGCAATTTATGCAAACAAACATCACTGGAATACCCCTTAGTACATTCCTCAGGACTACCCTGCTAAATCCAACAGAGTCCAACCGGAATTTTTTGTTCAATCCACTGTGCCTCATTTTCAGTTGTCTGCTAGCTGAGTCCAACGGAGTCCAACAATGTGTTATAATGCGGTTCAGTTGCCTGTCAAATCCAACATTTTGCATGAGGAATGTACACAAGTGGTTAACTGCTCAATCCAACAGGCTCCATCGGGTATGTGACATAGTTGGATCCTGTTGGACTCAGCAGGGTTAGAGTTAAGGGATTAAGAGTTAAGAGTTAAGCGAAAGCACTGCACTAGCTTATGTTCAGATATTAAATCAGTCACAAGGAAGTTGCTTTGAACAATAGCATGCACAATGATTTCTCCATTGAAGGGGGCCTCGTGAGAGTACAGTGATCGTCTATACTGGGTACCAACCATCTCGCACGTCATTGGGTATCATCTCATAGCTGAGTAGGTCGCCATTGACGTTGGGCAGGGCAAACTGGCACCCGAGCTCCGGATACGCCTTCAAATAATCCAAAAGGTCCGTTATCACGTCAACCACGCCCTTGGGGGCCGAGCTGGTGGAATTCAGCACCTTGGCAATGAACTCTGACCTTTCCCCGGTCCCGCAGCCCGGTTCTGCCTTCACGTAGTAGGTTCGGTCGTCGTAGCTCTCAAACTCCTTCAGTTTGGCGATCTGGATGCCGTAGCGTTGGTGTAGTAGATCCGTGATGTCATCAATGCCGACTATTGGCTTACTGGTCCGCATGCGAGCCATTGTAGGCTGTTCTGAATCTCCGTTCATGTTTTTATTGAGTTTTAACTTGCTGTAACTCCTGCTTGGGGAATAAAATGCATATCATACAAGCGTATTTGTAATTAAGATAAACATTCACAGCAAGCACGAAGTAAAACCTGAGGAGAGAATGACGAACAATTGATACGATCCAATGCATGGCATGATTGTGGAGGGAATGTACAGAAATGAGGGCACAGTAAGCAGTGGTATGATATATTTGACGTAGGCCTACAAAGTTAGGGCCTACTTAATCAGGCCTATAGTACTAAAAACTATATTGGTTATTTTGTGCAATATTTATGTCCCCATTTGTGACCTGTTCTGTCAAAAGCAGACGCTTCTGGGCAGAGGTTGAAATTAAGATAGGGCCAAAAAATGCTATGGGGGTGATTTTTTTGGATTTTCTAATTCTTGCATATTTGTAATCCTGAACATGTCTAAAATATACTATAAAAGTTTGAAACCCTAATTTGAACTCTAAAAATTTGCGTGCTTCGGGAGTCCCTTGCGCAAGTTTAATCTTGCGCGCGCAAGCTTAAACTTGCGCGGGGGGACTCAAAGTCAAATTGCGCTCGACATCGCCATTTACTCTAAGATCCTAGGACCCTGACGACATCTAAATCATGTAAATGTTATTGTTAAAGTGTAATAAAAAATTGAAAAAAATCGAGTTTTCTCCCGAAAGAAACTCTTCAAAAGGAAAGATTCCCATCTGCATCTGGCCATCACTTGCATGACTTGTCACCCTGTCACCTGTGCACAAACCCTATGGAATGGTCTGAAAATGTTTAAGTGTTTTCTCATCTCAGTAAAACTTCAAAATTTGTCCCTGCTATTTTTTTTATTATCACTTTCTGATGGGTAGTAGGCTGACAGGTCCTTAAGGGAAACATTACCAGATTACTGATGGCCAGATATGGGAATCTTTCCCTTCAAAATAAATTAACAGCGTCAGCAACAAAAAAACAGTGGGCCCTTCCCTTAACTTCGCAGTACTGCCAAACATCTTCTTTCAATAGAATAGTGATGAATTTCAAATTCACACGCCTCACCTTGTTCTCGATATCACGAAAAATTCGGCGAGTCTGTTCCTTGCAAGTCAACAATGGACATAACGGAAATCAACCAACCGTGGGACGTACGCGTACCGGCCGGCCGAGTAGACAGAAATTGCCAGCACAGCAAAAAAAGTAACACAGAGCCAATGAGCCATTCAGTGCCCGACTTCGATCGATCAAGGTGACCGTAAGGTCATGGCCAAATTCTGCTAAATGGACTTCAAAAATCTGTCAGATTGATCAAAAATCTGCCAAATTCCCAAGAATTACTCGAAACACACTATAAACACTTAAAGTCACATGTAGATGTTGTAGTATTGCCTCAATTAAGGTTCAAATTACTTTCAATTAACAATCTGCAGTAACATAACAATGTTATGAAATGGCGTAAATGTCAGACAAAACGTGGTTGCGTCACGACAAAGCAATTCCGGTCAAGTGAACCTCGATCAGCACCTAGACCAGTCAACCTTTCCCATTAAATGCAAGGGTTTGTTTGAAAAGATTGAAGCTTTTTTAACGAATGTACCTTGTTATGTTTTTCTGTCAAATATCCATGTTTGCAGAATTCTGCCAGAAATCTGCCAAAAAAAAGCATCCTGTCAAATTTTCTGTCAAACTCATTTTTCACACAAAATCTGTCAAAGTTAGCCGAAAATCGGCTAAAACGGTCTCCCTGTTAGTTTCAACACGTGTTCTTTCGATGATACAATGCAGTCCATTAATTTTTTTATAACATGTTGTCTGACAGTCACCTTGTTCCCGCCCCCGAATCTCATTATAGAACAGTGGGCTTACCGGATTGGAAGCCAGACTATTGACCCACATTTTTAATCCGCGGCGCGCGCGCCCTCTGAATTCTTAAAGGGAATATACAACATTTGCAAACATCAAAAAAAAAAAAACTACCGAATTATTATGAAATACCTTACTGGACTGTTACTGAATGACAGTCTAAAAGCATCCTGTTAAATTATGGCACCTGGTGTGCTGACATTTTCAAGAAAAGTGGTATTTTTTAAAATCAATTTCCAACGCTGGTCAGCCGACCAGCGTTGGACAAAAACTGGCTTTTTTTCAAACGCTGCTCCGAATTTATCATATTTAGTTAGTCCACATTTATTTTCTTTGCAATCGATTACACACCTGTGAACGGGTACAAGCCAGCTAGACTGTTCCCTGAGCTTACAATTCACCGATGTCTATAAATTGCACTAGCTGTTTCATCTTAAGTGGGGTCAGGGAACCAGACTACAAGAACATGATTGTTTTCCTTGGTTTTTCCAGCATCTACGAACACAAAACTTCAAATAAGTCAGTGTAACAACATTTGCTATAAAATACTAACCCCCAAAATCCATGCATTTCTGAAAATTACAGCGAAAGCAAATGTTGTATATTCCCTTTAATCTGCGAGAGTCGCATTTTGAAGGAGGGCCGGGGGCTGGGGAGGCGCTTAAGCTCAGGGGAGGGGAGGGGCGTAGGTAGTACCCCCTCCCTGGCCCTCACCTCCTGTGAAAGGGGAAAACAAAAGAAGGAGGAAAAAACGACAAAGAAAGAAAAGTGCTTTTGAACAGCGTCCCAAATAGTGAGATGATGTCCACCCCAGCTGCCTGACTTGGCCCCTCACTCATAAGTTCTCATTTTCTGGAGGGGTCATAGCTTTTATTAGAAATCTACATGTATTTATTTCGCCGGGGCCGGGCCCGTATAGTTTTTTTCCTAGGATGGTGAGGGACGGGGCACCCTTTATTTCTATTCTATTCATAGTTTATTAAAACAATTTCCTTTGCAGCCAAAGGCTGAATTAGGGATACATTTGTACAATTTACTACATAAAAAGTAGAAAAGACTTAATATAAAACGTCCAAAAATTAGCACACAGCGTTAGACACAGAAAAAAAAGAGCGAGCCAACAATACAATTGTGAAAATATGAGGTTTTACGTTCAGTTAAGAAAAAAAGTATTTGTAAAAAGGGATATCTAAAGATTTTTAAAAAGTTGGTTACCGTTTCTATGTAGAGGGTGCTAAAAAAGTTTAATAAAAAATATAAAAAAATAAAAAAGGGGCGAAGTAATTTTATGCGAGTAATGTTTGTTACCAAAAGTTCTGAAGGTAGGACTAAACAATTTAGTGCAACCATGGTGCAACGAAAGTGTAGGACTAAAACAATTTAGTGCAACTTGAATATATGCGATGCCTACCCAGGCCTAGCCTATGACAAAAAAAAAATAATAAGGCATATTATATTATTACTATCACTATAATCAGTCCTCATTATGATGAAATGTGGGTATGATAGCTGCAAGTACTGTGACATTCTGATATTTTCTTGAAAACTGTTCCTAAACTTTTTTTTACATTTAATGTTTCTATTCGACTGAGATAAGTTTAGGTTGACCCATGTTGACCCCGTGGCAGTCAGTGACCCCAAAAACTTAAATGCGCATGCGCATTTCATACGTCGCCGGCCATTACGGGAAGTTCGATACAAAAACCGCGACAATTTTGGTCCGCATGTTCAGATGTTTTTGAGGAGATGCCGATGGTTTCTAAGATAACTTCTGCCTTCAGGACTTGGATCGGTTCTGACGGTTCCCAATCGAGTCCGGTGCCCAGAAAACGGACTTGGGCGAGGTACGTCAGCGCCAAGTTTCGCGACGACGTTCGTTGTTTGGCGTGCATTGTGAACGTCAATTGTGACTAACGTGCTTTTCACACTGCCATGCCAAACGATTCTATTTCCGACACCAAACGACGGACTTTGTCACACAATTATTTTGCACGATTCAGAAGTTGTAACAACAACTCCAAATGAAATAAAGCAGCGACATTTCAGTCAGTGTTGAGAATTACTCCTTTCGCCTTTTGGTTTTTTTTCTTGACTTGAATTGAAGTTGAATTCGCAAAGCTGTGAAGATGAATAGAAGTCTCGGGCGCGCAATGAATTGTGGGATAGAAATTGAGATCGTGTAGTGTAGGACCCGGTTCCTTTAGTTTTAGGGAACAAAATCCACTTTAAAATGATTGGACCTACCAAACTAGTTGGCGCGACATACCTGTTAATTGAGAATGTCGCCATGGCGACATCTCAATTAACAGGTATGTCATAGATAGAGGGCAGGGTTTTGATTTTTTGATGGAAATTTGGGGGTAAAATGACGATGACAGGGCGGCGACAACACGTGACCCGAAAATAAAGATGGCAATCACCACGCGATGTACCGTGAGCACGCACGGCGCGCTGAATTGCAAAGCACAAACCGCGCAGGAAAATCTTGATTTCTACCCCAAGAATCTGTTCAAAATTGCAAAACGGGTGTCATTAGAATTGAGAAAAGTCTGCTTTTGATTGTAAAGGTGATTTTTGAGCAATAAAAAACATTTTTGACTCTAATTTGATCAAAACAAAACAGGGGCCCTACACTTCACGATCGCCAATAAGATGACCAAAAATTTGAGTTGGAAAAGTTTGACTTGTGGAAATGATCTATAGCCGAGGACGGGATTACGTCATCCGATGAAAATTCCATTCATTTGCACACCAGTTTTCATCGTTTGCTGTGTGTTACAATTCGGCACTCCAGACATGCCAGACTCAGTCTCAAAAATCATTGACAATGTTGACACGATTGAGTTTCAACATGTTCAAGAACAAAGGACTAAGAGCTAAAACCAATGTCAAAACTCCAGGATCTCCGCATCTGCCTATTCAGTAACCTGCCCAATACTAGATAAAGGCCCAATTGTGCACTTTCTAGTTGTTGCCATTTATAATAGGGTTGTATGTTAGAATAAATTTCGATAAAATTTGTTCAATCGTTTCAAACCAATAAAATAAAACTGTTTTATTTTATTTGTTTGCAGCGGTAACGTTCAGCAGCATGCCGAACAGGATATCCTGGAGACGCCACAGCCAAAACGAAGCAAACACAGTCACGGTGAGGTTGATAAATAACAGGCCTAATTACTCAGATTAAACGTTTACTTGGACTTATCAGACAGAGAAGAAAACAAAAGACACCTCGTTCTGTATTCTGTCACTGGTCAGATTCAGCAGGCTTCATGTTTTATCGTAAAATTCTGCTTGATCCTTAAAAGATGTGATCCAAAAACACCAGTAAATTGCTCTTTCAATTTCATTTTTGACTTTACAGAACCTGTATTCCAAAAATATTCATTCGTTATCCATTTTGCCTCAAACAGAAGACCTCACCAGCCCCATTGGCAAGGTGGCCAATTGGATCAAACAGAAGGCGTCAACGTTTGGTGAGAACTACTTCTTCCGTCCGGTCGGCATGCAGAATGGCTTCGAAAACCATGCTGTCACTTCAGCTGACGACTCTGAGGATGCCACGGACAAACCGGTAATTTGCTTAAGAGGTCACCAATGGTCAAAATTTTCTTCCTGGCCTACTGTGTACAAACCAATGGGGGTCTTGACCAACATTGACCCAAGTAATAACCAGGCTGAGAATGCATGTTTCCATAGGAGGGTTAAAAGCATATGTGCTTCCCAAATTCATCGAAAACCAATTCCTGTGTTTTGCTTGATTTTGAAAAATCTAGTTTGGATGTCATAGGCTTACTGACCCTAGCCAAGTCATAAAATACTGAACATACAGAACATGAAAAATCATGAATAAATTTACGATGGATTTTAATTAAATGAGTACAAGGACAGAATGCAGTATCCAGTTGTGTACAAAGTCTATGGAGAGTCGGGTGCATTTTTCAAAGTATTTTCTAACGAAATGGGAAATGTTTCTCCGTACAAGATTCATGTCTTTTCAACATTTTTGCCATGACTGACCTTCATTGAGATAATATATGATGAAAAAAAGTGGCATCAAGATGCAACAGTATGATTACAAAGATTTTTATGCACAGACATTTTATACTCTTCTGAACCCTTTCGTGTTTTGAAAGAAACTTTGAATTGAGAGACAACCAGAGTTGTAACGAGTCACTGATTTTTGTGACTCGAGTCGAGTCGAGTCATTTTAAAGAAGTGACTCGAGTCGAGTCATTAGGTCAACAAAGTCAAGTCGAGTCGAGTCACAGTGTGTGGTCGAGTCGAGTCGAGTCGAGTCAAGTATTTAGCTCGAGTCAATTCGAGTCACAAATATTTGAACACTATATAATAAATTACAATAAAAAGCAACAAACACAAGAGAGAAAGAATACAAGGCACCAGTCTATTACGAAAATCCAAAGACATAAAGTATGCTGTATGGTACCCAACCAACAGTTTCCATTGCTAGCTCACGTCACAGATAAGAAGATGTGAAACTTCGGTCTTATAACTGTTTTGGATTCGGGTTTAGATTTTGTTGTTCGCTGATCGCTGACAACTTCAAAACCTAATTACATTATACAAAACTGTTTCTGATTATTTAAAGGTGGTCCCATCCGTATCCATTTTTTGTGTGTGTGAAATCGGGACATAAGTTTAGCCAGCGTTCCACCAAGAGCTTTATAAGAAATTACCCGAAACCAATGATGAAACCACGGATTGAGAAATGCGTTTTAAGTCTGGTTCCGGATTTAGCATTACATGCTATAGAACCACAAGGTGGGAGTCCGCGACACGGTGTATGTTTGTTGTATCATTATGGAGGAAGGAAAACAGACGGCCGCTGTATATGAACGTACATAATTCGCGAACATAACGTGACGTGAACAAAAACTGGCAACGCGAACGGCGCGGCGTAAGTCATTGCAAATATTTTTCGCAAGTAAGTTTTGCTTTTATTTTTGGGACTCGAGTCTTATTAGCATTCCTCGAGTCGAGTCGAGTCATTCTGATGAGGGACTCGAGTCGAGTCGAGTCATTTGCTCGCAGTGACTCGAGTCGAGTCGAGTCATTTACCTGTTGGGAGTCGAGTCGAGTCACCAAAAAATGTGACTCGAGTCGGACTCGAGTCGAGTCATTGACTCGAGTCATTACAACTCTGGAGACAACTTGCCAAAGTAAAGAGGGCCATTTATGTTGTATTCCTAGGACCTGAGGCGACGTCCATTGAACCGGTCTCCAACGCCAACCGCCTCCAATGAGCCAATCACAGAAAGGATGGGCGTTCATGAAGAGAAGAGAAAGTTTACTAATGGACCAGGTAAAAACAGACAGATTCTGGTAACCCTAAGAGATTTATTACTCACTGTGAAATCAATTTTTTTTAAATATACTTTAAATTTACTCAGTTTTACTTGCTGTCATTAGTCTTTGGATTTTACTTTCCTTGTGCCTCAGTGTTCTTTTCGGATGTTGTTCTCGTAATGCCGTTTTTTTGCCAAGGAATTTTGCTGATAATTGGAAGTTTTCAAATACATTCCTGGTTTTTGACGGAAGTGTGAAAATTGTCAGTACAGGGGTGTCGTTAGTCTGAACATTTGGGACTCTTAATACTGCGTATGAGAGTCCCAAAACTTATTGGGAGGTATTGAAAACATGCAAACACAAGAAAATAGACTGGCACATAAAACAACCAGTCCAATGCCCCTTTAGTACTGCATCAGTCAACTGTGTCAAAGAAACATCTGGTACCGGTCTCTATTTCTACACATTTTTCCATAGTCTGCCACCAGACTACTGAAAAAGGTCAGTCTTTTCAAACAGTTTGACATGTGCCAGACTAGTCTAAGGCTCAAATTATAATCACTTGGCTGCTCTCAGGTGCAAAATGATGAAGAAAAGTCTGCTTTAAAAATTGAATTTTGACCTCAAACTTGGCTGGAGAAATATCGAGGACCTTGTCTTTGCCTCATGAAAAGTTTGGAGAATTTTGTCTGTTCAAAAGTTGGCCTAAATTTGTTTTGCATGGTTTTTTTTCTGCACTCGAGGTCCGAGTCTGTCGTCTGATTTGACAACCTTTGGCACAGAGGAAGGCCGTTAAAAATCTACCAAACATTACTGACAAGCAAAACCAGCAATATTGACCAATGAAATGATCAGATTTCCTGATGAATATGTATGAGGTATAACAGTATCCAATCTCCTTTGGCCATTAATTCCTTGTCAGATGTGAGGAGGAAAGACACCCACTCATTACGCGGTGGCAACAGCGATGCCGCCCCTAAGCCAGGGAAACAGTTCACGGATGCTCCCCGTGCCTTCTCTAGCCACAACAGTGCATCCAGCAGAACAAGGAACCAGCCTAGACCCAAAGACAGGTGAATATAAATAGCAGGGCCCAATGTCACGGAAATGCTGAGCAGCAAAAATACTACTTAGCAAATTTTATGTGCTTATTGAAAAAAATTCAGCCGAGTACCAGTCAAGAGCACTGCATATTGTATGATGTTTTGGCTGGTAACCTGAATTTGACGCTGGTTTTGTTCCAGGCCTGATAGTAAATTCATATCTGTAAAGCATGATTTGAACGAACACTTGCATTAATTTCAGTCGGTTACAAAGTTAAATTTTTCCATTTCTGGACAGACATACAATACCCACTCGTCCGAACCACTCATCACGGAGCCAGGCTTCATCATCCGCCCTCTCCACATCAGTAGCCCCGCCCACCGTGGGTAGATCCTATACATCAGTCAATGAGAAGCTCTTCTCGCGGCCTCCACTCAGACAGGGCAGTGTGTCGTCGGACGGGAGTCGAACCCAGTCCACTGCAAATGAGGTAGCTTGCACCAAAACTATCTACGAGAAAATATAAATGGATAGTTTAGTTTACAAGTTGATAATTCCATGAATTCTGAGCACAATTTCCTGGAAGTGCTAAATACACAGTTGTTTTCTTTTTAAAATCCAGTTGTCCTTAATTTTTCCATTTTCACTTCTTTCCCAGTGTGTGCGCTTGGATCAACTCCAGCATTACCAGCAACTGCTGCAGCAATTTACGACGGCAAACGTCAGCATGTACAGTCCAGGCCGCAGTTTACACGTCAGAAACAACGGGCAGGAGTCGACGAGACACTCAGCGAAACGGTAAAACCATTTTGTCCGTAAATACTTGACCTGATTTTGTTACTAAAGGAAACTGACCAGACTGAGATGTGAACCTGCGACTTTAGAATGATTGCACTGGTGCCTTACCAACTGATCTATCCGGCTATATTTTGGTAGTGTCACAAAATTACTTGGCATCTTTGTTCAGTTGACTCGTGTAATTCCTTGAAACCACAAAGCCAGGTGTTAATGAAGAATGTACAATGCTACTCTATACCTTAACCCTAACTCCCTTGGCATTTTTTGTTAGGATGCAACCTCAATCCAGCAAAACCCTCCAACTGCCTCTGTGTGAAAATTGCATACAGACTCAATCCTCCAAATTCCTCTGTTAAATCTTGAATGTGGTCCTTGGAGGGGTGACCACTGCCTCAATCCTGCGAAATCCTCCGGCAATCACTGTCAATATGTTAAGGCAGAGCCACTGACATCCTGGAGCAGTATGGAGGATTTCAAGTATAATCTAGGCCTAAATTTATGCATGGCTGAGCATGAACAATACAAGGTCTGGCCTAAGACCTTGACACAGTGCATCCTCCAAAATTAGCCACACATTTTGTCATATAGCCGCAATCCTTTGAAATCCTGCACTGTGTGCAAGGAGGATTTGGGAAGATTAGGGTTAACACACCAGCTGATAATCAAATTATTGACAGTGGAATTTATGAACAATATTTTTTAATTTGGTGAAAAACGGAAGAAATGCTTACCTTTCTACCAAGATTGGACATTTTTCAAATTGATGAAATAAATAGCTAAAAGACAAGTTGTTTATTTATTCAAATTAAGTTTTGCCCTTCACAGATGTAAAGACAATGTATACTCAGTGTGTTACCTCCCGAGTGAAAGTTGGAAAAAAATCACTTGGGTGGGACTCGAACCCACAACCTCCTGCTTTCTAGTGCAGATGTCTTACCACTCGACCACCGAGCTAACAGGATCGGTTGGCTGGTTCAAATCTGATAGCAGCGGGTACCGCATTAACTATTCATACAGTGTCTATACGTCGGTGAAGGGCAAAACTTCATTTGATTTACATCACCCCTATGCAAAAAAAATGACATCTTATGAATTGTATATTTATTCTTATACATTTCATTCTGCTGAACACTTACAAAATTGTGGATATTTTTGCTTCCAAACTTTTTGGATATTTTTCCTATACAGCGCACAGCAAGAGTCAACGGAGCTGGGCTCAATCATAGAGAGACCCCAGGTACCCACAAACAAAAGCTTTCATCGGACCAGGGTCCTACCGCACCAGTATGAGAGCAAACGAGAGATACGCGAGGCGGCTAGGCAACGGCTTCACGCCCCCGTGACGGAACTCAGCCCCAACGCCACGCCGTACGCGAACAGGCACACTGTGGCCACGCCGGGTCAACCTGGTAATTCTCTTAGCAAAAATTAGCTACTTACCGAGAAAAATAAAGAGGGGAACACATTTTAAGTGGTATCCTGTTTTTTTTGCTAAGCATTTCTTAATAGTGGATCAGTGCATTTGCGCACTTAGCATTTTCATAAATGCTCCCTAGACCCCAAGTTGACATGGCACTACGCAGAAAGTATTTTCTTTATTGGTGGAGTGCTGTGGCCTCGTGGTTAAGGGCACTGGATTCGTGGTCTGTGGGTAAAGCTGCGGGTTGTGGGTTCGAGTCCAGCCGGGGTCATGGTGCGTGTGCCCTTGAGCAAGGCACTTTGTCACTCATTGCTTCTCTCCACCCAGGAGTAAATGGGTACCTGTGAGGGCAGAGATGGTTATTGTGATTGAATAAGCTTGCTTGCGCCTAACAGGCAGCATCGAGCTGTATACTCCCCAGGGAGCAGAGATGGTATTTGGAATGTTTCATTGGCCCAACGATCAGGGGTAATAATAATACTGTAAGCGCTGTGATTTAGTTTACTAATGAGAGCGTTCTTAAATGCCGATTATTATTATTATTAGTATTATTGCTATATTTCGCACAAGGCAGACATTTATGCTTAGGAAGTTAACGGCCAAATTTCTGAAGTGAGTAATTGAATTAAAGTGTTTTGTTCTTATTGGTTCTATTGCCGTTTCCTTTTGACCAATCAGATTTCAGCATCCGATCGGAGTCTCCCATCATCGTGTCTGTCAAACCCGCTCCGCAGCGCTCCGCCTCGCGCGACTTGTCGCAGATGACGTCATTCGAGCGAAGTCTCACCGTGACGCCGTGTGCAATGCAGGATTGGGTCAAAGATTTGTGAGTAATCATATCCCTCTATTTTAATTCAAGTGTTTTAATTCAAGTTTTTTTGTACATATGCAACCATTCAGTTTCCCGTTATTTCCGAAATCTCGATTATTTATTAGCTTTTACTGATTACGATTTTCTGTTGACAGAAAGGAACGGTTTGAGAGCAGCGTTAGATTGCAGCACAGAAGTATTGAAAAAGAAAAAGCGGCTCTTAACCTCTACAAACAGCAAGTAAGTCAATTTCTGATTTCGTGTCCGATTTTGTTGATTGTTGCTTTTTTACAATTTAAAAAAAAAGTTAACATCAAAATATGTTGATGCAATCATAAAATTACACCATCTCAATTATTTTTTGTTCTGTAGTAGTAGTAGTACCAACTGAAGAGAATTTTTTATCTAAACAAAATGTAATTATCTATTTCTTTCTTGTATTAACAGAGGGATGAGCAAGCTGCAAGAGTATCCAAAAAGGTAAAATTTCTGTAGATTTAATTGCCGTTGTTATCAAAAATGATTAATTGGACAAAAACGCTGAAATTTTGTTTTGTTCTGAAGTAATTAATAATGAAGAAACATTTCATTGAAATATTTTATCAAAATTGATGGAAAAGAATTCTTTTCTGTGCAGATCACAGAAGACATGAAGACAGCCGAGCGGAGGGCGGTGGTCATTGAGGAACCACCCACCCCAGAGATCTCGGAAGAAGAAGAAGATGATGTAGAAGAGATAATAGACGATGAAGAAGAAGAAGAGGAGGAGGAGGAAGAAGAAGAATTGCCGGAAATCACCACTGAAATGATGAACGAGATCAACGGCGCCCTCAGGCCTCAGCCCTCCGGCCAGGTGCTGGTGGAGGGCTTTCGGCTGCGACTGACGCGCACCGATATGCACACGCTCAGTGGCTTAAACTGGCTGAACGACGAAGTAAGACACTATACGTCCTTTCATTTGAATACCATGGTGGCCAGACAGGAATAAAATTATGTTTGGTTGGACCCTTTATTCTCAAAAATTGAATACTATGGTGGCCATGCAGGAATAAATTATGTTTGGTGGGATGCACTAGCCGCTTTAATTGAACACTATGGTGGCCATGCAGGAATAAAATTATGTTTGTGGGATGCACTAGCGGCTTTAATTGAATACTATGGTGGCCATGCAGGAATAAAATTATGTTTGGTAGGATGCACTAGCTGCTTTAATTGAATACTATGGTGGCCATGCAGGAATAAAATTATGTTTGGTGGGATGCACTAGCGCTTTCATTGAATACTATGGTGGCCATGCAGGAATAAAATTGTGTTTGTGGGGCATTAGTTAACTTTTTAAATTCAACATAAGGAACTGACGTGATACACTATTCAGGGAAGCGAGACAAGACTCATGAAACCAAAAATCAGTTGGAACTCGTCAACTTTTAATAATTTTTATTTGAAAATGTTCTCTTTTCCAAACAGATCATCAACTTCTACATGAGCATGTTAGTGGAGAGGGGTGACGAGGAAGGGAAGATCAACCTTCACTGCTTCAATACGTTCTTCTATCCTAAGCTACTCAAGGAAGGCCACGCCGGGCTGAGAAGGTGGACCAAGAAGACGGACATCTTTGCCAAGGACATGATCCTAATACCCATACACTTGGGGATGCACTGGTGCATGGCTGTAAGTCCCTTTAGTCCCTTTGGCCACAAAAAAATATAAAAATCTCTTTGCAAAGTGGAGGATTTTGTAGGATTGAGGCTATGTGGCAAAATGTGCAGCTGATTTTGGAGGATGCACTGTGTCAAGGTCTTAGGTCGGACCTTGTGTTGTTTATGCTCAGCCGTGCATAAATTTAGGCCTAGATTATACTTGAAATCCTCCGCACTGCTCCAGGATGTCACTGGCTCTGCCTCAACATATTGACAGTGATTGCTGGAGGATTTTGCCGGATTGAGGCAGTGGACACCCCTCCAAGGACCACATTCAAGAAACAACGGATGATTTCGGAGGATTAAGCCTGTGTGCAATTTTTACATGGAGGCATTGGAGGATTTTGCAGGATTGAGGTTACATCCTAGCAAAAGTGCCTAGGGAGTTAGAGTTAACAAATAAGAGCATGACCCTATGTCTCTAAACAATCACGGTTATCCTGACTTTTTTAGTAACTGTGAAAAGGGTTTTAGTTACCTTGAACAAAAAAGGAGTAATTTTGAGGTTGATTTTTGGCTTTTTTTCCTTCAGATTATTGATTTTCGGAAGAAGAGCATCGAATACTTTGACTCAATGGGAGGCCATAATCAGCAATGTCTGGACACACTGTGGTGAGTTGCTTTTTTTTCCTTCCGATTTGTAAATTTGGTGTCTAAACAAATTTTCAGTCACTGTAAGCCTAAATCTTAGGTGGAGATTTCCAATGTTCATAGAAGTTATTTTAGGGGTTGCATTGAATTCACTTTTTGGTTTTAGAAGCAGTAAAAGATCGGTTAAATAGAATTAGACATTTGTCAAAGAGGCAGCAAGTTTTAACAGAAAGGGTCTAGAAATCGGACTGTCCGTAGTCCTTCATTTGTTGTAAATTCTGCAAATTCAGCACAACTTAAATTAGTGTTTTACCTTTCAGCTCAAAATGTCTGACTTCATCCTTGCTCACAGATACCATGTCTAGGACTGTCCTGGGCCCAATTTCACGGCGCTGCTCAGCAGTTAGCAGAAAAGTTGTGTTTAGCGTAGCAGAACAATTTGCTAACCTTAAGCACTATTTCACAGCGTGTGTGTGCTAACGGTCGCGCGTGCATGGAGATTTCTATTGTTACGTCACTGAGTTCAGCAAATTTTTCCTCTGGAGTAAGCGTGCCTTTTGCTGTGCTTATGCTTACGGTCTCCAATGAAATAGACGGAGGCTCTGTTAGCAGAAAATCGTGTGCTTAGCAGGGCCGTGAAATTGAGCCTTGAACATACCGAATATTTCAATATTTGATCATCAACTGATTATTCGACTAGCTTTTCGCCGGTTTGAATATTCGAAAAGAAAAAAGGAAATACACACGTGCACACACGACTGTGGTGTTATTTTAATCGTGAAGTTACGTTTTATTGTCGACGGTAATTTGTTTGTCGACGCCTATTTATTGGTGCCATTCTTTTAGATGGGTAAAGTCCCTTGACAGTTATGCAGTACTTACTGCAAAAACACTCCAGTGGCCCATAAAAGCTATCGCCCAATGCAAATATTAACCGACGCGCTTTGTATGCAACTTTGGACCAGCGAGGAAGGCAGCTGCGAGTTTCGAGTTTCGAATATTTGAATCTTCGGTCGAGTGCAGTTTGAATTATCGAATACTAAATTATTCAAAAACGGACAGCCGTAAACATGTCCAAAGGTTTAAAGGCTTTATTTTAAAAGCTATGTTTTAATTTAAACTTACCATTTTATTCGCGGCCAGGAATTACTTGATATCCGAGCATCGAGACAAGAAGGGCTCCCCCTACGACATGACGGGTTGGACCAGCACTTGCCGTAAGGACATCCCCCAACAGCTCAACGGCAGCGACTGCGGCATGTTTGCCTGCAAGTTTGCCGACTATGTCGGCCGAGACAAGAGGATTACATTCACACAGGTAAGGGAAGGGATCGAAAAAGAAACGAGGGGGCTGCGAACCTTTCAAGTTTTGCAAAAAAACACTTTTGCCCATAGAGTTAGCACCCACACTTCAAATTCCTTTGAGGTAGTCTTCTGTGGAGTATGGATAACACTTCAAATCTCTGCGCAATTCTTTTGTGTGGTTAAGCTCAGGGCAAGCAGGCAGATTCAGTCACGCTTCACTGCTCTCCACAGTGCTGTTTATTGGTGCAGTGACTCTTTGTGACACAGTTACTTTAACCATAGGTGCTGTATGCTTTTCCATTCACTTGAAACTGACTTGTAGGGATTTAAAGGGTTTTACATATTGCTCCGAGAATGGACTTTCCAGTAGAAGGATTAATAAGTGGTCCATTTCTTCTTAAGCCTCCGGTGCAAAGGCACACTGTGCAAAGTTGTCCTTTCAGTAAAAATCAGTCGAGTGACTGTTTTTAACAGTTCAGAGCTCCAGCTTTACATAAAGCAGAATTGACTGGCCGTGACTGTTGACGTTACTTGATGCAGCTGTGCCTTGACTGTAGAGGATTGATAAGCCAGCTGTGCCTACCACTTGCCTGCTTTTTAATCGGTTGACTGAATGTGACTAGTCAGAGTGCTTGCTTGAAATATGATCTGACTGTTGGTGACTAGCCTGTGTAAAAGGCATGGCAGGGGAAGAGGATTGATTTTTTGACTGTCTGTGACTGTTCAGACAGCAGGAGGGTTACTGTTCACTACTGAGAAGGGTGCGCTAGAATCACAAGTCTTGGATTTTTGGAGGATCCACTAAGGTTCCCAATCCATTATCTCGCTTTCCTGTTAAAGCTATAGTCCATCATTTGTAATTAGTGCATTTTGTTCGTTTGAAGCAACAAAAGTGTTCAAAATCCAATGAAGGATACTGAGTAACTAACCTGATGAAGTTTCAGCTAAGCTTCAGCTGTACATTCCGAGAAAAACAGCATTCTAAGATCTCAATTTCAAATCAAAAGTTACTGAATCATGTTTTGAATTGTTTTGAATTGCAGCTATACGCGACGTCGCGCACTGATCCGACGAATCACAACAACCGCGCGCGCGTGTGCGTCGTTCCAATACTTGTGCGCGCTGCGCTGAATAACAAAACGAACTACTAATTTAAATTTTCCTACGGTGAATGCCTTCTTTCGTTGATTACTTCAAAATGACAGCTTCCCAGAAAGAATAATTTCACAGGGAGTTTAGTTCCCTTACTATCTTTCAACCAAGTTTGTTTTTCAACAATAATTATGCCAGTTACTTTTCGGATGGCTGCAAATGATGGACTATAGCTTTAATAAATGTTGGATTACAAATATTCATTTGTTTGTTTTTCATTTCTGTTTTTGTGACAGCATGACATGCCCTACTTCAGAAAACTCATGGTGTGGGAACTCGTACACAAGAAACTGCTGTGAGCAACAAACGGGCTGAACAAGTGACAATCCTTCAGGTTATGTGAACATGGAAGAGCCGAACAATATTTTGTAGAAACGAAAACTTTTATTTATTTCAGTCCTTACCGAGATGTGAGCTAGCCTACGAATAATTTCTGATTCAGAACCCCATATTTTTTTAATAGACGAAACCCGATTTGAAAATTTTTTTTTTTTTTTTTTTTTGAACATTTATGAACTGGCTGATTAAATAGTGTAAATATGTAAATATATACAAATAAGAAGCATAACGAACATAAGAATCAAGATTGCGATTACTTAAGGAAAAAGTGTTTCGGCAAAGTTATTTTTTAAAATTCTGCAACGTTGAATTACGAAGGCCAGTTTATGTATTGTGCACTTGAGAAATTATTAGTGCGAAGTTCCAAAATAACCACTTAAAAAACAAAGCCACATAGACGGGTTTCAAAGGAGAAACGAATTTGATAATGAATTTTGTAAGTTTTTCTTATTTTTTTTCCCCGTGCAGTATGTGGTCAAATTGTGTGACACAATTCAGCTTAAACTGGACACCCAAATCATTGGGGGGGTTTTCAGACAAACTGTGGGGCCTTGAAACTCTGACAACATGGTCTTGAAAACCAACAACTCAAGATTTTGTTATTTACCGCCCTATTTGTTTGATAGTAACTTTCCCCTCTTATTAGAGGAGACTTTAATTTTCAGTTACACTAAAGGTTTGTTGTTTCTTGAGTCATACTGCCTAATAAATGACTAAAAACTGTTGTGTTCTGGGATAAGGTACTTGAAGGTCCTCCAACAGATTTTTGGCAAAAGAAATACAATAGCTAGAATTTTCCCCCAAAAAACACTTCCGAAATATTTGTATCACTATAATTCCTCCTTGTTTCAGAATTATAGTATCCTTAATTTCTTAATATTGTTTTTAATGTAACCATAAAAACGGCATGACAAAAATTAATTGTCTATAAAATCTGCATGGATCTTATAATTATGTCAATTATCTGATGCAGTTGGGGATTGTTTGCTAGTTTGGGTTCCAAAATTTGTCGACAAAAATTGTCGACAAATTTTGGAACCCAAAATTTGTCGACAATTTTTGTCGACAACTGTAAGGTTCGGAGTTTAAGAAATGCCTTGTTCAGACTGCACTATTTATCTCGCCCTGCACTTTTAGACGACCCTGATGGGTATGAATTCCATGTACGGACATCACACAATCGCCACCAAACTGATAAAATGTCGCCTGACCTTGTGTTATAATTGAAGACAAACCCATTAGACTTGGGAAAACTGAAAACGTATAACGAAAAAATGCGTCTTTAGAGCATATTTTGGGTGTACACATCGTTTGGACAGACGATTGTATAGGCAGCCAAATTGAAGAGTCTGCCGTGCACATGCCAATGCACTGCCCAATAACATTGCGATACCTCATCCTGAATATTTAATTCCTCATGAATTTTTCATGAATATTTAATTTATTAAACATTCATTAGTCTTACCTCAAGGGACACGTTTAAATATTTCGAATGATCTCAACATCGTAACGAGCTGGTGTTTTGTTTAATAATGACAGTTTGAGAGCGCTCCTGGTTCGATTCCCATGGATGTTCATTATTAGTAAATAACTTGGAAAGATTCCCATTATCTGGCCATCACTAGTTTTTCCCTTCAGTGACCTATCAGCCATCAGAAAGTGAAGTGTCCTAAAAAAGTCAAATTTAGAAGGGAAAATATTGAAGTATTTTCTGAGAAAACACTTACAAATTTTCAGAACAGTCTCAGTGGGTTTGTGCACAGGGTGACAAGTGATGGCCAGATATGGGAATCTTTCCTATCTTTTTGACGCTTCAACATGTATTGGAAAAGGTGATGTCCGTATATGGAATTCTTCCCCACTGACGTTTTTGTCCTGTTCCCACACTGCTGTTCAGTTGTGGGTTTTACCATTGTTTAGTATTTATGTTTATTTTGTTTGTCCAAGTGGAAGTGTAATTAAAAACTCATGTATATTGTTCATGAATTATGACCAGGTTTGTTGCATAGTCTTTGGCATAATAAGTTATTTTAAGCTTAGGCCGAATAAAAAAACAACATGTTTCTCGTCCGGGTTTTTGAAAAAAAGGAGGAAGAGGGGCTTTTTATTTTTTATTTTTTTATATTTTTTATTTTTTTCAAGATGGCCGCCATTTAAAAATTTCCTGCTACCGTTGGTGTTTCCACTGTTCAAAGACACTTTTAAAATGAAAGACAAGTTGGACAAGAGAACTGCACATATTTACAGTGTCATTTAGAGTTGTATTAATCTACAATGAACAGTTTTAGATGCATTTTCTTTAACCATGGACTTTTTCGGTGTTATTTACTGCATTTTTCAAAAATAAAAAAAAATAAAAAAATCCAGGTGGCCTCCAAAAAGGAAGTGGCGGGAACGAGAAACATGTTTTTTTTTACTTTGCCTTGCATGATCATTCTCATAGACTGTTTGTTTGTTGTACATGTGCATGTGTGTCATTACTGGAGAAAACAAAATGGCCGACAGAATTAACCACAAAGCTGCACATGAAATCCTTGATAATAGCAACTTAATTCCCATACTTTTCAGGATATTCCAATTACTTTCAATAATATTTAGTCACACAACATAAATAGTAAGTATACTTTAAAGCAAGCACAGGTGGAGTTCATATGTTACCAAAAGATTGAGAAACCTACCTTATGTTCAACACATGTTTATCAACCACACCCAGACTGGCAGAACCATCTCATGGGACAGCATCAAGGAAAATGATTTCTCAAATTAATTTTGCCCCCTTTTATACTAATAGAGCACCCTCTAGTGACATTTTAGAGGTCAGTGACAGCGCCCTCTTGTGATCTGAATTTGAAATGCCCTTAAAAAAAGAGACTTTTGGCATTATACTTTACAAAACTCCAGACCCTTCGACCGCCACCCCTTTCTGACTCCACCCCCTTCTGACTCCACCCCTTCTGACTCTGCCTCCTGGCTCCACATCTGGCTCCGCCCCTTTTTACTCCATCCCCTTCTGACTCCTCGTCTTGTTTCAGCCACTTGGCTTCGCCACATCTGACTCCGCCCTTTTGATTCTGCCCCTTTATAACTCCACCCCTTATGGCCCCTCTCCTTTTGACTCAACCCCTTAAGACTCTGACCTTATTGACTTCACCCCTTCCAACTCCTCCCCTTCTGACTCTGCCCCTTGGCTCCACAACTGACTCCTCCCTTTGACCCTGCCCCTGTTAACTCCGCCTCCTCTGACTCCACCCCCTTCTGATTTTATCTTTTTGTAACCCTCATCTTAAAAAGTAAAACTCAAATAAAATCTGCATGATCACCAGCTGAAGAAAAAAACAAGTCAACAATATTTCAGAGTCACTTTCAAACATTTTATTCCAACAAGGACACATACCTCATTTGACTGGCACAGACAAGTCATGCAAGATAAACCAAGAAACTGAAGAATGAAATGCTTTTAACAAGATTTTTTACATGTACCAACAAGGGAATGTTTAGTTCTGATATACATGTACATGTATTCTGGAATCAATTCAAATTGAGCATTAAAAACAATGTTACTGAGTTTTTGGCTTGAAAATATGAACAGGAAATTTGAAGTAAATGTATCGGGGCAACATTAATGAAGAGCCCAATTTGAAAACCAACTCAAAATACAAATGAAGTGTCAAACACTGTACCTGTTTTTAAATTTGATTATCAGACAACAAAATTAACAGTAAAATATTATTTTTTTTAAATTGCAAATAACAAATTCATCAAGATCTATACTTATTTGAAATCATCTATGATTTCATGTGCAAAAAGCATAAAAATTAAAACCCTTTTTTTTTTTAATCAGAAAATGATTGCAGTTGGACGGCATCAACGAAAACAAATTATAAGGAATACTGTAACAACAAAACTACCATAGGATTAGGAGGATTTTCCAATTTGTGTACAACCTGTTTGGGAGCTCTGTAGCTATATTGGGGGCATTCGATTGGTCAACTCAGGTCAGCCCGTGCCGTTCGTTTAGCTCTGACGTTGTTCTCAGGGCCCACCTGGGTCAGCCACCACAGACCCTGCTCGTGGAGTGGAGTCAGTGGTGCAAATATGTCACACGCATGTATTGTTCATTCCAAGAGACAAACAAATATGGCGGCCGGACAGCAGAAAAGATCAAGTGGACCCCAAAATCAACTTTAGACTTTAGAAGCTGCTAATTCCAGCCCAACTTTGTTACTTTTTGTGATTGACGGAAAAGAAGTACATGTAAATCTCAAAGAAAGGCCATAGGTAAGACTCAGTCTGAAACGGGCTACTACGGATATCACTTGAGGATCGTGATGGCCTATGGTTGAGCATTCGATTAGCCCGGCTGTCATGGCTAAACCTGTCTGCCTTTAGCTGAGTCGATCCGGGTGAGCTACGCGGATGCACCCATTATATCTTTTGAGAGTCACTTTATGTATGTATTCTCACCATGAAGGGCCACCGTGTACACAAAGCGGATAAGCTCAAGAAAAATTGTCAATCCAAAGCTATTACTTGTGGTGTTTTGTGAGGATTAAATTAAGTATGTTTGTCTTTAAAGTACGAGCTTGAAAAATTTAAACAGGCCAGGCCAGCTTGCCAGTTAAAGTTCTTTTCAAACTCTCACATGTTTAAAGAAATTTGTCTCTAAACTGAAAAAAAAAAATATCATGAACCACAGCAAAATGTACGATACAATATGTGTAATATGTTAAAGAACAGTATTTTAAAGACACTCGATAAACAATGTACAATTAATATTTCCACTCAAATGTGTGGTTGAAATACCTACTGTGCTCCAATATTACAATATTTACAGAAAACTTGTGTCAGATTTTACAACATATATACAGGTATTTATAGCAGAAAATATTTACAATTGAAGTTGAATCGGGGTCGAGGGCTAGGCCAACAGTAAAAACTGTCATAATATTTTACAGGTGCAAAAAGTGTAAGTTTCTATTCAAATTGTAAAGTTACAAATGTAAGTGCAAACTGGTGCAGGCACATAAAACTGTTTCATATCATTTTGCTTCAAGTTTCTAATAAATCTCGTCAAATTCTGTCAGGAAAAAAAAGCCTTGCTTTCCAGAAATAAGAAAAAGTTTAAACCCTACTTATTTCATATTATCGAAAAAGTTTTCTTTGCACTGACTATTCATTAAAGACACCACAATTTCTGTTACAAACTTTGAAAATCACCTACTTTCAAGGGAGAAATGTTTTCTGACAAATCTGAGGGATTATTAACATTCTTGGCAACAAATACCATCCTGCAGAAGTTGAACCCAAAAAGTCATTTCATTACTCAATGCTAAATATTCAACTGCTATCAATATCATAACCATCTAAACAACCCACTTTCATATTGTCTGATTTTCTGGACGGAAGATCAAATTTCAAACTTAACTTATCAATAAAATCTAAATAAAAACGTCTTCTTGAATTTAAATATCTGAATCACGTGGACGGATGTGATTTAATAACTGGCACACAATCTACCGAATACTCACTATGAATAATCATAAGTAACGAATAATCATGAGGTAATCATCTACATGTGTAATTATAGTGAAGTCATTAATATTCATGAGATGCTAATATCTACCGATAAGCACTCCCTCATTTGAAACCATTACAAATTTTTTTTTTTAATTGTGGAATGTGCAGTTTTACAAGGTGTTCAATTTGAAAATTTGAAATTTTCCGTCTTAACTTTTTTTTATCAGTCCCTTACCTGAAACATTACTAGTCTTTCTATATGGGCGTGGCTTATGAAAATTCAACTGATACATCAAAATGCTTTTAAATTTTTAGTTTTGTGTACAGAATGTAGTGAGAATATTTGTATTCTACTGATAAAGGCAATTGACCTATCGCCGTTTGCGAGTTAGCCAGGCCCCTTAGACAACCCTATGAAGTTTTTGTACACTAAGTTTTGTTTGTCTCAGATTTTGCGCGTTCCGCGTCCATTTGTTTATCATGTAATTGGACAATATTTCAGAAGCTACGTTGATGCGATTCCAACGCGATTCTACCGCGATAGGTCAATTTTATCCATCGTTCTGTACGTAATAAATTATTCGATGAACTAAAGTTTCACCATAGGATATGCACAAGGTGCGAAACAATATTCAAGAAAGCAGCTTTCAAAAAAAAAAAAATTTAAATTTAAAACACACGAAACAACACTATTAAAAGATACCGTGCAAATTCTCAAAATTAAGCACAATCACGTGTATAATTACTGGACGGATTAATCATACCACGAAAATATCAATGAATTATCGGTATATACTGAACACTGCACACTGTTGTATGTACACAATATATACACAAAGCACCTATCAAAAATATATATCATAACTTAATCATATACTCATCTTTTATTGGACGGAAGATGATATATATAGTAACACCCACACGCATCAGTAACTAACATGTCTACCAAATTTACAATAAATTCTCTGACTGTCGAATATAGATTATCTGATAGATATTTTTTTTTTCTTTCATGCAATATAGAGTTTTGTCTTTTGTTTTGTACATGCCATGTTTGGCAGAATAGATATTTCTGTTACTGTTTCTGAGCATGTTTTTTGATCCCTTTGCCCGTTCCTGTGCAGTCTCAAAACCAAGGCTGATATTTTCGCCGAGATCAGCTTTTGTTGAGAAACGTCCACAAATTTTCTCCCGAAATGTTATTTGTGTTCTTTACAAAAACCCACATTACTGCAATGCTGACTACTTTCAAATTGAGCCAACTTTTGTCGCATTATTTCATTTTCTAAACAAACATCACAATATATTACTTGAAATATTTCTGGTTGAAAGATTTCTTTAGTGCCAAGATAAGGCCAAAAAAAAAAAAAATTCGGTCTCTGGTCAGACCAAAGTTCCGGAATTGACGCGGCCACGCGGCTTTTTTTTTTTTTCCTTCACGCTTGGATTGTACAGACAAGGTGGGTACTATTTTGCTTTTTTGGTGTCCTCGTGTACATTGGTGTCCTCCATAATTTGCCTTGGTGCTTTCGATCATTTGCCTTGGTGCAATTTCCCATTACTTGGTGCTCTGTGGTAAAAAAAATTGAGGAGGTGCGGAAATAGAGGGCGCTGTTGGAGCTACTGCGGAACATTTTGGAAAAAAAAAAGATCGACGCGCATGGTTAAAATCGACGCGCGCGCTGACCAGAGACCGACTTATTTTTTTTTTTGGCCTAAGCTTACTACTTTCTTGTTACTCTCCACAATATAAAAAAAGTTCAAAAACTTTGGTCCCTGGGCCAACTAGGTCATTCCTACCTGGTAGGAGCTGCTACGTCGCAGTGTCGGAGGACTTGTGATGATCGGGCCGAGTGGCATGCTGCGATTTCTGTCACAAAACGGACATTTTTGCAATTTATTAAAATTCCGTTATCATAATCAACCTCGGACATGAATACAAATTTCTCAACAGCAAGTACAGAACTTCCTCTCCCCCCCAAAAAAAACCCACCTATATGAAAGTTTACAAAAAAAATTAATAAAATCTCAAAGCCCGCACCTCCATGATTCTAAAATTTCAGAATTTCTAAGAACCAAAGTAATGGATTAACAGGCTCCCTCTCCCAAATCTTTCAAGCCCCTCCCCCAACTTGACAGCCTTGTACCCCGCCTCCCCTGTGCACTAAGTCAACCAGCTCACCTGGCGTTGGGTGACATGGCGTAGTATCCTGACTCCACCAGCACGCTCTCTATGAAGTTCTGCATCTGTTCGTAGGTGATGCCTATCTCGGTGTCGTTGGGGTCCAGACTGCTGGCGCTGGAGGGTTTCTCACCGCCGCTGACCTGCATGTGGGACTCCTCGTGGCTGGCTTGCCGCAGGAGATAGCTGGCCTCCGTGGTGCACAGGTTGAGATCAATGAGCTCCTTGGAGCCGTTGACCAACTGTAACGGAAGAGATTTAGAAATCAGATGAGGTTGATGATGCGTTTATAACATAATCAGGGACAATCTAATAATTATAATCAAAATGTTCGGAGACATCTGAAACATCTAAGACCATCCGTGACGATTTGAAACCTAAAATAAGACAACACAACCTAAGATATTCCATCACAGAAAAATTAACAGGCATCAAAAACAGCACCTACATGTAAACAACAAACGCTCATTGCCAAAAATAACATTTCAAAATTTGAGCAAAAAATATACCTAAAATCAATATCACCTCCCTAAAAAATTCACATTTTAGACAGTGGTTTTAAACGCTGAGCTAACAAAAACTAAACTACTCCTACAGCTACAGATTTTCACATGTCAGGGGAGTCAGGTTGGCGTAGCGGTACTTTCCTCGCCTTCCACCGCTGTGACCCGATTTCGATTCCCGCCTGGGCCAATATGTGGATTGGGTTTTCAGTCCCTGCCTGATTCCGTGGGTTTTCCCCAGAATATTCTTCTGGGCTTTTCCTCCCACCTCTAAAACTGTAATTTCTTCTCATTGTCTTCTCTCCACAGTTTCTTCAGGCTTGCGAGCTACAGTGCCAAGGGCGCTTTTGAGGAATCCTTGGTTTCATTACCAGAAATGATTAATAATAATAATAATAATAACATGAACAAACCCGATTGCTGTAAAATACCCTGCCCAAGGACACAGGCAGCAGCCATATTTAAAACAGAGCTGCAATCACTCTCGATATAGGAATCTGAAGCAATGACCACTTGATCAAAGCACGAAATTCAATGAAGGAAAAAGAAACTAAAATGAGAGGACCAACAAAGCACCAAAAACAAAATGTACCCACCTTTTTGAGCTCGTTCTTCAAGTTGACGGAGCTGCTCTGGGGTGCAAAGAGGGCCTTCTTGAACCTCTCGATGACCCTACGCCGGGGTTAGGGGATAGGGTCGGGGGCAGCTGACAGATGAAGATGATCTTGTGGATGGTGTGTAGCATCTTCAAGACGGGATCGCTGATCTGTCGCACCTTGCGGGGGGAGATGGTTAAGGTTGCTGCTGCCGAAGCTGTAACGGAAAAATAATTTTCATTTTCAAATTACGTTCAATTTCGTGGAATTGATAAGCACCAAAATGTTCGTGCTAAGAAACTTTTCTATGGTTACTGGACCTTCGTTGGCAAGAACTTACGAGGTCTGGGTTTCCCACTCGTGGAGGATTGTCGCCGGAGAGTCTCGACAAACGAACCGCTCTGTGACCGCGGTAGCTTGCCTCTGTCATTCACCGGTGTTGTGATATCGTTGGGGGATGCTAAGCCTTGTTGAGCCAGGGCGCGATTAACAGCTATAAACAAACAAATATACGAGAAGTTCAAACTCTGACTGTGTGATACTGATGACAGAATGCAACAATGTCATTTCAGTTTTGCTGAAGCGCTCTGAATATTTTTGGAAGGTTTCAGAAAACAGCAATGTGTCTAAATTTCTGTTATCTTTGACGCCCTTTTGTTGCGGAGGTACATGATAATGAGTGCCACTAACTGAAATGTTGACGAAACCGATTCATTTATCTCCTAAAACATAGACAGCTTTTGCAAAATTCTTGTTACAATCTTGCTCTTTAGGTTCGAAATGTGCATTCACATATAAATCTGTGCAATTCTACATGCACAGGCATGAGGCACTGTGCGAAATAAATGAACATGGTTACATGTAAACATGCAAAAGTGTTATAGAAGCACAAACACATTATAATTTTTTTGTTAACTCACTGGCCATAGACGCATTTTCAAAATCTTGGCTGCATTTCAGCTTCAGGTTCCTAACTTTAAGGACTTTGGCTCAAGTCCATGATCAACTTCAGGAAACTTCAAATCCTTTGTTTTCAACATTACAAATGCTACTAGATAATTCTGAAGTCAGAGTTATAAAGCCGAAGCTGGAGAGAAAACCACAGTTTCAAAAACACCACAAACTCCAAGCAAACGAAGATGAGAAAAAGTCATCAGTTGAAGAAAAATTTGAGAAGTAGAACTGTGAGTGGCACAGCAGACACACACCTTGCACGTCGACTGTGAGGGATCGCATCCCGCCGTTACTGCTCTTGTTAACCGTCGGTGGGCGGGGCACGGCAAACGTACCCCGGCTCTGACTGGAACTAAGATTGAGGCTAGACCCTGAGGTAGGAAGAGGGGGTGTGACCCAAAAGGGGGGTGGGAGGTGAAAGGTCACATAGTGAAAGTAGTGAGAACACAGCAATCCGTGCAGAAATTCTAAGGCTGGTCTACAATAGAAAGATTTACTTCCACATATTGGTGTGTGGGTGACGGTGAACACGACAAACATGGCTAGCACTTTGTTGTTACAATATTATAGTAGAACTATACTGGTAATATTTTTTTTCAGGATGATATTATTAAATATGAAGTTTATTGATGTGAGCTTGATATTTTACTCATTAAATCAGTCATGAAAGTAATACGTTTCAGGTGTATTAGGAAAGGCACCGAAGATAAAAATAATGCTATCTAGTGTTTTTATAGAATCTGTCAGTACGAAATTCATATTTTTTCTGAAGATATGAGCACGGGATATGAAGGTGATGGAGATGCAATGAGATATGAATGTCTTGAGATCTTTAAGCGACTTACCAAGGACTGAGCTGCCACTGCTGGAATCCAGGCTATCGCAGCCCAGGCAGGAATCATCCTCCTCTATACCACTCTCTGAAATGACAAGAAAAATCAAATGATGAAAAATTAGGACAGTCTGATGTTTCAATCCAAGCAAATCTTTCTCAAAGGGTAACCAATATGCACAAAATGAAACAAAATACATTGAAAAAGGATGACTTGTCTTAGAAAACAGGGCGTGCGAGCAAAACGTTTAAAGGGAAGATACAACATTTGCAAACATCAAAAAACGAAATGATCAAATTCTCACGAAATACCTTACTGAATTGTAAGGGACTGACAGTCTAAATCATCCTTTAAAATTGTGGCTCCTGGTGTGCTGACATTTTCAGGAAAAAATGTATTTTTCCAATGCTGGTCCGCCTACCAGCGTTGGAGAAAACTGGTTTTTTTTTCAAAAACTGTTCTTAAGTTTTCGTATTTAGTTATTCTGACTTTGCTTTGCAATTGATTACACACCTGTGAAGGGGTACAAGCCTGCTACACTGATTCTCTGAGCATTCAAATCCCCAAGTGTATTAATTGCTCTGTTTCATCTTAATTGGGGTCAGGGAACCAGACTACAAGAACATGATAGGTTTTTCTTAGTGTTCCCAGCATCTACAAGCCCAAAACGTGAAGCAAGTCAGTTTAACAATATTTTCTATAACATACTAATCCTCCAAATCCATTTATTTCTGAAAATTGCAGCAAAAGCAAATGTTGTACATTCCCTTTAAGCTATTCTTTCCACAACTTCTGCTGGAACCGAATAACACAAAGCATTAATCACGCTCACTAAGATTTAATTATCTGGTACAGGTATCTACAATTTACTTGTTGATTAACCTTAACTCCCTAGCATAATTTACTGGGAACCATACCCATTCTGGCAAATTCCAACACCCACATGGGAAATTGTTCACACACACACTGTTGGACTTAGTTTCGGGAGGTATGCCAAACCCAATGTAAAAGACCATAAATTTAGGGGTACTGTACCTATCCTAACAGATTTCAACAAAACCTGCTTTTGGGCTTTGATGGGTTGAGTTCGGTTAGGGTTAAGCTTCGACTTACCCACGCTCTTGTCCGTGTCGTGCAGGAGACCGTAGCGTGACCTGCTGTTTAAACCGTTGTGGTGTGGTCTGTTAGGAGGCGGCTGTTCATCACTGGATTCAAAGACGTCACTGTGATAAGAAGACAATTGTAGAAATAATCAGAATTACTGTTTTGTAATAATAATAATAAAAATAACTGGATTTGAATAGCGCCAAATTACCAACGGATACAAGGCGCTAGAAAAGAAGAAAGAGGAATAGAAGACAAAAAACAACAAAAGAAGGGCATCCAGCTACGTTTGGGGAAAAGGTAGGTCTTGAGAGCCTTTTTGAAGGAAAAGACACTGCCTGATCTGATGGAGATGGGCAGGTTGTTCCATGACCGGGGGCGGCAACAGAGAAGGCCCTGTCACCAGCCAGTTTACGTGACTTGGGGATGACAAGAGACTCACAAGCAGAAGAACGAAGGGAGTAAGAACTCCATTGGATTTTGAGAAGAGAAGAAAGATAATCTGGTGCTGAGTGTTTAAGTGACTTGTAAGTGTGAACCAGTGTGCGAAACTGAATGCATTCGGCGACCGGGAGCCGGTGTAGTTGTTTGAGCAGAGGAGAGGTATGGGTGTGTTTGGGGGTTTGAAAGATAAGCCTTGTAAACTAATTGTGAGATGCTAGTCATTGTTCAACAAATAACTCGGAACGTATCTAACTGTTTCAGAGATTTTTGAATTTTTCAAAACGGTAGGCGATTGGTGGAAATGTTTTCTTGAAATTTTATGTTAAGTGTTTGCAATTTAAACAAAAAATTACTTTTGGAAAACTTTTTTTGAATTTTGAAAAAAAGATTGGAAATCTTCATTTTGGAACTTTGCAAAATTGGGCAACACTGGGAGTCTATATGAAACTGGGATATGATCTCCTCAAGCACAGACTATGCCCATGAAAAGCTGGGGGAAAAAGAATTTTTTTATGGGTTAAAATTATAGGAAGTTTTTAGAATCATTCTTGTCGTCTTACTTAGAGTCTGAATCGCTCTTGATGCTGGACGCCCCACCGCTGCCAGCTAAGTTGGCCAGCTTGTCGTATCTCTCCTGAGATGCAAGGAAGAGACGATGGTAGTTCTGCATGTTCTTGGTGGCCTCGTTGTGATGTCTTCAGAAGATAAACAAAAATCAATATTCACAAGTCAAGTCGTGGTTTCATTAGAAAATGTTATAAATGTTATATCAAACAAAAGCTAACACGGGAAAATTCATTCGAAAATTGTCAGTCTTACCATATCAACTACAAACCAACTGCTAACTTAATTACTTATTGATTCCACTGTATTTCCCAAAGCTAATTTTAAAAAAGTTCAACATGTATTGAGGCTCAAATGTACGGAAAGTGTAGTGCAACAACTATTTAAAGGTACCTCTTAAAAAAAACTTTTGTATGAAATTGTTCAGATTTTCATTGAAATTATTTCTGGAAAATGTGAAACTTCACAGAGAGTTTAGCAAGACTGAAGAATGTGAAAGACAGTTTCTGCCCACAACAAAGGGCAAAACTATACGGAGCAAGAAATTTTTTCTAGGATGAAAGGCCAGCCTAACCACCCTCTTCCCCACCCGAAGGATTACAACTTTGTTTTTGTTATTCACTGATCTTACCTCTGGGTCCTCTTTCGTTCTCGATCCAGTTTCTTCTCCAAGCTGATCTGATTGGTCCTGAGTGCATCCATGTTCTGCATCATGATGTCGGCTATCAACCCTCCCACCTGCACGATGTCTGGCCGCTTGTCGGGGTCAGCTGTCAAGCACCTGCAGGGAAAAACAATGAACAACACTCCTTACCGACTGACTTGAATAAAGCTAGAAATCTACCGGTGCGTCTTGCTGCTTAGATTAAGATCTGAGATCAAATCCATATAATTTTGAATTTCAAACACCAAGCACCACTGAGTATTGCATGTTGAATTACAGGGTCGGAGACTAACATTTCAGACACTGTTTCACCCAAAACTGTGCAGTCAAAAAGTGGCAAATTATTTAACTTTCACATACAAAAGTACTTATTTTTTTTATTCTCCAACGCAAGAGAAGACTGTTTTTTTCCCCAATATTCTCTTTTCACAGAATTCTTTTCCAAAAGAGGACAACTGAATTGCTACATTACTTACACCTTAAACAAAGATAAAACTCTCAACAAAACCACCAAAAAACCAGACAGGAACAAAATATTTTCTTTCCCCTCGTAAAATCTCAAACACAATTTTGTGGTTGCACATTAGACTAGTTCGGTCAACTGTCACACCAACTTAAACAGGAATGATTTTTTTTTTTTCAATAAAATTCTATTATAAGAAGGAATTTTGCGTCGCTGCTATGTACATCAGATTCGAACCGGCCAACTGATCCCGTTAGCTCGGTGGTCGAGTGGTAAGACATCTGCACTAGAAAGCAGGAGGTCGTGGGTTCGAGTCCCACCCGAGTGATTTTTCCAAGTTTCACTCGGGAGGTAACTCACTGAGTATACAGTGTTTAAAAAATGTCGGTGAAGGGCAAAACCTAATTTGATTGAATAAAATTCTAGACTTCTTCTTACTTTCTGATTGTAGACGTAACCAGTGTGGAGTAGTTGCCCTCGGGTATAGGCTCATAATCAGCCTCTACTATCTTACTAGCCAGGGCTAGCATGTTGGAGCTGTAGAACGGTGGCTTGAGCATGCACATCTGGTACAGGATGCAGCCTGCCGCCCAGACGTCGGCCTTCTCACCGTAGGGTTGGTTCTGGATGATCTCGGGGCTGAGGGTCAAAAGGTGAGGTAAGGGTCGGAGGTTGAAATAAGGGTCAAAGGTGAAATAAGGGTCAAAGACGGCAAAGGTCACACATGAATTGTCGGGATTGTGAAGATTATTATAGTAGGAAGCAGTGAGGTTCCAGACATAAGTCTGTAGCCAAAGGGTAGATTATCTTGGGGTCAAAGGTTACATAAAGGTCAAAGGTAAAGAAAAGGTCAAAGGTGAGAGATCTTAGCATTGTCGTTTGACTTGTACTCACCAATTGTAAAGAATGGTCCCAACCACAGATGTCATCTTACTCGCGTCTGGCTGCTTCTGTCTTGCAAGGCCAAAGTCGGCTAAAAGAAAGAAAAAAAGAAGGAATCTGACTGTTCAAATGGGGATCTGCAACTTCACTCCATAGTACAGAGCAGACATTACTACTATAGTAAGGGAAGAATGCAGAATTAAATATGCTGTAAATCAGAGTTGAACCTCGAAGTGTCATGGTTGAGCGATTAAGAGCACCAGACTCAAGCCCTGGTGTTTCTGATCAGCAGAGTGTGGGTTCGAGTCCCTGTCTCGACACTTGTGTCCTTAAGCAAGACACTTAACCATTATTGCTTCGTCCTTCGGATGGGGCGTAAAGCCGTAGGTCCCGTGCGTTGTGTAATGCACGTAAAAGAACCCAGTAACACTTATCGCTAAGAGAAGGGGTTCGCCCAGGTGTTTCTGGCAGTGCGTTTATCTTCAACCATATGAAGGCAGCACTTGTGAACAAGAAGAAGAAAAAGAAGGAGTATCCCGTAATACCCAGGTCTTAAAATCTTGAGGTAAACCTTAAGTTATCGCCCGTTTATTTTGCATTTCTCCCTAAGCAAGTCTTGTATATTTACAAAATTTCTGAAATAACTTTCCAAACTTAAGATACCAGAAATGAAGGTCATACTCACTGATAGTAACTTTGTCATTCTCCCCCAGCATGATGTTATTTGGCGTCAGGTCGCGATGGACAATCTTCTTCTCCTTGTGAAGGTATCTCAGCGCGAGGACGATTTGTAAGAAGATGTGCCAGATGCGCTCCTCTGAGAACTGCTCACCTTTCTCCTTGAGGGAGTTGAAGTGTTCGTAGAGCGGGGCGCCCTCTATCAGCTCCATCACGATGTACAGATTCTCGTCTGGGAAACGATGAAAAATATTTTAATGAGGATTGGGATGTAGGATTTATTAAGTTGTTATAAACAATCACAAGTCATCACAAGTCAATCACAATTCATATCACAAGTGAACAATAGGTCATAAAACGAATTATACACAAGTCATTACAGATCAATCACAAGTCATAACAAGTCATCATAAGACAATAAAAACTTGGTCATAAATGATCGCAATTCATCACAAGCCAATCGCAGGTCATCACAAGTCATAACGAGCCTATCACAAATCACCCACAAGTCATCACAAGTCATCACAAGTCATAACCAGTCATCCTCATACAGTCTAAAGGCAATCATAAATTATCAAAATTCATCACAAGCCAATCGCGGGTCATCACAAGTCATTACGACCTAATCACAAAACACCCGAACGTCATCACAAATCAACACAAGTCATCACAAGATGATCGTAAGCAAATCACAATTCATATAGTCTCAAGTCAAGTAACAATCTCTTCAAAAACATTCTTTTGTCATTTTTACTTGCTTGTGACTGATTTGTGACAGACTTGGAGCCTCACTTGTGACTAACCTGCGACAGCCTTATGACTGCCCTATGATTGTCTTATGACTGCCTTGTGACTGGCTTGAGCCACTAGAGTTTATTCTACTCACTTTCTTTGAATGTCCTGTAGTACCGGACCACGTTAGGATGTCTGAGATGTTCCTTGATGATGGTCAACTCACTGACGATGCTATCAATGCTCTTGTCTTTCTCCTTGATTGTCTTCCCCACGGCCGGGTTGTTGTAGCGAATCTCCTTCAGGGCCAGGAAATTCTCCCCTGTGTTCTTCTTAACCTGATGGAAACAAAATAGAAATGATTGAACGATCGTCCTGATTGTTCAGAGAGTTCCTTTAAAAAGTGCCGTCTCGGACGCAGGATACAAAAGCTGGAGGCAGAGCCGTAGTGAAGTCCTTACATGTCAATAAATCCTCCGCCCCGAGTCAAGATACAAGTTTTTCCTCCCCTGTTAATTGTGATATGACTTGTGGATCGACTTGTGACTTTCTTATGACCAAACTTGTGATTGACAAGCGTGTGCGTTGACTCACTATTTGATGTGTGATCAACTTGCGATTTGACCGTATGCAAATGCCGACTGTATTTATTATTACAAGGAATTATACACTTGATACATTATACATGTTTTACACTGAGAGCTTAAGTCTTTAAATTTAATTGCATCAGAGCAACAGCAAGTCTTTTATGGAATGTGAGTATTGATCGAGGATTGATCTAGGATTGAACGAGGATTGATCGAGGATTGACTGAGGATTGACCGAGGATTAATTGAAGATTGAATGAGGATTGACGGAGGATTAATTGAGGATTGATCGAGGATTGATCAAGGATTGACTGAGGATTGACCGAGGATTAATTGAGGATTGATCAAGGATTGATCGAGGACTGACCGAGGATTGATGGGGGATTGAACGAGGATTGATCGAGGTTTGATCGAGGATTGATCGAGGATTGATCGAGGACTGATCGAGGACTGATCGAGGATTGATCGAGGATTGATCGAGGATTGATCGAGGATTGATGGGGATTGATCGAGGATTGATCGAGGATTGACTGAGGAATGCCCGAAGATTAATCGAGGATCGATCGAGGATTGATCGAGGATTGATGAGGTTTGATCAAGGATTGATCGAGGATTGATGGGGATTGATCGAGGATTAATCGAGGATTGATCGAGGATTGACTGAGGATTGAACGAGGATTGATCCAGGATTGATCCAGGATTGATCCAGGATTGATCCAGGATTGATCGAAGATTGACCGAGGATTGAACAAGGATTAATCGAGGATTGATCGAGGATTGATCTTACATACCTTGAAGACACTGCCGAATGCTCCAGTGCCAAGGTGCTCATAGACCAGGTAGCCAGAGATTAATTTAGACGGTTCCTTGTTCTGATTCACTTCTTGGAACGTCTGCTTGATCTCTTGTGCCTTCTCCCTCTGTTCCCAAAAAAATTAATTATAAATATACATTCGAGGCAAAAATGCTTGTCTACTAAAAAAGATTTGAGATTATGACATGTTATATTATTGTTTGTTTGTGTTGTACACAGCTAAAAGGTTTGTTTATTATAGACGAACATCATGGTGGTAAAGTTTTCCATTTTTATAATAACAACAAAATATTATGGCTAATGACTGATCAAAACCATGAAAAGAAGAACAAATTCAGATTTCTGAAAACAGTTAAGAGATGTTCTCTAAAGCACAGTATTGGCTGGAATAGAGGTTAAGCAATGCACAACCTCATTTTTGTAAAATAATATGCCTGCCTCAATACCAATTGCTTTTTAAAGAGAATCCATGCTATAAAATGTAAATTTCAACGAGGCCCAGATAAGTATCCAAAATGCCATCAACATCGGTACTAACAAAATCACGTTTCAAGAAATCAACTTGGTGGACTCACCGGTAGACTGTTGACCTTGGTCACCAATGAATTGTAGGCACTGATGTCCTTGACGTAGTGTCCCACGTCGATGAACGCCTCAAAGAGGTCCGGCGGGAAGAGACGCTTGAACATCTGACGATTCCGCTCCATGCTGAACAGGAAACGCAGCGTTCGGAAGGCGTTTTTCTGTCGATTCGTGGGGAATCATTTGTAAAATTATTACATTTAACCCTCCCATGCAAACATTCATTCTGTGCCAAGTTGTCCTTGCAGTCCAAATCAATCAAGTGACTGTTTTCAACCCGTAAGAATTCCCAGCCCACATAAAGCAGGGTCAGCTTTTGACTGCTTAAGTAACTTGATACAGCTATGCTTTGACTCCGGGTGAGTGATAAAACAGCTGTGACTACAACGTGCCTGTTTTGTCTGTTGACCCAGTTTGACTAGTCACAGTGCTTGCTTGACATGTGATCTGACTGCTGGTGACTAGCCTTTGTCAAAAGTATAGCAGGGGAAGTGGAAGTGAATTTTGACTGTCTGTGACAGCTTAAATAGCGGGAGGGTTAATGGTAGACAAGTAATAGCACTCTCAATTGAAATTGACAGATTTCAAGACATTTTGGATAATTTGGAGAGCAGATCATTACAAATTTAGGTGATATCAGTCATATTATTTGTTTAGATATATTGAAATCTGCCATGTGATATCTTACTAAACTAGTATAATGTTGGCGTGTTATTTGATCTTGTATTTAGGATTTTAAAAATAGGTTAACAAACCTGTAAATTGGTCATTGCTTCGGCTTCCCTTGCACTTGTGGTTGTTTTGGGGAATATCAGCATGCCAAGACAATAAATACCATTGTTCTGCAGAAGGGGAAAAAAAAAATTAAAATCAACAAAAATTATTTCATATTTAATTAAATATGAATAACAATAAAATTTTAACATCAGCCAGTTAACTAGAAACACCCACTTGAACAGTGACATCTCACTTTAATACGTTTCTCCACAAAAAAAGGAAAAATTATTTTTAATCAATTCAATGACCAGTAAACATACCTGTACAATTTGCTGGCCGTTGGTGTCATTCAGTACAAGTTCTGTTAAGGCTGAGCAACACGCTGCAACAATAATAAGCAGTTTTGTTTCTCGTAAAAATGTGAAACTGAGTCAGTACAGATTTAAGGGGGAAAATGCAGAAATTCATGATATAAAAATGAAATAATTGACGAAAAAAATCTTACCCGACTGAAGAGCAAATTTGTCTGACAGCTGCACTTCTTCCTAAAAACATTAAAAAAAAAAAATTTCAAACTCTCAGAAAAAATTGAAAGGCATTGAATCTGTTTTATGTTTTAATGGCGCAGGATTAAAAGTTGTTGTGATAATTATTTAAGCTTACCGTTTCTTCGGGGAAGTTCAAGGAATGTATGCGGCCAGAGGAACTAGCACTGGGTAAGCTGCTGGTTGATATCCGGTCTGTCGTGAAATGTTTACCCCTGCAACAAATCCAAATAAATTTCATTAATTTGTTCCTGTTAAAAGTGCAAAATGAGTATTACCCTCCGAGCAGCGAAGTGGTGATTTCATTCTCCACATTTTCCAAATATGGGCATAATTTTTTTTTTAATTGGCCAATAAGGCCAAGCTTCCATGTAATCCTCACCCCTACTATACACCACAAGCCTGTAGACTCCCATTGGCCAGACCCTACCCACTCCGGAGTAAGGAGTGTTGAAAGACAGAAGCCAAGATGGCGCCAATCCCTTTGTGTCAACCCCTCATGCCGCCAGGAGCCCAGACAGGTTGTAAACAATCCCTGGCCATGTGAATGACCTATATCTTGTGCATGTACAGGCATGCCAGGGTTACTGACCTATTAACACATGTGGTGATACAATTCTCCACGTGGTTCCACGGTGTGATTTTTTTTGATAAGCTGCTCGGAGGGTTACTAGAAGATTTAAATCAGTGAATGACTTTTGGACACCGATCTACTTGTGTCAACTCTTGCATAAGCATTGCATTTTCAATCCTAAACTGAAATCCAATTATCCAACAAGATTATGACAATTCAGTATTTTTTTTTACTTACTGCAGAAGCGACAGCAGTAATGGAATGCCGCCCATGATTCTAACATCGTTGCTCGTGTCAAGATCTCCAGACAACAGGACGACACACCACACCTGGAAAGAGACCATAATATATTCAAGCTTAGAATTTATAAAACTGTCAATTTATCTAAAACTCTGAGCAACCTTGATAACATGACACACAGCAAAAAAATCCTAAGAACAGTTCTCAGGAAAAGGGGATCATAAGTTAATCTCCATAAAGTTAAGAAATAAAAGTCAGGGAATAGCTCCCAAAAAATTCTGATCGTCTCTTTTCAATGAAAACTTGGAATCTCATAGACAAATTTGTAAGTCTTCGAAATCGCATGAATATCAAAACTAACAACAGATAAAAAATTAAGACCATTAAACTAGGCTTGGATAAAGATTTAACTAACCTAATTAAACAACCAGGTTAGATAACTATAAACCTAACCAAAGTCATAACTATGAACTTACCACATCTAGGAGCAGCTTGATGTTATCACAGTGTAAGACACTCAGCAGTACTGGGACACCGTCGCATATCTTGACCTGTTCCTTGACTTGGCTCTCAAGGCACAGAGTCCGAAGTAAGACCGCTGCCAACCTGTGTGCAAATAACAAAATCAAGAGGAATTTACATTATTTCATTCAAGAGCATATATTACATTCAAGAGCAAGCTATATTTCACAAAAAGGACAGAGCACACACAAAAGCAAGATGTAAATTTACGAAAACTGAGGAATGAATTCACTCGGGTCGGACTCAAACCCGAGACCGCCTGATTACTAGTGTGGAATCTCACCACGTGACTACCAAGCTTGCTGGGTTTGGCTGGCCAGTTTTTTTTTGTGCAAGCCCGTGACAACACTGTGTCTAGACTGCTTATCAAATTACGTCAGTGAAGGACAAAACTCTTGAATGAATTTACACTTCCCGAATGCAAAATTCCTTTTTGCAAAATATAGTGAGGATTTATTAACTTACTTCTTAGAGAGCATGTCATATTCTTGGATGATTCTCAGTAGGGTCTCTATGCAGTCCAGTTCTCCAATCAAAGCTCTAGGCTCAGGGCTGACCAAATAAAAAATAAAGAAAAAATTCACAAAAATAAAATAAACCATTTTGAAACGTATAACAATAATTTCTCTTTACAATTATTAACCATGTTCATGAGGAATAATATTGGTTCAGTGTAGTTCACAATCTCATCTCTAACTCCACAAACACCCATTTACATTTCAGGGTGTATAAGAGAATATTGTAGTAAAGTGTCTTGCCCAAGGACACAAGTACCCTGACTCCAATAATAACTTACCTCTGTGCTATACTTATGAGTGCATAGAGTGAACAGTGCAGTACCATGACGTCACTGGCAGACAGGAGTAATACTAGTGGCTGCAGAGAAACAAAAAATATATTTATTTTGATTTTTGTTTCATTGTTGTGTTTCATTCTTTTCTCATTTTTTTAATAAGTTACAACTTTTCCAAACATGAGGTACGGAGAATGAGGAACCAACCTTGTGTGCTCCGTATGCAATCAGCCCATCCCGCTGTTTTTCATCACTAGCCAATTTCTGGAAAATATCTGGGGGAAAAAAAGGAAAAATAAAAAACGATGAGATCTTAGCAAAAGAAGTAAAAATATATTAACTTTTTCATTCTTGCGAGTTTTTGACAACATCTGCGTTAAAACCGTGGAGATTGTATTACTCGGACTGTTTTGAGCAACAAACTTTATGAAAATTGTTTCAATTTTTTTTTTAAATTCTTTCAGAGGATAAGGATAAATTTGACTCACTCGTCATTTCCTTGAGGATGTCCACCATAAACGGTTGCTGTCCATTCCTGAGATAACTTTCTGTGGCAACTTGCAGTTTCTGTGACGATAAAAAGGAAAATAAAATAAATCCTTTTCAAGAACTTAGTACTAACTACTGCTCCTTAACAACAAATGACGAAACTGATGTTGCGTAAAAACAAAATGCTCAAATTCAGGTAAACTCCGATTTCATTTTTCACATCAAGTTATATAACAAACTGAACAAAGGCAATATGGGTCCAAAATTCCCCAAATTAAGGAAAAGTATGTTAAAAACACTTCAAACCTGGTGCAATTCATTTATCTTAAATGAAATTGATTTTATGGTAGTCAAGAATTCTAATGTAACATTTCAATAATTTAATTTACTCACTAACAAGTCATTGCTTTGACTTAAAACAAAAATAATGAGTACTGTACCTCTGATAATACTTTTACACCCTCCGACTTGAAGAGAAGTTTCTAAATTTGGAAGAAAAAAAGATACATTGTACATGATTCTTAATAAAAGCACTATACTACATAAATGAGGGGAAACATGCCAACTTAACACTGACACATACTGTAGCCTTCACTTGTCAAATTATGATTTTTTTTCTTCTGTAATTGAAGAAAAACAGAACTGAAGGAGGTGTGTAAGGAATTATGCTTTCCAAGAAGAATTCATGAACATTGAAATGGTAAAATGAAGAATATTCAGATATGGACAGGATAAAAGAAATAGATTTTAATATGTGACTCAACCAAAGATGCACTTAGCCTAATTTGATTTCTGCGGCAAACTCTGACGGACACTTTTGAAAAATGCTTTTAGATATAAGAATTGTATTTAATGGCGTAATGGTCGTTACGGAACATAAGGTCAGTCCTGAGCAAAAGTAGTATTGATTGAGTACCCCACCCACGAATAATGTTAGGCAGTTGTTAGAGACTACACTTATCATTTATATGTCTTGAAATAGAAAGGGAAAAAATTGATCAAAACCAAATAATTTTTATGTGGACCTGTCAAAATAAAAAAATGTGGCTCCTTTTAAGATAATGATAAATTCCTATGAATGGTATTAGATAAGACCAAGTAATGCTCAATGTCGAAAATATTTCAAATTTGCTGGGTTGACAAAAAGTTGAAACTTTTAAATAAAAACTATAAAAGCAGAGATTTCTACGAGATCCTTTCAATGTTAGTGCATGCAAATTTAAATAAATATCAGACTAGTACCGGTAGGATATCTTAATTTTTTTCTGTACCTGATAAGCTTGGTCCCTCAGGAGCATTCGAAGGCACAGTAAAACCCTAACGATATTTTCTGGGGGCGCTCTGACCGACCATTCTCTGTAGAAAGAGGGGAAATAAAATCACATATGAGTTTTGCAACTGAAAATTTGTAAAGAAAAATCTACCACAAACATGGCTTATTTCTATCAGAAATATATTTTGGCAACAGTCATTTTTTAAATTCCAAAAAGTTGACCCAAATTGGTCTAAACGGAAGACATGTTTTCTTTTTTTTCCCCATTTCTAAAAAAAATACAATTCTAGCAAACTGCAGAGATATCTTCAGCAGACGTTTAAAGCAGATGTTCCGATTTCCCGACCAATTCATCACACTTTCTCTTCTATCTCAGTCCAATTTATAGAGCGGCCCGACCCGTATCTAAAAAAAAAAAAATCCGCTTCTTGATTTATCAACCACTTAACGACTCGACGCGATATCGCAAACAAAAAATAAATTACGGATGAGCCTGCAATATTGAAAGCCAAAGCCCCCCCCCCCCCCATTTATACCGCTTCGTGTCAAGGCTGTCAGTGCAGAAATCCATAATTTACTGTTTGCACTGGAGCGCAGGGCACAGTGTCTTATTGATGCGGGAATAGAGGAATGGTTGGATGTATCACTTCCTTGCGAGTTGGACCGTGACTAAATTGACTCCTTAAGGTGGATGTCGATGGGCCTTATGGAAGAGGGAAACCCCATCCAGGAGTGGTATTGAATGATGGTGCTTCAGTTTAGAGGAGTCATCTTTGCTGCTTGCAATCTGAATTGTAGCCATGTTATCAATACAGAGAAATGGGGGAATAAAGGATTACAAAATTCAAATTTAAGCTTTTCGGGGGGGGGGGGGAGTTTCAAAAACCTAAATTGACATGAAAACAAATTGTGAAACATATTTTAAAACGGTTCACTTACATTTGACATAATCTACTTTTGACGAGTGCTGAGAAAATCTGTTTGGGAAAAATAAAAATGAAACTTACGAACATAGGTTAAAATTTTAAAAAATTATTGTAATTAGCGGTAAGATAAATTACCTGATCAGTTTGTTTTTAATTTACCTCTAATAGCTAAAATGAAAAATAGAATGAAAACACAATGAAAAGTTATTGTTAAGAACTGTAAACACACTAAGTATACAGTGTTTTTTTATACGTCGGTGAAGGGCAAAACTGATATTGATTTACATCACCCCGACGCAAATTCCATCTTATGAGTACTGTAATCAGTCTAACAAGCACGGACCTCAACAACAGAATATCTTGTCCCTATTTTATCTCCAATGAATATATTCCTCGGACATATTTTGATACCGTCTCAAATGAATAAGGTCAGACAGGTAAGTTCCAACCGTTAACAATTCAGTCACAGAATATCGATTTCTGTGGTGAGAAATTCTCAGGAAGTCACCAGCATATCGCTCACCAGATATATTTTTAGGAATGATTTATGAATAGGACTTGAAATGGAGAACCAATGTAATACAACGTTCACATACAAAGGGGATTCGTTTACAAATTGTCTGCATTTGAGATGAGGCCGGGTGTTGACAATGTGAAGGGATATCACAGAAAGGTTCAAATTTGCATATTTTTTTAAAACTCTGGCAGGACTTCTACATGTCACTTGGTGGTCGGTGGGTCTGTATGTCTGTCTGTCCCCGGAAATTGACCAAAAACATGTGTCCAAAAATTTACTAAATGCCATGCCGTCGTCAGTAAATGCATTCTTGACGAAAGTTATGGGAAAACGGGCTTTGTCTCCATCAATGCGCATGCACGTCCATTTTGCATGTCTGTCCCCTGAAAATTGACAAAAAACGCGCCCCTAAATTTCCCATAAAATATAACTACCAAATTGTAATTTAAAGGAAAAAGCAATCAAAAGGAATGACATACTTTACAAAAATTGTTTATAACAATTTGTAAAGTTGTTAATGAAAATTGTGTAAACGGAGGCAAGATAATGTGCAGTAATGTTATAGTCATGTGGTATATTGCGCACTATTTTTATGGGAAACTTAGGGGGTTTATTTTGGTCAATTTTCAGCGCGTGATATCTCAGAATCACTAGTAGTTTTGGCTCGAAAAGCAGAAAAGTATTTTAAGATTTGTTCATCAAAGGTTTTGTATGGTAATCATTCATAAAGCCAATTTTTACATTTTCTTTTTTTTATCTAGCAACATTTTTCCATCATTTTATCCCCACAGAAGTTACCAGAAAGCAAATTAACAAAATATACGCAAGTCATGGGAAATCTTTGCTGAACATGTTTTCATGTCATCACAAATGCTTGGGTGAAAGACTGCGTGAAATGACTGTGTGAAATGTACCACCTGCGAGACATATTTCATCGAACAAAAGGTGTATTTTACTCTTCTTGTACGTGAATGTCAAAGTTGTAAGTGGTCATTATGAACATGCTTACCACTGAAAAATAAACATAAACCTTGACATAATATCAAAGTTTATGCCATTTTGGCAAGACAAATGCCATTTTAGAGTGTACAACATTGTTACAAGGTTGGCATGACGCACACAGTGAGTGTAGCATCCACGTACACCAAAAGCTTCAGTACACCTACGTTTACGGCCCAGTCACGCACGCACAATTAAACAAGCGCTAATAACGTACTATCCCAATGACATCATTACAGCGCGGAATCCAACCTGCTCCACGCAAATTACAGACAAAAGCCTGGTTTCTATGGCAACACATGTCAATGGTGAATTTATGATGAGTGCCCGACCGAAAGGATGGACTTTTCCTTTCAGTCGAACAAAATTCAAGAATTGTCAGCCTAACTATTTTTAGTCCAAACAAGGGTTTTTCGGAGTTGAAACCTGCATACATGTGTACCACAAACCTTGACAAAAGTCTCACTTTGCATGGATCGTTGTAAGGTTTTGGGTTATATTTCACAAGGTTGATGTTACCGATAGCTTTCGGTGATATCATTCTTTTTCTGAGGATTGAACCTACAAAGAATTTAAGATTTGAAAGGTTAGCAATAAAATCATACCTGGTCAAAATGTTTCCGATGCTTGTGTGCGCTGAAATTCCTTTCGCTTTGATATTTTGTGCTGTGGAATACAAGTAGACGTAATTTAATATATTTAAATTGATTTAGACACAACAATTGAATAATTTTGTATTTTCTTGCTTAATTTTTTAAACAATTGTTCACATTTTACGGCCACAGTAAAGGTACAATTAATGCACCTCTAAATGTAAAAGTCGAGTCACTTTTTTTTGTAAATCAAATTCACTTTGATTTTTAACATAAATTGGCCGGATAGCTCAGTTGGTAGAACACATGGATGTTTTTCCAGAGGTCAGGGGTTCCAATCCAGCTCCAGTCAATTAATACTAACCCCTTGGGTTAATCCTAATCCATCAACTTTCAATGCAAAAAAATGTTGGTGTCCTGAGTCCATCAGAATCTACCAGTGAGTCAATCAGAATACACCAGTGTAGTACATAATACCTCATGCGTGTACACAAAACATATAGCCAAGGAGTGAAACTGTTGAGATCCTGAATCCATCAAAGTCCCCCAACTGCTCAAAATAGAGGTATCCTGAATCCATCAAAATCCTGCAGTACCGCTAGGCTTACTGTCCTGAATCCATCAAAATCCCCAAATTTGTTCAATATGGAAGTACACTGAATCCGCCAATTACTTCAAAACAGGGGTGTGAGTTTTGATTTTGATGGATTCAGGTACGTTTAGGTTAATGAATCTTGCCCGTTCTTGTTACGGTTTATTTGAGAGATTAGTTGTCTTTATATTACCTAAAACTTTCCAGGGCCACGGCTTCGGAGCTCTGGTGCTGGCATGAGCCAGACTTGACGGGACGCTGGGTCCCATTCCCGGGCTTCAAGACATTGTTGTTATTATTGTTGTTGGCCGGGTCATAATCCAGAGACGGCAACTGTGAAAAATAAAATCAAGAACTTTTAAGGGCAACGAATTCCTTCTTAGTAAAACTGCAATTTTTACAACTTTACAAAAAGAAGAAGAAAAGATTTGTTATTTCTTATTTAACTGCGTAGCCCATTCAGTGGAATCCACAGTAATGAGGAGACAATGTGAAGAAATTACAGTTTTAGATGTGGGAGGAAAAATAAATAGAATATTCTGAGGAAAACCCACAGAATCATGCAGGGACGGAAAACCCAATCCACATATTGGCCCAGGCAGGCATCGAACCCCAGTCACAGTGGTGGAAGGCAAGGAAAGTACCGCTACATCAACCCGACTTCCAAAGTTAGGTTCGAAAATTGGAACTTAGGAGATTGGAATCTCATTATGTTCAAAGAGAAAGAGGAATTTTGGAAAATTTCAAGTGAATCAACGAAGAAGTATCTTTGACATAAAAAAAAAATTTTTTTTTCAATATTTGAAAATTTAGAAAAACAAAAGAACTTACCTGTTGTTTACTTGCAGGTGTGTTCAATAGTTCTAGAAGTCTTGTCAGTTCTTTGGTTTCTCTGCAAAAAAATAAAAAATATAATATAAATTTTCAAGTACATGTACGGTACCATTCTGTAAATCAACTACATGTCATTGTCAAATGATATTTTTAAGCTGACACCGGTACATAAATTCCATTGTTATTCACTTGTCACTTGTTCAGGTGTTTTGACTGATACATGTTTGTCTGCAATCTACAATGTATCTATAATTTTCGAAACAATTAATGTGGTTAACTGAATATGTTTACATCAATAAAAGTTAATCACTATTGACACATTATCAGCCAGTAAAACAAAATTGCCTACTCTCTTTAGTTTACAATATCTGTCAACCACGGCCAATACCACCTTTCTAATGAAACAATAATGAATGCAAGTTCTGCAATGTTAAACACTAATGACCTGCAACAATGCAATATAGATTGTGTATTGTGTTTACAAACCACCAGAACAAACTACTGCGCCTATTATCGATGTACTCATTAACAATTTAATGGTGATTAAAAATAAAGTGACTGTCCATGTTTGTCGACACACACGGTAAGAGTGGTTGAATGACTCTTAATTGAAGCCAAGGTTTTTTTGTTTTCAGGAGAGTAATTATCAGGTGGATACCCCAGCAATGGCATTGTAAGAATGCAGGAACAATGAAAACACCTGTTAATGGATTGGAGATTTTAGTATCAATTCTGTGTACAATATTTCTGGCAGATATCATCGGAGTTTTCACGAAGAGACAATTTTGGCAAAAATCAATATATTTTCGAAATTCTTTTTTGGGCCGAAATCGATTAAGTGTATTGCAACGGACATCTTGGCGAATTTATTTTGTCAAAATCAGATGAAATCATTGAGATCATGAGAATCAATAAAGGGAAAATTTCACCCAAGTCGTATTTTCAGTTTTCACGAAGAGACAATTGGATCATTGCCAATTTTCCCGGCAAAACCAATCGCCTGTGGAATTTTGAGTTTTCACGAAGAGACAATTGACTATGAATGTTAATTGCTCCGCAATTAATTGGTCTATTGACTCGCAATTGGTACAATGTGTAAGTGTGAGATTTCAGCTTACTATCGGTATAAAAAATAATCAACATGTCCTCTAAAAGTAGGCGAAATCTTCAGTTTAAAAAGGGTTCAACTTTAAAGTCGATTTTGTCAAAACTAAAACTGTATGTTTCAACGCCCCGTGGCCACAATTGTCTCTTCGTGAAAACTCTGACGATATTTAGCAAATATATTAATGTCAAGAACTGGAAATTCAATGCTGGATAAATTCAGTCTTGCCACATACATGAAGCTCCAAGATTTGTAAGTTTTTATCATTTTCAGTCTTTGCTGGGGTGGGAGTACAGACATTCATACTTAACATAATCTCTTCACACAAACCCTGGGCTACCCTACTAAATCCTAAAGAATTAGAAAACAGATTGTAAACCTCCGGCAAAAAGGTTCTCATTCAATGCTCAAATTAATCGCATGCTACAGAAATCTCATGCAAAGTATTGAATTTTGTTCAAGACGAGGCCTGGACAATTTCAATAAGGATTAGCCACTTTGAGATGGATGAAGCTAATCCCTCTCCAACTTAAATCCCCCACCACCAATCTCTACTACCACAAAAGGCCTTCATCTCAATTTTTTCTCGCAATCAGTAATGCCGTATTGCAAGTTGAGCCTCTGAAAATATTTTGGCAGCCTTCAGGCGGTTGGCAAGGAATGCGGCCACAGAATGTAATCTGGAAATGCAGACGACAGATTGCTAACAGACATGAACTTGAAAATACGGCATACATAACGTGTAGCATGTTAGCATACCAGTATGTTAAAAAGAAAGTAAGTAAAGTCTGTCCTGAGCCAATGTGGCTCATCAGGCCGGCGTTTATCTCCGGTTTCAGTAGCATGAAACGACTGAGAATATTTCTACTCCCCCTGGATGGGATGCTAGTCCATCGCAGGTTTCTCCCAAGCTAATGTCGGTACCCATTTATACTCCTGGGTGGAGAGGGGCTATTGGGGGTGAAGTGCCTTGCCCAAGGACACAATATATGACAAGCGGCTGGATTCGAACCCCGGACCCTCTGATCAGGAGTCACGAACCCTAACCACTAGGCCAAACACTCCCCAGCATATGTAACAGAGCACAATTTAAACGACTGCGCGTAAACCAGTGTGTGAATGGCTGTTGTATGATGGCCGAACAGCGCCACCAACAGTTCCTGAACGGAGTCTAATATGGACCCCTCCTGCTGTCAATCAATAATAATAATAAGTGCTTACATGTATATATAGCACTTTATACCAAAGGTCTCAAAGTGCTTCACAATTAGTACCAGTTTTTTTTGCAGTAGCTCGAGATCAACGCATTCTGGTCTCTACCTTCACAGGTACCCATTTATACTCCTGGGTGGCTGTGGCGAGAGGCAATGTAGTAAAGTGTCTAGCCCAAGAACACAAGCACCATGTTCCCCGTCAGGGTTCAAACCCACATACGTGTACGACAGCACGGGAGTCGAACATCGTAACGATTGGACCACAGTGCTCCACAAATTAACAGTGCACCAATGGGATCAAGACTTTTTGTCAGGTGACGTTAGCTCGGTGATGTTAGCACCGTGAGACGTGTACACAAATAAAAGGTGGGCGGGGCTTATGGCCAAATGAAGGGGAGGACAATTTGAAGGACTTACTTGTTTGATTCCGACTGCCTGGCTTTCTTGTCTTCGCTCGGCATCATGGCAGTCACATGACACAATGACGATTCAATGTGCGTAGCTCCTCATCGCAAGTGTCTTTGGTGTTTTGTTCCTTGGCGTCAACGTTTCAGGCAGCGAATGTTGGTCTTCATGGCTAGTCTGCAAAGCTGAGTTTCTGTGATAAAGAAAAGAAATGAAATTATAATCTTATGATTAGAAGGTACAAAATTTCACACTTAGCCGACAAGTTCAGCTTACATGTACATTGAGAATGGCAGGAAAACAGTGCTGACTTAGCATAGAAAATTTAAGCAAGTTTTGCCTTAGTTAGCTTGCTCTTTAATGTGCTAACTGCTTGATTTTAAATCTGGGGAGTGGGGACCCTCTGTCATTAAGACAGCACGGTGCATGTATATTATTTAACCCTCCTGAATTCAACAATACCACCCAGTTATTAACCAGCATGTGGTCTGGACAAATAAATACTAACAAAATAATTGAACAATGTGCAAATTTGTACTTTTCAATTGACAGGTTGCATGAACTCCCAGAAACATACATGCTTCGACGAATCAAGGCCTGAATGGAACAACTTTTTTCCAAGGGTTGTATCTAAAAATTTTTTATACCCGATCATCCATTTCATTCATCACAATTTGTAAGGGCTTGACTCGGCCAGTCAGCCAGAAAAGATCGCAGTCGGGTAGTCCAAACCAACAACTGTGTAACTCTGTACCGACTTTTGTCGGTAGGTAGAGGTCGTCAACTTTGGTTTACAAAAGACAGAAAACGATTGCTGCGGTCAGCTGAAGCCTGGGCATATTATGACCACCATGTTATGACCAACTTGACCACTGATGACCAGCTGACCAAGGACCAATCATACCTGTGGTCAGTCTAGGAGACAGGGATCTTTTGTTCTGCCTGTATCTGCTTGACTGCATGGAGACAAAACCCCGAGGCAAACAGATTGAAGTGATTCGGAAATTACCCTTGGAACTTATCAGTAACAACTAATGTGTACACATACTTTACACCTACTTAACTTTATCACAATGTACATTTGTACATGGTGGGTCATTATTACATGGTGTATCACATGTACATGTATGGCACGATTATTCTGTGCCCACTTCAGTGATTTTAATTCTTAATCTTCATGTGCATGTTAATGGGGTTTTTTTCAGGGCATTTATTAATCCCTTAAAGATATAGTCCATCATTTGTAATTCGTGCATTTTGTTCGTTTGAAGCAACAAAAGTGTTCAAAATCTAAAGAAGGATACTGAACAACTAACCTGATGAAGTTTCAGCTAAGCTTCAGCTGTATATTCCGAGAAAAACAGCATTCTAGGATCTCAATTTCAAATCAAAAGTTACTGAATCATGTTTTGAATTGTTTTGAATTGCAGCTATATGCGACGTTGCGCACTGATCTGACGAATTATAGCAACAGCGCGCGTGTGCGTCGTGCCAATGCTTGCGCGCGCTTTGCCGAATAACAAAACGAACAACTAATTTAAATGTTCCTACGGTGCTTCTTAAGACGCACCGTTGGAAAGGCCTTCTCTCGTTGATTACTTCACAATGACAGCTTCCCAGAAAGGATAATTTCACAGGGAGTTTAGTTCCATTACTATCTTTCAACCAAGTTTATTTTTCAACAATAATTACGCCAGTTACTTTTTGGATGGCTACAAATGATGGACTATAGCTTCAAACCATCGACTCATGCATTTAATTCAAACAGTAAAAATTCCATGTTATGGCTATGCTTTTCTTCTGTCTGGTTAGACTCGATTCCAGATGGAAACTTGATGTTTTCTCATACTACACATGTACATTTCTACAACAAAGCAACCTGTACATGACACTATCAACGTTTTAAGTTTCACTGACAATGAAATGGAGATTTTTCTAAAACAGCTTTTGGCTTAAGGCACACATCAGGAACCCTAAATCCATGCTTGAATCCAGACTAACTACCCTTCCTAACCCTCAGGCACTCCAATCTGTTCAATCACTCCTATCCTCTAGTTTACAGCCACTTTGACACAAGTTTACGGCCATAAACCCAATTAACTATCAAATATCTCAGTTCAGGGTCTGGTCAGGTGTCAATTTTTCTGGCATTGAAATCCTTCAAATCTGGCAAGCTTGACACTGGTAGCCTGAGGTGAAGTGCGGAAATACAGGTCAGTTGAAAAGAATATCTCGTTCCATTCCACTCCAAGATTTCCAACTCTGCTTCCTTTTTTATGTAATGATTCTTTCTTTTTTTCTTCTTTTTTTCCAAACAACCTTTTTCTTTACTGTATACATAGCCCCTGTACTTTAAATCTGAGTAAAGATTCCGTGGTTTTCACTAATTTTTTCTTGCAAAGAAAAATTCAAAGTTTTACTGGGGAGCCTCAGAGTGCCTAGTTTTATAACATAAAGCTACTGGTATCTGAAGAATATGTCTTTTTTTGGAATATTTATTTTAAGGCCAGGGTGGTGGCCCCATGCAAAGCAAATGAACTTTGGAATATAAAAAGAAAGAACCAACAATCATTTGGGTAATACCGGTACATTCTGCATGAATGATTTCAGTAAATCAGCAATTGAGGTCGATACAAGTGTTCAATAAAATAAGATAATCCTTTTTATCCCTCCATAGTTCATGTAAATGTCAAAAAATGAAGTATTACTTTCAAATATTTCAGCAAGTAACAGTTCAATGAATCTGAATCTGAATGGTTTAGTTGGCGAAGCATCCATCAGGAAACATCACACCAACTTGTTGGTTAGTTTGGGGCGTGGAGCTGGACGTGTTTTCAACAGCCTATATTTTGGACCACTGAACAATTTGAGGAGTTGCGCTCTAAATGATGAGCGAGACGTTTTCCCAGATTCACTGATACTAGGTGGGAGACTGTTCCGATCCTTGATTGTGGGAAAGATGCTGTTGTTTTTTTTACAATTTTTTTTTTTTTTTGGGGGGGGGGTGTGGAATTGACATGAACATCATGCTTTTAACGCAAAGACTGTGACTGGAATCTCGTAAAAATTAGTTCATTATAATACTACAAACAAACCAACATGTTGCTCAATTAACACCTTACATTATAAGACCAGCATCTTTTCCCTCATTCAACGGGCAAAATAGTATTTATTTTTAAAGTTAAAGGGAATGTACATCATTGGCTTTTGCTGTAATTGTGTAATTTTCAGATATGAACTATTTGAGGGGTTAGTATAATTGCTACAATGACATATGTTTGAAGTTTTGTGTTAGAAAATGCTGGAAAAACCAGGAAAAACAAAAATTTCCAAGTAGTCTGGTTCCCTGACTCCATTAAAGATGAAATGGATCAATTCATAGATGCTGGAAAATTGTAAGGTAAGGGAACATCTAGCTGGCCTGCACCTGTTCATGAACATGTAACCAAACGCAAACCAAATGTGGACTGAAAAAAATGGTAAATTTGGAGCAGCACTTGAAAAATAGTTAGGTTTTTCCAACGGTGGACAACCGACCACCGTTGGAAATTTATACAAAATACCACTTTTCTTGAAAATGACTTCACGCCGGTTGCCATAATTTTACAGGATGCTTCAGACTGTCATTTGCCAACATTCCTAGTACAGTATTTCGTAAAAATTTGGTAGTTTTGTTTTTCGATGTTTGCAAATGTTGTATAATCCCTTTAATACTGCCCAGCCCCTCAGATTGACCACAACGCATTTTATGCCAGCCACCCCACACAACGCTGGAATGCGGCCGCTTCCACCACATGCACAAACACAGCGTGTGCTGTCATTATCAGTGGGAGGCAGGGTCACTGACAGCACAGCATGCTAACAAGAGGTTGGGCAATTAACTGCAGACACCTGAGAATACAAACTACCTGTTCAATCAATCAGAACTCCTCCCTGTGTTGTCTGGAAACACAAAAATGTTACCATGTCCAATATAAAATTGGTGTGCTCCATGGTAATATTTGGGGATAGCAATAGTTAAGAGAAAAGAAGAGTGCTACGAAACTGCAAAAGAAGAAAAAGTTAACAGGAATAATCACAAAATGCTCATAATTTTCAGTGATATGTACACACTAACAGCTTTTTGAAAAAAATCACTCTTCAAATCAGAAAAAGAAGCATTCACTACAAAAAAAATGTAATACTCTTTCACAGGTATCCGTTGCAAATGTTATGACCCGTCCTTAAGTTTCCAGTGAAACTGTGTCTACAGCAACAGTGCAAATACTGGGCGGGCATCACTGTTTTACCACCTGAAGTAAAGTACACAAGACAACTGTCCAGCTATTGTATTGGTTCTGTTTTGGGGAGGCTTGTATCACTAGCACTGGACTGCTCAAACACTGCCGTAAAATGCAAACAGAAGTCTTAAATAATCACATTCTTATGGTACAGCTGTACAACTGGCATTTCCATTGACAAGGGAAACCACAGTCCAGATGGACACAAAACGACTGAAGATTTCCAGTCAACTTAGGAGTTGATTTCAAGAATCTCTGAATCACAGCATCGATACAAGTGAATTAGGGGGGGGGGTTGCAAAATCGTATTAAAATTGGATGATTCAGGACTGCTAGGGCTATGACATGAATATATGCATATTATTATTAAAGGGAAGATACAACATTTGCAAACATCAAAAAACGAAATCATCAAATAATCACGAAATACCATACTGAATTGTTAGGGATTGACAGTCTAAGGCATCCTGTAAAATTGTGGCTCCTGGTGTGCTGACATTTTCAAGAAAAACTGTATTTTTCCAACGCTGGTCGGCCGACCAGCGTTGGAAAAAAACTGGCTTTTTTTTCAAAGCTGCTAACTTTTCACTATTCCGCATTTTCTTTGCAATTGATTATACACCTGTGAAGGAGGTACAAGCCTGCTTAAGAGTGATTCTTTGACCTTACAATTCCCCAAAGTCTTTACATTTCTCCGTTTAATCTTAAGTGGGGTCAGGGAACCAGACTACAAGAACATTATTGGTTTTTCCAGCATATACAAGCCCAAAACATGAAACAAGTCAGTTTAACAATATTTGCTATAACAGTACTAATCCTCCAAATCCATTTATTTCTGAAAATTACAGCAAAAGCAAATGTTGTACATATATGTACATTTCCTTTTAACACATGTATACACATGTACAAAAATGCTAAAACCTTATCCGCAAATTTTCTTGAAGTACGGTATCAATATCATGTACTTTATGTACTTTACGCCAACTTGACTTTTGGACAATGCCATGTTTGTGACACAGGTACTACTACATTCAAGTTACACTTTAATCAACATTTAATTGTAAAAATATTTTAATCAAGCGACAGTCACAAATTTTGTTCCATTAATGTTTGGGTCCCCAGCCATTGACACTTCACGTGTGTGTACTTTCAGAAACATACTGGTGCCAAAGTTACTGTCGAAGAAATTATACTGACAAAAGAAGAAACTGCTGAACTTACCAACCAACTGTCACAGTAAAATCCAACAGAGTATCACAATTATCATCAAAAACAGCACACATTGAGGCAAAGTAAACTTATTCCTTCATGGACGGATGGGACACAGAGCAAGAAAACCTTGCCTGCGGAATGGACGGACTGATACAATTTAGTGGGAGTCCCACTCCAATCATCTCACAGAATGCATCGCGGGTTCTGTGAAAGGATGACAGGGGGGTTTAAAGACCTTTGTGGTTTTATGAGGAGACTTTTCATTCCTATTGGATGGTGGATGACTATGCCTATTGTTAGTCAATGAGGCATTGTGGATGGGCTTGTAAAGGCAGGTAGCCAAGCATGCAGTGCACGAGGGGTACGTGATTGGCCACAGAGGGGGATGTGAGGGGTACATGGAGGGGTGCATGGAGGGGTACAAGAACTTTCCAAACAATGTATGCAGTGGGGGAGATCACATCGCAACTGAAGAGAGACCACAGCGCGGGATTAATCTTCACCAGCTTGAATAATAGATTGTGTTGGCTGTAATGTTTGGACACAAAAGGGGGTTTACTCTGGCTACCTGAATCAAACATTTCTGGATCAGGTACTTGGGCAATTTTGGGATGAATGACTGGTTGTGAACATGTACCAGGCGGGACCGCAGGACATAGGTGAACTGGAGGACGGGTGGTGCCAACTGATGTGGAAATGATGAAGTCAATACTTGGAAGAATGGGAGAGAGCCGGAATGACGTCTGTTTAGTGACAATTGAATCCGTAACAGAAAGCTACAGAGAAAATAGCCTTGAAGTACCCGGGTAAACATGTTGAGCATGTAAACACATTTCGGTACATGTTTACTTGAAAAAAATGTATACAATGTAATGTAGGCAACAATAACCTGGCCATGCACACGTATACCGGTACATGCCATTCAATATGAGATCGCTGGAACTCAGCCAGCCCTTTTCCTTTCCTCAAAACAAACCAAAACATACAAATGCCTGACTTTTCAAAAATGAGCAATAAAGGTGAACATCATAAATTAGTCAAACTGTACCACTATCAGGAGTTCAAGATTCTCTTCGGCCAACTTACTAATATAATAATATATTAAATATGTATACATAGACCAATCCATTTATTTCCATGGAAACTCCAATAAAATGATAAATAATAAAACCGTCATGGACAAGCTCCTTGCTCAAGTTTGCTGTGTACATCGATCAGTTAAATTTGTTTTCATAATTGTACTTTCATGTGTATACTATACATTGCACAACTGAAAAAAAAATGGAGAAACCTACAATTTTGAAAACTTGTGGGTTGCAAACTTGTGAAACGGAACTGCTCCATCAATTTAGAGCTCCCAAATTTTAACAGAAATTTGAGTTCTTAATCTCTTCTAATGAATACGTTCACTGTCAATTCAGCCAGTGTGAAACTTCGATACAAGATAAGTTCATTCTCATGATTCTATGAAATTCAGTTTAAGTATAGAGAACACATGAAATTTCTACTTTGAAAATAAGTTTGGAGGGCAAACATGTTTTTGAGGAAAATCGCACGTACACCAGTTCAGTGAGGCATGGTTTGACAAACAAGACCATTCAGGACAAAAAAAAATCGTCTGCGGTCTCCATTAGTTTACGCCTTTTGTTGGAGTTGCCAAGGCAACCATTGAACCACCGGTAACCCTCGGAGTGAATACCAGGTCTTTCTGAATACTTGGGGTTTTCTTTTATTGCCTGTGGGTAGGTGAACCTTGACGAATACAGCCAAGTTTTTGTAAACCAATGTTAACGTTTTCAAATGGGCCGTGCAAAATACAATTCGGTATTTAGCAGAGAGACTTCACAGTGAGTGGTAGGCCTATTGCTTTGATGAGGAATCTTTTATCATTTTGTTGCAATTGTTATGTAATTCTAGTTAATATCCGGTTCGAACAAAGAGAAGATCGTGAATCTGATGAATCAGTTCTTTTGTCATCTTGTGGGATGACTCAAGGGAAACTCCCTTTACCATCTTTTTTCTTGGAAATGGTAATTTCTTTGCAGCAGATGTCTTTGAAAGTTCTGTAACATACAATGTACAGTACATACATGTAATGTAATTTAGGTTAACTGATTTGAAATTAAACTCTATGATTTGAGCTTAGAAAGACACAAGAAATTGAACAAGTAAGAAATTTAGTCGGAAAACTCTGTGCAGTTTAACCTCACTCAGTCATATGATACTTCATTTATGAGATTTGAATCACAAGGCCAAAAGCTTTGGCCAGAATACAACTCATACCCATGGAAAAAAACCTACAACAATAATTCACCACTCCCCTGGACAAAAAAAATATATCATCAATTTCCCATGACTCAATCTTGCAGGCCAATCTCTCAGTAGCATCCAATCTCCATTTCATCAAATCACAGCCTGCGCCCCATCACACCCCAAATAAATCTTTCTGACACTTGGACAGCTCTGCTAAGATTGTCTGCTCGGGAAAGCATGAAAAACCTGTCTGCTGGTGATTAATTTCAAGGGAATGGGCGCCCGGTTTAGTGACAGTCATGTTAGATATTTGATTAATGGAGGAGGTTTGGGTTTGAATAGTAACAGGGGGAATAAAATTTAAAGGGAAGGGGTGTCGGTTCGTGTGACACTTGTTTTTGTTTCATTAAGGATGTAGATTTCATCATGGTCTGCTGAAATTTGGGATGCTGGTATCATTCATGGTTGAAGAGATTAGCAATGAGCAAGGAATGTATCATATCAGCCTCAAATTGTCTACAGTACATGTACATGTCGGGTGACTGACTCACTAGAGGATTTTCTGCATCATTTTAAACCATCAAGAAAACATGAGCTCTCAACTCAAAAGTCCTTTCCAAGATTCACAAACCCCAGCTCCTTTTATCCATTCTTACATTGTACTTGCAAATTTACATGCCTGCAAAAATATACAGTCGAATCTCGTTTGAACAAACTCGTTCGGACCTCGCCAAATTGTTTGTTACATGTATATATATATATCAGAATTTTGTATTAAGAGGAACATCAGTCCCATTCATTGTGCATATAAATGCACAGTCGGGACCAAGGCTTTATGTTTGCTATAACCAGAATTTTGTATTAACAGAGTTTGTACTAACGAGAGTCGACTGTACTTCTTTTTGTCCCCATGCTCAGTCATGCAACGGAAGAAACTCAAATGTATGATTTTTTTTTTAATGTACGGTACCATATCTGAAGTTTGCGATCGTTGCACTTGCCAAAACTGACTGGTATGCACTCATGCTATCATGTGTCAAATACCATGGAGTCTTACATTACCCAGGAAGTATTTGGCTGCTCAAGTTTCATACTTCGCATACATGAATGTATCTCATAGATTATGTTTCAAAGTACAAGTATTGAAGTATGAAGAGTCATCATCATTTGACGTGTTTTTTTTTTTCAAAGGCGAAAATCTCTGAAGCAAGTCGAAGCTGATAAAATAAACACTCAAATCGCATCAATTGAATGCTCTTTTCCCCCATTTTGATTGGTGTCTGAAAGCAAGGCTAGCTAATTGCATACTGAAATATGAAAATCCATTACTAATATATTCAAATGTACTGAACCTGCGGCAGATCATTCCTTTAAAGGGAAGATACAACATTTTGCAAACATCTCAAAACGAAAATGATCAAATTATCACAAAATACCTTACTGGATTGTTAGGGAATGACAGTCTAAAGCATCCTGTAAAATCGTGGCTCCTGGCGTGCTAACATTTTCAAGAAAAATTGTATTTTTCCAACGCTGGTCGGCTGACCAGCGTTGGAGAAAACTGGCTTTTTTCAAAAACTGCTTGCAAACTCTTTGCTGCAAAAACTATTTGCAATCGATTACACACCTGTGAAGGGGTACAAGCCTGCTAGACTGATTCTCTGAACTTACAATTCCCCAAAAGTCTATAAATTCTCCGTTTCAGTGGGGTCAGGGAACCAGACTACAAGAAAATGAATGATTTTCTTGGTTTTTCCAGCATATACAAGCCCAAAACGTGAAACAAGTCATTTTAATAATATTTGCTATAACATACTAATCCTCCAAATCCATTTATTTCTGAAAATTGAAGCAAAAGTAAAAGTTGTACATTCCCTTTAAATGTTTCCACATCTTAAAAGAGTACATGAAGGCCTGCGTTTCTATTAAACCCATCAATGTCAATTGAGAATCACCAAGCGATTGCAGCTGCAACGCTGTATCCAGTGTCACTGATCAATGAGTCTGCCTGCGTGTATAAATCCTAGAATATGGACAGACTGTGTGCAATTTCCTGATGAAGCTCAACATTTAAACGACTGTGTATTTACGTGGAATGGCAGCGTATAGTATGCAATTATGCACGCTGTCCTTCAGAGGTCTTCTTCGCGTTTCGATCAATGTCAAATTACATTTTTTCCCCTCCCACAATGGTTAAAGGGAAAATACAACATTTGCAAACATCAAAAAATAAAACTACCAAATCATTTTGAAATACCTTGCTGGACTGTTAGTGAATGACAGTGTAAAGCATCCTGTAAAATCATGGCACCTGGTATACTGTCATTTTCAAGAAAAGTGGTATTTTTGTATCGATTTCCAACGCTGGTCGGCCGACCAGCGTTGGAAAAAACTTTTTTTTTTTCAAATACTGGCCCCAATTGACCATCGCACATGTTTGCAATCGATTACACACCTATGAACAGGTACAAGCCAGCTAGACTGGTTCCCCGACCTTACAATTCCCCAATGTGTGTAAACTGCTCTGTTTCTTCTTATATGGAGTCAGGGAACCAGACTACAGGAAAATGATTGTTTTCTTGGTTTTTATAGCATTTTTGAACCCAAAACCTCAAAAAAGTCAGTTTAACTATATTTGCCCTATATTTCCAACCCCCCAGTTCCATCCATTTCTGAAAATTACAGCAAAAGCAAATGATGTATATTCCCTTAAAGTGATGTAAATTCAGTACATGTAGGCATAACAGCTTTCAGAGCATATTTTGTAATAACTAGTTGGTTAAACTTTATTTTCGATGAAAATAAAATAGCCTTGTCGGAAAAAGGGCCTTAATACTACAAATACCGGTACAGCATTTCAAACCTTCAAAACAATTCTTCAACAATATTTTGAACAATCATCGTTTGAAAACCTTAACCTTAATTTTGCATGAAAACTAAACCCTTTGCTAAATTTAATATCAATGATAGGATACCAATTGCTAAATACTTGTCTGAAAAACAGCAACGCCAGGGCAATTAATACAAGGCCTTGCCTGGCATTGTGTATTCAGTTATGAAAAAAAAACAAATTCTATTGAGAAGTTGAAGGAAAATAATCCATTACAATAAAGTGGACACCTTTTTATGGAACCCTGGGGCTTAGATGGTTGTTAATAATAGAATAAACTCTGGTCATGGTAGTGATTTTGTGTGACCTCTTGCGAGCCACCGTCATTTGCATCCGAGGTAAATGACTTCGGAAATAAAAGCTTTCAATTTTGGTGTTTGGCGAAGTGTGGAATATATCCCTATTCTCAACTCCAGCATTGCACAAAAGGTGACAATTCAGCCAGGGATTAGTAACAGTTCACAGAGCCATCTTTGGGTGGTGAGACCCGACTCAATCAACTAGAACTTTCTAGGCTCAGATTTAACCCCCAAAATACTTGATACACTCAACTTACAGTCTGAAGGCACTTCAGAAAGTCTGCCAACATTTGCATCTTGCAATCAGGGAGATTTTGTACAACAATCAGGGAGATATATAGCATTTACATTCAACAAAATAGGGAAAAAGTTTCCATAATCAGGGAGATTTTCACATTTTTTCATCAGAACATGGAAAGATTGGTTTATTTTCAGGGAACTTTCTGCAGAATCAGGGAGAGATGGCACTTCATCAATGTTTGAAAATGAGCCTTGATTATTAGAAAAAGTTGCTAAATTTCCTGCGCATGCAAATGTCAAAATGCTAGCAGAGTACCTGTAGTTCTGTTTTGACATTAAACTCAATGGAATTTTCCTAGGTGTTTTTAGTGGCAAACTGCTTCAACGTGAACTGGTATTTAAACATTCTCATTTGTTGTCTTGTTTCATCAGTAATCATAATCTTCTGAGGCTAGAGCCATGAAAAGTTCAGTAAATTTGTCAGTAACACACTTTCAATAACTGTGAATGTTGTGATAGTTAAAGAAACACACAGAATTTCAATTTTGTTGTTTTTTTTCAGGAAAAAGCTGGGTAGACAAATCCCTACACTGCACCTTTAAATGAATTGTCCAAATTGTCACTCAACAATTCAGCAACACAGCAACAATTCACACCTGGCTGTACACATGTAACCGGCCAAAAAGCCAGAAGTTGGCTTTCTGAACTTTGCTCAACTCTTTATGCATTCTTCTCACTCCCAGGGTCTGGCATTGCATTGTGCACACCTGACACAGTCTGGCTTTGGGTGGGTTTTCGCAGCAGGAGGTAGAAACCTCACACAATCATAGCAGGATTTGAAAGGGCTTGTTTTTGAGAGGGGAAAAAAACTGAATTCAATTTATCATTTGCGGGGGACTGATTGTGAGCAGTGGAATATTTTTTTTAGGAAATACATGTAATTGTGGCTACTGATATTGTTCAGGAATTCTTTTTTCTCTTTTGTTCAGGATCAATCCATTTATAATGACAAAGTATGGTTAAAACTCATACCGTGAATTTTTTTCCACAGAATTCTTGGATCTTGTGTATTAGAAAAGAATGGTACTGGTTCTAGCAATAGTATGTGAAAACCTCCAGTTGTGAATGGCACAGCCAAGTACCACCGGTACTCTGTACTTATGACCCCAAAAATTCAGTTCAAGCACGAACCATTTACACATGATTCAATATGGCTCATGTGTAAATGGTCCGTGTACTCATACATGCATGCACTGTAATGATTGTGGAAATCGTAGTGGCATGGAACCATCAAAGACAGGATTTTCTTCCATGCATTGTAAAGGCCTTTTTAACAATTACCCATAAATTTGCAGTTGGGAAAATAAGCATCACAAATATTTTGCAGGATACCAAGAATTCCCTTCAGATTACTTTGCAATTAATCGAAAATCGATTAATGCACAGGTATTTTAATACACCTGTATTTTGTATCATCCTTCTGAATCACATATTCCTGCATGTATCTTTGAAATGAACAACTCAATTTCACAATTCCAACTTCTAACACACAGAGTCACTGCACAAAAGCACTTCAAGCTATGTGTACAACCGGCATGCATTACTCAACAGATCCTGCAAAATTATACAAACATCAGTTCCACCGAACTACCTGTTTTCAATGAAGGCAGTAATACATCGGCATATTTCTGTTAATCACACGGAGAGTCCTCGAGCTTTGGACCCGTGTGGTTTTGTCATCTGCGAAAACCCACTAAACAGGACTGTATTCTAAATACACGCACACGTATGCTAGACGGTGATATATTTTTGTTATCACGTCCATGGGTCTGTGTCTATTTGTAGGGCTCTCTGGGCAGGACAGGATTATGAATGCTGACGCAGTAAATGGAATGCTTTTGATAAGAATTTCAGCAGGATTCATGGATTTTCAGTGTGAAAAGGATGTAACAATGCAAAAATATGGGTAGTTATCACTTCACAGTTGTGGGGAAAAAAAGGGATTCTTTTAATATTTAAGGAAAATGATGATGATTTAGTCAATATAAGCAATTCTCTTCTAAAACTTGTAATACACTTAGCTTTTAGAAAAGAAAGAAAAATGATGGATAAAAAAATAAGTTTTATACTTGCAGCTACATGTACTTAAAATAATTCTTTAAGTTAAGGGTAATTGGGTTAAGCTGTCTTTCTCATTTCATAATTCATAAATGCATCTTAATATTCTTAATTAAAAATTGAATGCCCCATTTATGAAATTTGTGTAACTGAACACAAGTTTACAATATAAATAAGAATAAAACTTCATCAATGCACACATTTCTGTACTTTTGCACTGTAATTGAGAACTTGTTTTAGTACATTTTAAAACTGCAAGAAACTATTGATACGCAAGATATATGTTGGGCATGATCGGTAGATGTGCGCTATCGGTCGTTCCGAGATATCCAACAGAATTGACCCACTGCACAACGCGATCGACCGTTAGCGCACATCGACCGATAGCGCCCAAAATACATGAACATGTAAAGTGTACATTTAGTTTGGTGAAATTCTATAACTGCACAAACTTATTCCCATTAAAAATTCCACTTTGTCCACATATGTATGAATTAATTATAATATAACAGTCACAAAAACCTGCACAGTACAGCTCTAGAAGATAAGCAGTCCGTTGGCCAATAGCCAAGGGCTTTTTCTTTACAAATTGGTTAGCAAGGAAAGACTTGAGTCAACACTCTTATTGATTTCTTTGGGAATCCTTGAGAGCATTCAACCGGAAACCACCGTCCTCGCATTTTTTTTGTGTTCTTTTGAAATACGTGTTCCATTATTTTGAATTGTCTCTTTCGGCTCGTTTGTTTTTGAATACCATACTAGACTTCTCCAAAAATGTTACAGTTTTTTACACATGGTTTTCCACTGCATGTGAAGTATACAACTTACAAGAAGTGGAACTGGGAGAATCATGTAACAATACACGTATAGTCTAGAAACATGAATCAGCAAGTTGGTGAAGAAACAAGCCTACTGCATTAATTTTTATTCCCTACAAATTTTACATTCATGATTTGTGAAAATGTCAATGTCATGTTTTTTTCCCCCGAATTACAAACCGAGTTCTTCCCCTTTCATTAAAATTAAAGCCCTATTCAGTATGTGACGAGTAATAACGCAAAAGCCAAGCCGGCTTTTCGAACAAGCGAAGTTTAGGCCAACTCTCCGAGCGAAGTTTCGCCCCATTCACCAAGTGCACTGATCCGTGGAAAAAGCGTCCCTTGCAACCCATAGCTTTCTGCACATACCTTCAAAGCCGTCTTCTCCACATCAACTCGCAAAAATAACTGCTCCTATTTCGGTTAGTAACTCAACGTCAGCAGTCAAAAGTCCTTCTTCGGGATACACCAAATGTCTTGGTCACTATCTCTGTGCCCAAACAGTGACAAAAATCTTTCAAGGGGGGATGCCAAAATCGATATTTTCGACAAGGATTCCAACAGTCCCTTCTGATGCAAATTCCACCTGTCAATGTGGTCTGGCCTCGTAAGGCACGTAATGTTCAGCATTTAATTATCAGCGATCAATTAGAGTCGGGAACCAGACTCAAAACTGACACCAATTACGACGATAGAGGGCTCACATCAACTTTCGATTGAAACGTTTTGTCGTCTGCTCGTCATGCCATAATGCAATGCCATTTGTAATTTGAGACAAAAATTCAGACACAAAAGGATAGATTACATTTTCAGCGTATTATTTTTTTTTCGTTATTTATTAATTTATTTTACACTTACAAGATAAAATATTGCTTGACATTTTTATCATTTTAAAAGAAACTAACCCTAAATTAGCATACAGTCACATGGCCGACATAAACCGATAAAAATAACTGGTTGTCATTATGAAACAAAATCTGGAAATAATATATGGGGGAAAATAACAAATATCAACACTACAACATGCTTTGAAATAAAATACACAGGAAACAACTGTTTTTGTACAAACAATACAGCAAACATATTGTGCATTATTCAACAAATTCTCTGCTGACCAAATATCGATTATACAATTAAAGGCACTTGTGTATTAATTATGCATTTCTATTGATACAAAAAATTGATTGTCTTCTCGTCTTACAGTTTTAGTTACAATGTTAGTTTCTCAAAAAGAAATGTACAACCCTTTTGCAAACTGAAACAATTCTTCTGTATTTCTTTCCGAAAACCAACCAAAGCATCATTTCCAATAAGTATCTTTCCAGCATGATACTACCATCAGTTTTTTTGACGATTTGAAAACCAAAACCCCAAAATGACATACAGACGTGGAGTAAATTCTCAGGTGGTGAAGGGAAGGGGGGTGGGGGAACGCTAAAACTGATGCTTTGAAAATCGATGATGTTCTAACAGAACTTTTCAAAAACGACTCTGAAAATTGTCAGAGGCTTTGTTGAGGTTTGAATATGTTTCGTTTTTTTTTATCATCAAAAGAAAAACTGAGTAGTTGTGTTAATACAGCCCACCGCGAACTCTCAACAATCTCACTTTAGTACCGCACATGACATTAAAATCAATGACATTACGCGGCTGAAAGTTACTATCCAAATGTCCAACATGAAACCAAAGCACCGAATTCCAAAGATAAATTCTCTTTCTTTTTTAAAATTGACAAAAAAGCCACATTGACAAGTTGATTTAAAACTGAAAATACAACATATATCAATGTGGTCAACAGAGGGCAGTATTCAAATGAATATTTATATTTTTAGTATTTTTAGTTTTGGCACCAATAACTATATTTGAAGACGTTGAGACGGGCATGCTTCTTAAAAAAGAAAATTGGAAGAAATGTAACTATTTCGAAAATCTACAATACAATACAAAGATTTTTTTTTCTGCTATGAACATAAAGCTTTGCAGTTGCTAAATTGATACAATTTTTGGAAAAATATTGTCTATGTTCAATATATTAGATTAAGTAGCCAGCTCATTACAATCATTGCTAATTACCAAAATTTGCATTTATGAAACACACACTTTGATTGTTATAATTATCATCTCTTTTTTTTGCACCTACGAGATAGAAAATGCTGTACAAATCTACAAGAACAGGCTAAATCCCCTTTCCCACTTAAAAGGGAAAAAAAACTTTTGCGTTTTTTTTCTTTGAAAAGTTTGCAAAATATGTCACTATTTCCACAACTGGAAATTGGACATAGGTCTGAAATTTAGCAAAATGTACACTTTTCCAAAAAGGAAAAGGATTTTTTCCCCACCATTTATAACCATTTGTTAATGATACACGACCACACGAAATCAAAACACTTTCTACGGAAAGTAATATGCAAATTTGAAAAAAACTAAATCGGCAGCCCTAAATTACAAATATTTGAAAAAACAAAACTTCCTCACAAAACAGAAAAATGTGAAATGTTCCAAAGAACGTATGTGCCTTAGCTGTCTGATACATGAATGTTTTCCCTTACCCTTGGTCCTTGCAACAAGTAGTAAATATATTGTTAACGGACAATACATTTCGACCAATAAACAGAGTGCTTTAAGCCTATTTGAAATTTGTAAACGAAAATGGCCGATCACCGACGAAGAATGCTGACTACATTTGCTGTCAACAAAGCACAGGGTTTGAAGAAACACTTTAAAATAAGTCTACAATATATAGACAGTATCTACATTAAAACAAATTCCTGCAATGCTCCTTAAGTAAACCTTTTGAAAGACAAAAAAACTATTTAATACGTGACAAACAATATTGTTCCCCCCAAAAAAGGAAGCTAATATATATGAGATAAGGGAGAGTTGGCTAAATAAATTTGCTAAAAAAACGTCTGGATAAACAATGCTTACTAACAAATGAGTTGCATTTTGAAAGAAAATCTGCAGAAAAAAATTCTCCACATTAAAAATGGCCTTCTTTCCTTTTTTGACATTTTGCAACTAAAAACTGAGAATTAATGCTAGCAGAAATACTTTCTCTTTGGTTGAAAAAAAAAAATAATAAAGGAAAATAATGCCATTGTAAGTTAAAAAGGCAACAGTGGTATCCACATGAATTTTTCAAAGGCTGGACACTTATCATGCATTTGTCTTGTTTGACTTAAAATTCTACTTTTCAACACAAGTTTGCATTGGCTTTTCGAGTAATTTCAACCCGAAAAAGATTCATTTTTGTGGTCAGTGGTGTGCGGTATATATTGATACAAAAATGCATGGGGATATGCTTTATTGGTTTTCGTGCAACATTCCACAGTAAAATTATTCCGTGATGATTTCTATGTTTTCGGACCATATTTCTACGTTTTCGGACTCCGCTTGTGCCACAATTTATTCCGTCAGTTGAGCAAGATTTTAAACTGCGCAACATTTCACTTATGGCACATTTCACGAAAGTTTCATGGTGCGCAAGTCCGTGACTTGTGCAATAAATTACGGCGTAACTTGCACAATCATTTTAGGTGGCGTACGCAACTGAAACTGATCTATTTTATAAATAAATCGTGATCGTCATGGAGCCTATCATTGCACAGCTTATCAAGGTTGATACAAGACACTCACAGCTTGGTGTTTGAGGCACAGAATTGCTATTTTACTTGTGACAGAAGTTTTAGAGTTGCCAAACAATTTCGAAAAAAGGCGGACAAAATTCTTTTCAAAATGGTAGAATGAGGTGATTCAACGACTGTTTCAAGAACGAACAAATTCATACACAAACTGCTGTCGTAAACGCTGTTATTATCCTTGTCCAAGATGTTTAGATTATTTAAAACGTTGCGCAGCTACGCCAAGCTTCGTGAAATCGATCGTAAGTTTATTGCGCAGATGCGCAATAAATTTGTTGCGCAAGTCTGCGCAAGTCCTACGCACTTTTTCGTGACATTGGCTGCATGACCTTTTCCCCTTTATAGTAATACTGAAAATTAGGGTTTTTTCCCCCAGAAATAATGTTACCTTTTCACAACCATTCATCTGATTCCATAATTTCTTAAAATTTGTTTACGCTTCCATGGAACTCCTGCTGAATTTGACAAAAAATGTTGGAGACAATTTTTGCTGGCGCTGGAACAACTTTTACCTTTTCATCACACTTTTTGGAAGGATTTTCCCGAAAACATCAGTTTTTCAAATTGTTCACGACTTTCACGAGTGCATGACCTGTCTCGATCTGTATCTTTTCCAGACTTGAAACATTCTCATTTGCAAGGAATTTCCAACAAAATGCCTGCTTCTTTTCTTATTATCAAGGAATTTCCTACAGCAAATTCCAGGTTTTCCCAAAACAATTCCTAAGGCATTTCCCGGAAATTCCATACTCACAATGTCATTCCGGCGGCTTGTCCATCCTTAAAACAACTCATTTTTTTCATGGATATTCCAACACTAGATCCATGTTTTCCCAAATATTCTCAAGGCATACATTATGTCCAAAGTTTTCCTACTGTTTTTTCCGGTCGTTAAACCTTCTCATTCCAGTTCCAGCTTGTCATGTCCCATTGCTGGGACTTGTGTCCGTTGCAGGGTTTCATGCTGGGTTCATCTTGTGATTTATCCGATAGATCCAAGCATAATCCATTACTGTGCTTCAATTCCTTGGTCTGTTTGAAAAAAAAAAAAGTTGAGGGAGGAAAAACGAATTCACGTTACTATCAATCTTTATCTAGCAGCAATTTTGTGATGGACTTGTGATGGACATGTGATGGACATGTGATGGAAATGTGATGGCCATGTGATGGACATGTGATGGAAATGTGATAGATTTGATATTGCCTTGTGATTGGCTTGTGATGGACTTGTGATGGACCTGTGATGGACTTGTGATGGACATGTGATGGAAATGTGATGGACATGCGATGGACATGCGATGGACATGTGATAGATTTGATATTGGCTTGTGATTGGCTTTTGATGGACATGTGATGGACATGTGATGGAAATGTGATGGACATGCGATAGACATGAGATAGAATTGATATTGGCTTGTGATTGGCTTTTGATGGACCTGTGATGGACCTGTGATGGACCTGTGATGGACATGTGATGGACATGTGATAGATTTGATATTGGCTTGTGATTGGCTTTTGATGGACCTGTGATAGACATGTGATGGACTTGTGATGGACATGTGATGGACATGTGATGGACCTGTGATGGACCTGTGATGGACATGTGATAGATTTGATATTGGCTTGTGATTGGCTTTTGATGGACCTGTGATGGACTTTTGATGGACATGTGATGGACATGTGATGGACATGTGATGGACCTGTGATGGACATGTGATAGATTTGATATTGGCTTGTGATTGGCTTTTGATGGACCTGTGATGGAATTGATATTGGCTTGTGATAGGATTGTAAGGACTTGTGATGGACTTGTGATGGACTTTTGATGGACTCGTAAAGGACTTGTGATGGACTTGTGATGGACATGTGATGGACATGTGATAGACATGTGATGGACTTGTGATGGACCCGTGATGGACTTTTGATGGACTCGTAAAAGACTTGTGATTGGCATGTGATAGACCTGTGATGGACATGTGATGGACATGTGATGGACTTGTGACGGACATGTGATGGACCTGTGATGGCTTGTGATGGATTTGACATTGACTTGTGATGGACTTGCTCACCTCGGTATTATGTGCCCATTGTTGGTTGCCACCCTGTGAGTGACAGCTCAGCATCATGATGGGCCCGCCCCTGGCCACGTCCAGACAGACGTCGTCATGTCGGAGCTCCTGCAGTCTCGTCATTGCCCAGATCTGCCCAGAGGGAGGAGGAGGGAAAGATGGAAGAGCTTCAAGAGTCACTCCCACTACTCATTCAACGGCTGCTTTCCATCCTATTTAACCATACAGCATTGCTCACTGCAAAACATGCTCTAGTAGATACTACTTTCATACACACCAAAGTTCTCACGGCCACGGCCCCGCCCTCTAAAAAGTTTGGCTCCGCCCATTTCACAAGCCTGCATGCATATGGTACATGCAGGGTACATTTAGATACTACAAATGGGGAAAAATATTTGGGGTATGCTGGGGAAAACGTTGTATATGTAAAACCTTGACCCAAATGTGACGAAAGAAATAAAGAAAATCGCCGTGTTGAATGGGCTAAAAGTTGAATGTTGAATGACAAAAAGGTCCTTACTATTACTGGCGTAACTAGTAAGTCAAACATTGAACATGGATAAGCTTAATGAGATCTCACCTACAGAAATCTAGGGACTGCCCCTCGAAATTCCTTTCACTGCAAAATGTGAAATTTGGATGCAACCTACTATAAACCCAAAATGATCAAATACAGCAAGTTTTGTTTTATATTTAAGTGGTCAACCCACCTGATATTTCAACCTGAATGAGTAACGCTTTTGTTTCAGTGTCTGAGGTTGGCATGTAAATAAAAGATTTGTACTTTTAAGTTTTCTGATTCTTTCCAGATGAATTTTGCAATCTATTCAGACTGCACACTGCTGTATTAAGACTTCATGCAATTTCTATAATCTTTTTGAAATGGGCAAAAATGTTAAAAAGATGTGCCCAAAATATTTCAATATGATACAAAACAGTGAATTTTTTTTAAATATCCAGATACAACATCTTATGGGCATCAGCGAACTTTAAAAAAAAAAAAATTCAAAAATGTCACCTTTGAAATTAATCAGTGTCCGCAGTGGAAATTTAAAATCAGCGCATTGGTAAAATTAAATTTAAAAAAGAAATTAGCTTAACTTTTTTTTAAGTCTCCAAGTACATGTGTTCCATAGTAGAATTCCACAATTATTAACATTTCGGGGTCTATTAAAAAATGGGTATAAGTATGCATTAAATATAATTTTTTTCAACAAACCTGATTGCCTCCCTGTCCGTGGCAACCAAAGAGGCCCACTTTGTGTCCGCTGTCCTTCATCATGGTGTCCAGGCATTTGTTATTTTGCACGTTGCGGATCTGAGGAAGAGGTAAACAAAAACAACATCAACAACAACAACAAAACTCAGTCATGGTCGAAGGGTGACATTTGACCAAACAATGGCGTTCCATAAATTCTGTTATCTTGGAAGATAGCCTTGTCTAGACAAGAACAAACTAAAACTAATTTTTGGGGTTTCCTAACTGGACACTGTTGCTAATGACCGTCAACAAATGTGCCTGCAGGCACATTTTTAAAACCCCCTTCAATGATTGTTTTCTTCCAAATGATACCATTTAAGGCGGAATAATTTCCCAGGGCTTTTGGTGACAGTCCTATCATAACTTTGAGCAAGGATTTTCTTGTTAAATCGGTAGGTACATTTCCGGGTAACTGCAAATGTCCTACGAGCCTTTAAATCATATCCACTAGCAACATAAAATACAGAGTTTGAATCGCATCTGTGTTACTTCTTTTCTTAAAAGGTTTAAACCTTCCTGAAACATGGTCAATCAATTGCAAGACATCCGCACTTTCAACCAAGAATTCATGGGTTCGAAACCAGCTGGTGTTAATTTTTTTTAAACCTACCTCTCCCGTGGATTTTGTAGTTTGAATCTCACCGATGTTACGTCTTTTCTTAAAATGTTTAAACCTTCATGAAACATGGTTCATCAATTGCAAAACATCTGCACTTCCAACCAAGAATACACGGGTTCGAATCCCGCCTGTTTAACATTTTTTTCAAAACCTACTGCTCCCCTGGATTTGTAGTTAGAATCTCACCGATGTTACGTCTTTTCGTAAAAGGTTTAAACCTTCATGAAACATGGTTTATCAAATGTAAGACATCTGCACTTTCAACCAAGATTTCACAGGTTCGAATCCCGCCTGTGTCACTTTTTTTTTCATAACATACTTCTCCCATGGATTTGTAGTCCACCGGCCACGAAGACTCCGGGTAAATGTTCTCCAGATACCACTTGAAGCTCTTGCAATGAAGACCTTCCCTGAGCGCGTGTCTCTCCGAGAGATCCCCAGCGTCCGTCTTGGCCACCACGGGCGAGATGCGGTAGTAGAAGTTCTTGTACTCGTCCAGCCAGACTTCGGCCAGACGCTTGTTGTTCTTGTTGACGTAGTTGGTGCCCGGGGGGAAGTGGTAAGGGGACTTCTTGCGGAAGACGTGGCCCACGTGGGAGCAGGGGACGAATTCTAGCTTGCCGCCGCACATCCATAACTGAGACAAGGGGTGCCAAAATCGAGAATTTCAGCGTCATACAACGTTTAAAAAAGTAATACTAAAAGTATTTGTAATGAAAAAATTTCCATTTCTCATTTTATTTTTCTGTAACCAAACAATAAAGGTCTGGGCCCAATTTCATAGCACTGCTTAACCATAAGCAGAAAAGTTGTGCTTACTATAGCAAAAAATCATGCTGCTGCTAAAGCACTATTTCATTCTAACAGTTGCGCGCGCATGGAGATTTCTATTGTTACGTCACTGATTTAAGCAAAGTTTTCTTCTGGAGTTAAGCGTGCTTTTGCTGTGCTTGCTGCTGAACGGTCCCTACATGTATAAAATAGATGGAGGCTCGGTAAGCACAAAGTCGGCTGTTGAGCAGCGCTATGAAATTGGGCCCTGTAGATAAAGCAATGAGCCTGCATGGCATTTTATTCTCAATAGAGGGCGCTAATCACGTTTCTACAATAGAGAGACATACATACATGCACACACGTTATAATAGACAATGTTTTTACACTTGTCACATAACATTACAAATTTCCGTAATGAGTATTCAAATTGATACCATACACTGATGCTTCTAAAAAGTGATCCCCAAAACGTTTGTCAAGTGTGACCACCAATATGGCTGCCATTTGGGGTCAGTACAGGATCATGCAAACCCTGTATACTACAACACTGAAGCAGGAACAGGCATTATTACCCTACCTTGAATGAGAGCTCTAGGTTTTCCCCGCCCCATATTTTGAAGCCGGGGTCGTACATGCCCAGCTCCTCAAAATATTTCTTGTCAATGGCAAACAGACCGCCCGCCATTGTCGGAGATCTACAAAAAGAAAAGATAAACAGCATTTTAATAGTGAAAATAACGGCGCCTCTGTTAGTTCTACAAACTGATAAATTTGTTTTGAACTTTCACTTTTATTTCAGTTGGAAAACAATTTCATAAAAAAACAATGACATTTTAATCGAATAATTATTAACAGAAGTAGCACAGTTGTCACCAAAATTGAAATAAAAAAAAAAAAGGTTGAATTATAAAACTGCGACCGCATAACGTGTGCTCCATAGTACATTTAGAGAATAATTATTAACAGGAGTAGCACACTTGTCACCAAAATTGAAATAAAAAAATGATCGTTGAATTATAAAACTGCGACCGCATAACGTGTGCTCAATAGTACATTTAGAGACGTACACAAAAACTGCAGCAAATGGTTTGAAAATATTGAACACATTGTTGTCTCATTCAGTTTTGGACCAATTTCAAAACTTTATGTCCCAAGTTCAGATAATGCCCAATAGGTTAGAAAAATTAAGTTGATTTCAATTTAGTGAAGGCTGCCCAACTTCAGATATGCCCAACTTCAGATATGCCCAACTTCAGATATGCCCAACTTCAGATATACCCAATTGAGAATTCCCCAAAATCCATCCGACAAAGTGTTATCACTCACTGGACTGGTTCTGTGTTGTCCCCTCTCCTACGTAGCCGCTCCCTGTGCGGAATGGGGTACCATTTGAAGAATAAGGACCAGCCAAAGCCGCCCATTTGTGGATCGTTCCCATGTTGGTATCCAAAGTTCTCATCACTAATCACGTCAATAACTGGGCAAACAGATGTTTTCCTGCAAAAAAAAAAAAAAAAAAAAAAAAAAAAAATCGGAAAAAGATGTCATAAAGATGTCACTGCAGGGAATAGTAATTTTATCTAATAAAATATAGAACTCAGGCCTACCTATCGGCAGCTATCCTTCCCAGAAGCGGTTCAAGCCAGCCCTCCGTAACCTCGCAATGGGAGTCCAGGAACGTCAGTACGTCCCCCTTGGCTATTCCCGCCCCCGTCATGCGGGCAAGTATAAGACCTGATCGCTCCGGCATGCGCGTGATGCGCACTGGCACGGGCAGTTTGGCGACATAGTCTTCTAATTTTTTACCTAAATGCTCTGTGGAGATAAGTCAAAATCAGTTATGCATTTATTATCAAATGATATCTTTTAAAGATAACCTGAATGACAGTTGCGTAAATTTTAAATAAATTTGTACTGTCAATCTTCAAACAACAGTTATTGTTCGAATTGGCGGAAAAAAATTTGTGTCAAGAATTATTTGTGTATCCCTGTACCTAAAGGAGAAATTGCATGTGAATATTTCTTGAAACAAATTTTTTTTTCTTATCAAGCGATCTAAAATGAAAATTTGGGTAGTTTATAAAATACTGATATATTGTTCTTAGATAATTTTTTGCATAACTTAATTCACAGTTTTATGTATAAAACTGTATTTTACAAATTGGAAACAGGATAAAACTGTAAAACGTGCAACTCCAACTAAGGCCAAAAAAAAAAAGTCTCCGGTTTCTGGTATGGAGCTTGCCCAAAAAGTGGTGCGGCGACGCGGCTTTTTTTTTTTTTTACCTGATTTTTTTTGCTTCAAATGTCGGCTGATGACTGCAAATGGTGTCCGACTAAACTTAGTGCAAATATATGGGAGTCCAGAGAGGACTAATAAAGCTTATTCTCGACCATAACCCAATCTAAAAACACGTTAAAATTGTGCAGCAGCAGGATTCCAGTCAAACCAGTGAGTTTGGCGGTTTTGAGACATTATCTTTCATTAAAAAATTTTTTTTTCATTTTGCCGACGTGCATGGCTACTGCGACGCGCGCATACCAGAAACCGGAGACTTTTTTTTTTTGGCCTAACAGAATATATTATACTGACCAATTATGTTGAGTAGACCTATATATTTTGTGCTGGCAATATTAAATTCGTAACTGAATAGCCCGTGTTTAATATTTCTTTGAAAAATTAACAATGGCATCCATGGTAACAATCCACTGTGCCCAGTCATGCATGAAAGAAGTCGGGTCCTGTCATATAACGCATGACACGCTTGAATGCACGTAATAACCGCAGCCTCAATTTCCCCGTGTTCAGTCATGCATAATACATGACGTTTCGAGTCATAAATGAATATGATGCGCTGTAGATGGGCATACAGCTCAGAGATGCGACAATTGATTTCCTTTTCAAGGAAGAAATTTGAGGCTCAAAAAGACCACATTCTTTATGGAATTCTGTGTGATCAATTATAGTGGCCGAAAAATCTACTTCAGCAAAGCTAGAATAAGGCCCCCCAAAAAAGTCTCCGGTTTCTGGTATGGAGCTTGCCCAAAAAGTGGTGCGGCGACACGGCTTTTTTTTTTTTAACCTGATTTTTTTGCTTCAAATGTCGGCTGATGACTGCAAATGGTGCCCGACTAAACTTAGTGCAAATATATGGGAGTCCAGAGAGGCCACATAAAGATTATTCTCGACCATAACCCAATCTAAAAACACGTTAAAATTGTGCAGCAGCAGGATTCCAGTCAAACCAGTGAGTTTGGCAGTTTTGAGACATCATCTTTCATTGAAAAAAAAACTTTTTCATTTTGCCGACGCGCATGGCTACGTAAACTCAAGGATCTGTAAACAGCGCCCTCTATCAGTAGTGCGCATAGATAATGAATACGTTACCCTGATCGCTGGCGTCGTCTACCAGAATAATTTCGGCCAGCAGATCCCGCGGCGACCGGTTTATAATGCTGTGAACGTTGCGTAATAACGTGCTCCACGCCTCGTTGTGATATACTAGGATAACGCTGGTAGTGGGTAAATTTTTAGGATAAACTTTGTTGGCACACCTGGAGAAACGAAAAAATAAAAAAAAATTTAAACAAAATCATTGAAAGAACAACTTTTACTTGTTTTAATAATCAGCAAAGTTTCGAGATTTGAAACTGATTTTGGATACATGTACTGTGCAGAAAAAGTTAGGGGGTTAATTTGCAACTTGTCCGAATTATTTTTTTAAAATCTAAAATTACAACGTCAATTTTTTTTATCTGAAATATTGTAAAAAGCTCAAATTACTTTACAACATCAATTTGTCATACATAACAAATACATTAAAAAAAACTTGGGTGCAACAATGCCAGCTTGGTCATGGAGTCATTTGTCGAAATTATTTTTTTTTTTCATTTAATAAAACAATTATGCAAAATCAAGTTGCATCCTGTTCATCAATGTCTGAATTCAATTGTGAAGTATCAACACATGTTCCTGAAAAAAAATGCTTCGCCTACGCCCATATCATCCAAAATCCAGTGTTTGCATGCTATATTGAATCAGCGCCCAAGTCTGATGCCTCCATTATTCCGATGTTTACTTTATTTCTGTATTTAGGAACACATGGCCAGAATCTCAATAATCAATATGCAGCACATGTTGCGCTGCCAATTTACCACGTGTCACATTGTAGACGCTATGCCACATCACAATTTTGGTTTTCTGTTTTGCTTTTTATATATTGAAGAGACAGGCAATGTTTTCAGAAAGGCTTCGCGTGGAATAAATGTAGAAGCATTCCCCCCCCCCCCTAATTTGTGATATTGTGTATATTTTAAAGGGAATGTACATCATTGGCTTTTGCTTTAATTTTCAGAAATGAACTATTTGTGGGGTTAGTATAATACATCAAATATTGTTACACTGACATGTTTGAAGTTTTGTTCGAAAATGCTGGAAAAAACATGAAAAACATAATTGATCAAGTAGTCGGTTCCCCGACTCCACTAAAGATGAAATGGATAAAAAAATCCCGGAAAATTGTAAGGGAACCAGTCTAGCTGGCCTGCATCCGTTCATGGACATGGAACCAACAACAAACAAAATTTGGACTGAAAAAAAAGGTAAATTTGGAGCAGTAGTTGAAAAATAGTTAGGTTTTTCCAACGGTGGTCGGGTTGGAAATGTATACAAAAGTACCATTTTTCTTGAAAATGACTTCACATCAGGTGCCCTAATTTTACATGATGCTTTAGACTTTCATTGACCAACATCCTAGTAAGGTATCTCGTAACAACTTGGTAGTTTTATTTTTCGATGTTTGCAAATGTTGTATTTTAACTTTAAGTGTTTAACTATAACAGGAATAGTGGTGGAAGAAATCAGAGATTTCCAAGTTTGGTTATCCCATTTTTTTTTTTAAACCGAATAACTGTTGTCTGATTTCATCGCAAATTCCCATCCAGCTCACAGTCATGTACAACAAAAAGTGACAAGTGAGGTGCCACATGCAATACCCTCCCAATGACTGGGTATAGCTTGCAGGATTTAATGACCACCGGGCCTTTACAAAAACACTCCAGAGGGTATCTGAAATTGGTGGGAACTCTCTGATAAGTCAAATGGGCAGGCTATTCATGTACCAAGAAAACCACTAGCAAGTGAACGCAGTCACAATCAGAGACCATGGAGCAAATTGGGAGAAGTTTCTAGGTGTGTTCTTTAACTTGTGTCACAAAAAATGGTACGTTTAATTTTTTTTTCGAGGTCAGTTTCGAATATCCAGTTTCTGAAATCGAAACTGAATAGTGAAATTCTAACCAAATGTTTAAAAATCCAGATTTAAATCCCACAGGAATATGGGACTGTGTTCCCACACTGCAGAACACTATAAAAAGAGAAGCAATTGTGGTAAAGTGGCTTGCTCATGGGCATATGGGTAAAATAGAACCAACATTCTTGGAGACTTATAGTCACAACAATATGCATAACTAACCAACCATCCAGCCAAAAAACACTCCAAAATTCTTTCAAAATTCTCTATAAACTACTCCCCTTATAAACCATAAACAAAAATGGTCACGAATATCTATAAAAAATGTACTGAATTGTGGGTCAAGGACATGTTCTCCTTTGTTAGACCAGTGTTTCCAAAGTTAAAAACAAGTTGGATTTTACTTTCACTGTAATGTGTAAACCGTTGGACATTATTTATGTTATTCAGGAATGTGACTGCTCATGTGAAAAGGTCGGACACTGTGACCTTTACAGCTGCGTTGTAAGCCATGACTGAAGACAATGGGGGGGGGGGGAACAAAATAAGAAACTAAAGGGGTGGTTTACCACTTGGGTGACTAACACAATGTGGGCAATTGGTGGAAAATTTGGCCCTGATTTAACAGAAATGAAGGCATTCCATTCAGGATAGGAAGTACATGTAACACCGATTTTCTGCTGAAACTGAACAAAATGGAAAGGAAGTTAGTTTATAGAAAATGACAGTTGGTCAGGGGTTTATATCTAACTATGCTAATGTTTACCGTTTACCAATTTTTTTTTAATTAGTTTAATTTGTTTTGTTGCCAGGAATGATAATAAACTGGGATCTCTCACCATGCTCACTGAGAACATTTTCAGGATAGTTATTAAATATTTTGTTGAAAGAAAAACTAGATTCTAGTATTAAATGTTTAAATTGTCATTGTGCCTTTTCAAACATTAGATAATTCAGGGTTCGACCATAACTTTTTTGTTCACTAGCCAGCCGGGCTACTGAAACAGCCTCTGAACTAGCCCGCGGGCATTTTCGCTAGCCCGCTTATTTTTTAGCTCAAATACAAAATGGTGAATTTTCAGGCTCAATTCTGAGGGAATTTTGTCAGTGTTTTAATAAACAGATCTAATAATTTAACCTTTTAAAACAGTTGAAAAAAACTAGACAAAAATTGATGAGGTTTACTTCCTAAATTAAATGATTTATTTCTATAATTAATAATATTTTGACTCGCCAGCCGGGCTACTTAAGGAATAGTTTGACAAGCCCGCCGCTGTTTTGACTAGCATTTGGCTAACGGGCTACCGCTAATTTCGAACCCTGGATATGTCCATTAAAATTGCATAATACTTCTGACAATGTAACACCTTGTTCAAAAATAGTCTGAAAAAAATGTGTACATTATGTGATCTGGTGTATCAAATATAAATTCACCAATGTTGAATATCAACTCCTGAAATAATTTTCTAAACCACTGTGTATGGTATTTAACTATTTATGGCTTTTAAAAAAATGTTGATTATGTGTGTCCGGGTTTCAATAATTAGCCAATCTGTATTTCCATGACCGGATCAGGAATATTAATCAATTTGTCAGATGTCATCTGGAAATAGGATTTTGTGAGGATGCCGAAGAAAAAATAATATTACTAGCAGATGGAGCAGAGAGAATATCTCTTTAAGACTTGTTTTTGAAGGAAAAAGCAGAGGGGAAAATCCCTTGAGATTCGGAAGGATAATAGGTATGTGAGTAGGTCATGAAGAATGTTCGGGAGTAGAGAATTCCATTATAGGTTTTCACTGGTTTTGGTCGCGTTTTTATGACATCAGGCACTATGGAAATATAACACTAATGTGCTTGAGGCCTAATTCTATGGGAGTTATTTCCGTTGAATAAGTCCGTGTGTCCAAAATATGCTCATTTAATTGACTTACTATGTGATAAGAATTCCACAGAATCCTCAAAATAGATTATGATAATTCACAGCACTGCTGGTTGAGTTGACCAAACAAATTTCTGTATTACAAAATATTATTGGAGCAATTATTGCTGTGTCTCGCTGGAACTTTGCTGAAGCTTGGCCCAAAAAAGTGTTTACTTAAATCCGACTTACGAAGTGATTGAAATTCCACAGACGCAAAATAGATTATGATAATTCAAAACACTGCTGGTTTCGGGGCTCAAGGAATTTTTCCGTGATCACAAATTATTCAAGACCAAAACTTGATGCGTCTTGTTGAACATTTTCTGAAAATTGCTTAATGTGATGCCAGATTTGAAAGAATGGAAATAGATTTAGTCAAAACTTTTACTTTGTAATATTAAACCTGATGGTACTTTTTTTGGTGATAAGAAATTGGTTGGAGATCAACCCATGTCGAATTGCGGTGGCTTGTCTTAACATTTAACAATTCATCAAGCTTTAAAGGGCCCATGCAATGTACAATGTAACTTTTCAAAAGCTAGCCTTGAAAATGCACCTTTGTATCCCATTTAACCTTATTTACAATTTTTGTTCTGCTATTTTTAAGGGTGTTTTGGTACCTTTTTGGTTTTCATGCTAATAAGAATTTCCATATTCATGAGCAAAACTGTGATGTCATTCCAGGGAGAAACCTCAATGTTACAGCTATTCCAGTGCAAAAAGTTATTACAATTTCGCGTATTTTGCTGTCATGAAGTTTCTTTTCTTTGGTGATTCGTTGATGTGTAAGTACTTGTACAAACTGTACATGGAGTAAGCCAATGAGCAAACCTTTCTCACAAATGTGTTCAACGAGCAAATTTTGGATTCACAATTTGAACAGAAAACCCCTAAACTGAATAGTGTCTTCCTGGAATGACATCACAGCAACAGCGCCCCCAGTTGTTTAGAAAAGCATGGAAAATTTGAAAATGTTTTTAAAAAAGTGCACTTTTCAATAAAATTCACCAAAAAAGGAATGTCAAATAGTTTTCATACATTTAAGAGTAGTAGAAAATTGCACAAAATGTGTTTCTAAGAAAAAGTTGTCGCATGGACCCTTTATGCAAAATATGTGTCACCCGAGGAAGCATAGATTGTTCAGTTGGCGGCATTTAGTTTTTTCCCTTCAAAACTAAACCTACTACAGGCCTGTGGTCATTAGCATAGAAAAGACTTATGGCTATGGGACACGTACATGTAGCTTCCAGATCCCTTTGACTTTTTTACAAAACTCTAGAAATACGAGGTGCGTTTTCCCAGCCTCTGCCTCTGAGGCGTCGTTTTAACGGTACACATCCCGAGTGTGACACAACCAATCACCGCCATTTGCCTGTGACATGGATGACCTATGACATTTGGGTTGACGAGGTTTTTAAGACTTGTCGGAGAGCACTTAAGTATAATTCTTTATCTTTTGGAAGCCTGGGGCAAAAAGCAGCTGTGTAAGGTAGTGAATACAAATTTGATCCGATCCCACAAATTAAGAGTAAATTTTTGCAAGTATCGTTTGTCATTCATTTCCTTTAAAGATGTATCTTGAACCGAATTTTGTAAAATTGACAGGATTCCGTGACTTTTAAAAATACTTTACGATCAGGGGACACTAGCAGTGTTGCACACCAACAGGACCTTAATTTTAGGCTGTATCTGATTAAAGTAAAATCCCTAAAATCAGTAAAATAATGACAACAATCAAATGCAACATGAAGCATCGATACAGACATTCATAAGTGTATTTTGTGAGCAAAACAAGGTTCACCAAGTTCTTTCTGGGACAATTTTATATTACAGTGGAATGCCGCTATAACGAGCATCGTGGGATCCACAGAAAGTGTTCGTAATAAAGATCGTCCGGTATATAGCGATTTTGAATCACCAGTACCCTCTTTTGATCAATAGTGAACTGGCATTTCTCACATCCCGCGGTCGCACAAGGAGTTGTCAGGAGACTTTAGCAACGGGTGGTTTTCCCTTCTATTCCTTGGGGAAACAATAGCCATCTATCGCGCTTCAGCATTCAAACACAATGTAACTATGGGTCGTTTGATGTTCGGGAATTAAAAGTGGCCCAAATAGTGTTTCATACATGTACAACCGGTTGATTTTTTGTTAATCTGTTGACTTTTTTCAACAACAATGTTCGGTATGTTTTGTACATTAAAACCAGGAGCCAAGGATGATGTTCGGTATAGCCGAATGTTTGGTATATCGGTGTTCGGTACAGCGGCGTTCCACTGTAAAAAGTTCCTGGCGAGACCATGGGCACGTGGTCAACATTTTAAAATCTGTGTTTAAGTTATGCGTGGTTCCAAGAAAAAACATTTCCTTAGAAATTTCCGTGTACTACATAAGGATGCAAAACTGCACTTTATAAAGTACATTGATTGGTTCGTCGGCAACAGCATGTGGAAGTCATTGAAGAGATTTTATCGCACTGTGCTACTGCCAAACTTCCTGGTGTTGCTATTTCCTCCACAGAAACATGATCAAATTTCAGCAAACATGCCAATTGTAAATCCATCGCTAGACTTTATCGACTACTAACTTGACAAGATTGGATAATGTGAAAGGGATTTTAAAAAAAAAAGGTCTTGACATATTTTGGAAGATTTGGGAGGGTTGGGGTTGAAAAGAAGATGATTCCTGAATTCTTACCCTCGCGGCCGGACGTCCGGCAGTGACCGATTGACCGATATCCGGTCGCTGGCCATGAGGTTGAACTCGTTGATTCGGAAGAGTCTCTCTGACTCCGCTTTGTTCTCGGGCTCGATGATCACTGGTTTGCCCATCTCTCCTGGGCCATCCGAGTTGAATTGCCGCGGAACCTCTGTTCGGGAAAGACAGAAAAATGAAAAATCTTGTTTTAATGTTAAAGGGAAGATACAACATTTGCAAAAAAAAGAAGAAAAAAAAGAAATCATCAAATTATCACGAAAAAACGTACTGGATTGTTAGGGAATAACAGTAAAAGCATTCTGTAAAATTGTGGCTCCTGGTGTGCTGTTATTTTCAAGAAATATGGTATTTTTCCAACGCTGCAGCGTTGGAGAAAACTGGCTTTTTTCAAAAACTGCTCCTAATTTTTCCTTATTACTTATTCTGCATTTCTTTGCAATTGATTACACACCTGTGAATGGGTACAAACTTTCTAGACTGATTCTCTGACCTTATAATTCCCAAAAGTCTATAAATTGCTCCGATTCATCTTAAGTGGGGTCAGGGAACCAGACTAGAAGAGCATGATTGGTTTTCTTGGTTTTTCCAGCATCTACAAGCCCAAAACGTGAAACACGTCATTTTAACAATACTTGCTGTAACATACATGTACTGTTCCTCCAATTTCATTTATTTCTAAAAATTGCAGCAAAAGCAAATGTTGTACATTTCCTTTAACATCGGTGTCACTGAATTGATAGGAGATCGAATATGCACACCGTCAGAATCTAGCTGAGTTAATTATACCTCATGCATATTCATGAGCCAGTTGCATTTTGTTCACAGGTCGATACTACAGGAGTAACAGAAGTCAGAATAAGTATAACAACTTGGGAAGGAAGGAGTAGTTCCCAGACTCCACATAATGGAACAGTAGTAATTGCAACTCAGATTGTTGGTGGGATCATACCAAAACCTTCATGACGGACAAATTACATGTCATATTCTGTGAGAGGGATTTCACGATTCTGTTGATTATTTTTTATCACTTTGGTATTAAAAGGCATCATAAATTTATATTGTCTATAAAATGTACAACATCATATCAGTATCCTTTTTTTTATCTTTAGTGATAAATGGGCAAATACTGTAGTATTCTATAGAATGTACTGAAATGCTTCTATGGAGAACACAAACGTTTGGTTCTAAAAGCTCTTTAAGAATATGAAAAAGCTACATTAATTTCTCTAAAACGGTGGCTGTGTCTAAGTTACAACAAGTTCAACGACATTGACTGCACCGAACACAATAAATCTGTCTTCCTCTTAAACATTGTATTGCGCAGAACCCCAATTCCCTACCATATATCTTAACTGGGTTGGAAAGGTTTACATTTGGCACAAACAAAATGCCATCACAGGTCCTAGATATAAACAGTCGACCCAGTGAGGCAAAGGTTCCACCCCTAACCTAGTAATCAATTATCAGAAAGGATTTCGCATACTCTTTGCCCACTTGAGGTCACATTATTCACCAGGACTTAAAATTGAGGTGGGGGAAAAATATTTCAACAGAGTAATTTTTTGAAAACCTGATATCAGAAAGTTTTGAGAATTTTTTTAAATTATCTGAAGCGGCATTTTTTACAGTTTGGAAAAAAAAAAATGTTAGTCAGTTTGTGGATTTTCTTTAGCATTTTTGTTTTTTGCTTGTTTAAACCATCTCGGGGTTCGAATCCCGCCTGGGCCAATGTGTGGATTGGGTTTACAGTCCTACATTTTATGTGAACCTGATTCCGTGGGTTTCCCCCAGAATATTCTTTCTGGGGTTTTCCTCCCACCTCTGAAACTGTAATTGCTTCACATTGTCTTCTCTCTACAGGTTTCTTCAGGCTTGCCAGCTTACAGCACCCAGGGTACTTTTGATAAATTCCTGGTTTTCAATCATTACCAGAAATAATTAATGATAATAACAACTATTGGCAAAAAATACTACTTTTTAGGGAAGTTCGGGACAGCTTCTTCTTCTTCTTCTTTTTATTTATTTTTTTTTGGGGGGGGAAGGGAAGGATAGTGGGGGCAAAGTGGATGGTTTTGGGGGCGATTCCGTAGACCATGGCTTTGTTACTGTTGAAATGAATAAGAAGTTCTAGGCTATGTAACCACTGATCGTTTGTATTCCGGGCACCGTACATCTGCATGTATTACTGTGATCACACAGAACAGAAACTTATTTCTGATGTGTTGACTTTTGCCAAAGGCTAAGCCACTTAATCCATTTTTAATTTCCACGCATGATTTCAAGCATAATTCATAGAGAGTTTTAAAGGAATTATTTTGTCTTTTTGGCACCTAACATGTTGCATCTGTGATTAACTCAAGATATTCTTTCAGAATACTAATGAACAAAAAATGGAATTTTTAAACATTTATGATGATGATCACAATGGCTATAGATTGATAAGAAGAATTTTCCCACCCTAACCTCTAAGGGTTTCTCAGGACTACCCTGCTAAATCCAACAGAGTCCAACGGTTACTTCCTGCACAATCCAACAGAATCAAACTGTGCCTAATTTTTAGTTGTCTGTTGGATCCAACAGAGTCCAACTCTTATTTATCGGTACCCAACAGAATCCGACTCTGAATAAATGTACATTTGTAGAAGGGTTTACTGCTCAATCAAAAAGACTCCAACAGGTTTATGGTATCTATAGTTGGATCCTGTTGGATTCAGATGGGTTAGGGTTCATTTTAAAACAAAACTTTTTGTTGTTTGTATGTACTTAAAACACCTCTTGTTGTTTATTGACAGTTTATTGACACTTTAAATACATGTAATTGTTTACTTCTTATTGGTACTAGGAAATACAAACCACAAACAAGTTAAGCTTCTTAAACCCTGTCTAAACAAAAATGGGTACATGTATGTATGCCCATGGTATACCGTGTCTTAGTTTAATCCTTGCTTACATGTACCTGTCTGAAAAAAACTCTCTGGGTTGAAATAAATTTAAATTCGTAGAAATCTTGTTCATACCATTTCACCCAAACCAGGATAATGGTTACAGAATTTGTGTAAAGACAAAAACCAAGCCTTTTTGTACATTGTGCAGTGATGCCTACACCCAGTGCAATTGGGTTTGTGCATAGAGTTAGATTGGAGCATTTCTGAATGGTTTTTGAAAAATACCTAGAGCTGGAGAAAGAATAAGGAAAGGTTTATGTACATGGTAACCACTCACCAATTTGTTTCCTTTCTTCTGGCCTGTGTTGCATCCAATCATTGGCCTTTTCTATCATGCGTTGGATTGGGCCTTGATCGTCCACTGCGGCCTCCTTAGCGCAGCCCGGCCCTATGCACGGCGCCGTGTAGTACAACAACAGACCAAAGTCAATCAAAATCCACACCAGCGACGTGGCGATGATGATTTTACACTGGCGCCGTTTCGGCATCATGGTGACAAAACAAGTCCGACAAAAGTGCAGCTGCTAAAAAAGTAGAAAAATTGTGTCTGTAGGACGAGACACCTTAACTTGACTTGAGTTTGTTGAAGGCTCCGAAATGGCTGGAGAGTTTTGGAAGGTTTCAAATTTCCAGACTCCGTTTTGGATTTTGTTTTTTGGCAGGAAGAGGAGTTGTTCCAAGCACAGCTCTTCGAGGTAGGGGTGTGGTTGGATCGTTAACTTCCTGGATGCGGAAAAAGGTACAAAATAAAGAGGCAATTAGAAGAAAATATATTTTGAAATAGATCTAAATAAGTAAATATTTGAAAATGCCGGCACAATTGCAGAATACCCCGCCACTCGATCTATCCACTCCATGCCGGCTACGGAGTCACGGTTGACTGCCCTCAATAAACCTTCTCAGCTTTGAGCCTATTGAGGCCCTTGTAAGCGCTGTATGTACTGTGTGTCATGCTCCACTGCACTCCCACTCCGTGTCCGCGTAGCCGGCAACAGGGTACAGTTGAGTCTCGTTAATACAAACTCGTTCGAACCTAGCCAAATTGTTTGTTATATCAGAATTTTGTATTAAGAGGAACATCAGTCCCATTCATTGTGCACAAAAATGCACGGTCGGGACCAAGGCTTTATGTTTGTTATTTAAAATAACCAGAATTTGTATTAACAGAGTTTGTACTAATGAGAGTCGACTGTAGTTGGTTTGGACTTCTGCAATTACTCCAAAATGCCAAATGAGGTGTTGCATGTAGCTGAACCAGGAACACGGAAAAAAGATTTTTGTTAAGTATTGGCAGTGTATATTTTGCCAGCGACGGCAAACCTTTAGTAAACGTTAGTTTGCCGGATATGCACTGAACATGCGCAGTTACTGTTTTTTTGTACTTAAACATTTTCCGGTGACAAATTTTAGTCTGGCTCTATGCCAAAATTATAGTTGTAACCTCGTATTCACAAGATGGGATTCACACCATTTTATAATTTCGGACTTTATTTCCCTTTAAAAAAAAAATCCTCCAGAGCCACAAATCTGAAAAAGAAAATGTAATACTCTGCAAAAAAATGTTTGAGACATGTTAAAATAATAAAAGAAGAATATTCTTATTTATTTGGGGATGAGAAAAAAAAACTTTAAAATGTGGTGCGGTCGGAATCGAACCCGAGTCATCCCGCTTACTAGAGCCTTTGCTTAACCACTACACCAAACGTGCTACACAACTTTTGGTGGGAATTTAATACATCTTATAATTCAGCCCTATCTTAAAGAGTACAGTGCCCTCTGTTGATATGGATTGCCGCCGGCAAACCTTTAGTAAACGTTAGTTTGCCGTCAGTACCTCCGGCAAAATCTAAAGTATTTGGTTTGGATCATCTTTTTGAGTGTTTCCCTATCCAGTTCAGAAAGAATGTAGGCCTAGACTTAGCCCCACTAGTGTGGCCGTCGGTATGCTGCGCTTTGGTTCAGCGCAGCATACCGACGGCCACACTAGTGGGGCTAGCCCAGACAGGGCTCTGGAGTGCTCTGAAACGTGCAAAAGTAAATGAGGCCCACTTTACTCGCAGTTTATCCAGCAAATTTCTCAAAAAATTCTACTGGGGCAAAGAAAATGTCCTCAGTATTTCACCAACCAAGTTTGCAGACTGAATTCAATTTTTAAAGAAGACTTTTCTTCAATATTTTGCACATGAGATGGAAGTCAAGTGATTTCTAAATGGGGCTAAATACTAGACTGGTACATGTCCTAACATGGTCCAACTATTTGAAAAGACTGACTTCTTTTCGGTGTCAATAGTCTGGTGGCTTGACTATGGAGAAATGTGTAGTAAATTGAGACTAGTTCCCGCTTCATGCCACATGTTTCTTAAACTCTTTTGGCATGGTTGATTGATGTAGTACTGAAGTTGTGATGGACTGGTTGTTTTAAGTGCCAGTCTATTTTCTTGTTTTGCATGTTTTCAATACCTTAAGCGTTGGGACTCTCATACACAGTATTGAGAGTCCCAAATTTTCAGACTAGGGCTAGCCTAGACTGTGTAAATTTACGGTATGAAGAGTTGAGTGCAGTTTCTAACAAAACTGGAAATGTTTCTCAGTCCCAGATTTATGTCTTTTCATCATTTTTGCAATGACTGACCTTCATCATTTGAGATGTGAAGAAAAAGCAGCGTCAGGTCGCAACATTCTTTCCCATTCATTCCTCAAATTCAAACTTGTTTTTTTTTAAATAACAGAAAAGATTGAACGTTACTGTGTTCAGGAAGTAGGCATAGCCGCCCTAGTATAGCAATTTTTCATTAGGCCCCCTACTCCTTTTTCTAATTTAATTCTTATTCAAAAGAAAATCTTTCGTTAAATCTGAATAAATGTATCATAGCCTACACTGCATAAAAAAAAATCAAACACAAACCAAGGAGCAACTATAGAATGCAGGGCCACGCCGAAGCAAGGTTTTTTGTTTTGCCTGGAGGCGTGGATGGAATAGGAGTAATAGATATGCAAACCTGCAAAAAAGTGCTAAGTACAGCGAAGGAATGCACTGCACTTGTCTTCTAAGCTTCTCATGAAGGATCGGAAGGGAGGGCGTGCTTGTAAATGTTTTGGGGGCACTGTCTGGAGCGGCGGAGGCGCGGAGTCTTGGAGTCGCAGAATCGCGGAGACGCGGGGCACTGGAGTGGCTAGTGGCGGAGGCGCGGAGTCGCGGAGTCGAGTCGCAGAGACTCGCGCCGATAGAGGGCGCAATTCTCGGCGGAATTTTTTTGAGAACGAAGCATCCATATCCATTTTAAATGGGCGGGCCAATTAGGAAGGGAGGAGGGCGACAGGGCACTGTCTGGAGCGGCGGAGGCGCGGAGTCTTGGAGTCGCAGAATCGCTTTAAATGGGCGGGCCAATTAGGAAGGGAGGAGGGCGACGGGGCACTGTCTGGAGCGGCGGAGGCGCGGAGTCTTGGAGTCGCAGAATCGCGGGGCACTATACACTGGAGTGTTAGTGGCGGAGGCGCGGGCGCGGAGTCGCAGAGACGCGCACCGATAGAGGGCGCAATTCTCTGCGTGACGCGGGGCACTATACACTGGTGGCGGAGGCGCGGAGTCGCGGAGTCGCAGAGACACGCACCGATAGAGGGCACAATTCTCTGCGTGACGCGGGGCACTATACACTGGTGGCGGAGGCGCGGAGTCGCGGAGTCGCAGAGACACGCACCGATAGAGGGCGCAATTCTCTGCGTGACGCGGGGCACTATACACTGGTGGCGGAGGCGCGGAGTCGCGGAGTCGGAGAGACACGCACTGATAGAGGGCGCAATTCTCTGCGGCTCCACGACTCCACGATCGATTTTCGGAGGTAGGTCGACTGCGGTTCCACGCCTCCACGCAGCCGTACGGAGGCGCGGATGTAGAGTGAAGTGGCCCTGCATTCTATAGTTGTACCCAAACCAAACAACTGAGGATCAACCAGCCTCCATCCAATCCTTTTGTCGAACTTGAGCAAGTAGTAAAGTGTTTTAATATCACAACTGGTGAAGGCAAACAACACGTGTGACGTGTACGTGTACGGTACACGTTCGGTTTAGGCCCACGAACTTTTTGGTCGAAATCTCGTCGCAGAAAAAGGGGCTAAAAAAGAAATCTACTACGCTCTACACTGTCAAAAAGTGGCACAAACATTACGAAATTGATCCAGACAAATTTATGTACATGAAGAAAGTGGAGACAAACGGGTACAACTTACGAGAAATGGCAATTTCCGCTCCGGTCATAGTGCCGCGGACGTCGTTGGCAGTCTCAGCTGTGCTGGTCGCCATTTTGAATGATCCAAAATTGGGATTGCACGACAATCACGAAGTTCTTGCGGACACGTAGCAATGTGGGAATTAAATTCGGCAATACAAATCAAACGCGTTGTTTATGCTAAATTTATATTTGTTTATATAACTCAAAATAAAGTTTATGGCCACTCCAAAATTTCAAAGATGAGATCATTATATGTTAATTTGTAGGTCGTATCTTTCTGAGCAGGAGCTGATGTATTTTTTTCTTCAGAAAAGCGAGAAATTTGAAATAAATCTGCCCAAACCCAAAACCAAATTTTCTCCCCTTTAATTTCCCCCAAATTCTCCAAGGTAAATTTCACCACACTTTTTTTAATGCTTGAGTCACAAAAAATATATATACTTGCGTGGAGTCCGCGATCGGAAATTTCTATTTTATGGAGAAAACTTTTCCAATCCCTACTTTCAAATGGCTTTCCGTATCATCAGGGGATCAGAGTAAATAACCCCCTCCCGACATCCTACCCAACCCCGCCCCTAACTCACGTGACAGAGGGCGCTCTTGCAAAATATTAATAGTGGCATATCATGCACAAACGTCGGGAACAGAAATATTTCGTTCCCGACTTTATCTCAAATGTATATTTCATTATTGAACTATGAAAAACAGCGGATTCTCAGAATTGATTAAAATAATTGAAGCTTATCGAAGACAGGCTAGGACAATTAAATGATTGATACCAAAAACTAATGATCATTTTGTTCACAGTTCATCGAAATGGTTTATTTCATATAAATGCATGTCGGACACTTCGCCCATTCACACATTTCCACTTCGCCCCATGTCACTTCGCCCCTAACCACTTCGCCCCATCCCCACTTCGCCCCATTCCCCCTTCGCCCCATCCCCGCTTCGCCTCATCCCCGCTTCGCCCCATCCCCGCTTCGCCCCCACTGATCTCTATATAAAGACTGGATAGCGGATATGCATACAACATTCACACAGTAGACTTTGCATATTGACCAATTCGCCCCGGTCTCACGAAGATGGCCGCGTATAATACGAACGTTCTACGCGTAAATACGCGCGCGTTGTATCAACAGTTGACGCGCATTTTGGTCACGTACACATATTATGATGTTCTAAAAGGGACACATTTCCGTTGTGATTATTATTTCAAAACGCCGAAAAAGTTATATTTGCGTCATTTTAGTAACCACGACGTTAAAAAAAATGTAGTTAACCTTGGTCAGTGATGGTGGTCAAAATATAAGTCAAGTGAACCGCGACGTTACAAAAGAAATCATGCTGTCTATAAAAACGATAACTTGTCCTTTGTAGATCACCAGCCGGTCTCACCAATATGGCGTCAAATTCGTACATTGTGCGGCTCTGTATTAGCTATCCAGTCTTTATATAGAGATCAGTGTTCGCCCCATTCCCACTTCGCCCCATGAACAAATGTACATGTAGTATGAAAAAGGTGAAGGCTAGGGGTGCAGACCAGTAAATAAACTGCCAAAGACCCCCAATAATAAATGCTCCCAATTCTAGAAACTCAGGAAAATAAAAACTCTCTGATGAGGTGTTCGAGACACAGGGACCGAGACACTCATCAACTTTTTTTCCTTATTTCATCATCTTTAATTTTCTGTTCAATTTTGCCGGAAACAGAATGCTGCGGACTCGTACGGTTGATTTCTTATGCATTTTTAAATATTAAAAGTGTCACAATTTAATTGCCTATACCGGATGACGTCATCATGACGTCATCATCACACAATGTTGTTTGAATTAGGGTCTTCGCTTGAACAAAGAGTGTTGTAAATGAATTACTGGCAAACAGTCGACAATGCCCTTTGAAAATCGACAATTTTTTCTTAATTTCTGTGTACAAAGTCTATGGGCAAAATTAAATATTCAAAATCTATAATAAATTAGTCGATGACGTCACCATGACGTCAATCTGATTGTCATATTATGACATCATGAATATTTAATGAGGCAATATTTACAGTCCTATAACTATAGAACCATTTGACCGATTGATCTCAAACCTGGCAGGTATACAGACTGGGAAGTGTTACAGATAAATATTGGTATGTCCGGGTCATGTGACCTCTACTTCCGGTGTTACCGGAAGAGTTCATTTAATACCCTAAATAGCATATCTAATGAATTAGAAATTTAATTGGGTTGACAACTTATATTAGTATTAAGCAGCATTAAAGGATAAATATGTAGCATTATTATTAATGGGCAGTTTAATAATGTTTTCATGTTATGACGTCATGAATATTTAATGAGGCAATCTTTATAGTCATTTAACTTTAAAACTATTCGACCGATTGATCTCAAACTTGGTAAATATATAGACAGGGAAGTGTTATGAATGAAAATGTATATGTCAAGGTCTCGTGACCCTTACTTACGGTTTTTACTAGAAGTGCAATTATGTAAGATTATAATTTCAATTTTAAAAGTTAGAGGTTTTGGAAAAAATCATTACATTATTTTCTACTATCCAATAGACAATCAAAAACAAGTTGGGAACCGCTCTGTGGTTGTTCAGTTACAACCACATCTAGTTTCTTCTTATTTTGTTTTCAGAAATGAAGAGTGTCGTGACACCATCCAAGACATCAAGTTCCTTCTGGTCTGTTTTTGTGCAGTTCGTCCAGTGAGTCTGTCCCATTAACCCTGCCCTGTCATCTCATTTCATTCCTTAGTGTGTTCAGTTCATTCCACATTCACTCCAACATTTCATCTCCTAAATATCATATGAATAAAAGTTGTTACATGTGAGCTGAAGTTGTTATATGTGAGCTGAAGTTGTTATATGTGAACTGAAGTTGTTATATGTGAGCTGAAGTTGTTTTTTGTGAGCTAAACGTGTTCTGTGTTAAAGCTATTTTGTTTTAAAGTTACAAAGCTGAAGTTGATTGCCAATTCAAAGGCAAAGATTACTTGCTGAAGTTGATTGCCAATTCTAAGGCAAAGATTACTTGCTGAAGTTGATTGCCAGATCAAAGGCAAAGATTACTTGCTGAAGTTGATTGCGAATTCAAAGGCAAAGATTACTTGCTGAAGTTGATTGCGAATTCAAAGGCAAAGATTACTTGCTGAAGTTGATTGCCAATTCAAAGACAAAGATTACTTGCTGAAGTTGATTGCCAATTCAAAGGTAGATTACTTGCTGAAGTTGATTGCCAATTCAAAGGCAAAGATAACTTGCTGAAGTTGATTGCCAATTCTAAGGCAAAGATTACTTGCTGAAGTTGATTGCCAGATCAAAGGCAAAGATTACTTGCTGAAGTTGATTGCGAATTCAAAGGCAAAGATTACTTGCTGAAGTTGAGTGCGAATTCAAAGGCAAAGATTACTTGCTGAAGTTGATTGCCAATTCAAAGGCAACGATTACTTTCTGAAGTTGATTGCGAATTCAAAGGCAAAGATTACTTGCTGAAGTTGATTGCGAATTCAAAGGCAAAGATTACTTGCTGAAGTTGATTGCGAATTCAAAGGCAAAGATTACTTGCTGAAGTTGGTTGCCAATTCAAAGGCAACGAAGGCTTTCTGAAGCTGATTGTCAATTCTGAGCTAAAGATTACAAAACTGAAGTTGATTGTCAATTTGTAGCCAAAGATGACAAAGTTGAAGTCAGTTCATAACTTCAACGGGTGTTTGGAAGAAGTGGGCAGCACAACTAGTTTTACCTAGTGCTGTAGTTCTACTGAAGAATATTAATAATTGGGAGACCAGGTCCAATAAGAAGAATCCCTTGAAATAAACTGACACCAATAAACAAACCAATTATAAGTATGCAAGGTTAATGAAGCACACACACAAGTTGTTTAATAAGAAGCATACATCAGGTCACTTGAGAAGTAGTTTGCTAAACTAGTCTTTTCATGTTACTTTATTCCAGGAATAATAAGAAAGCTTGGAAGTATTTCAAATCTGATAATGACAACTTCACAAAACCTAATAATGACATGGTCATAAAAAATTATTACAATAGATAATCAAAATGTTCCGTAAGTTCTGCGCTCTGTAATATTATTGCTTCTATGTAAAAAAAAGGGATCGGTGACGCCATGAACAGTTCGCGCGCCCTCTAGCGGCAGGTTAAAAAAGTCCAAAACGCATTTTCAGTGGATGTCTTTGGCGAAATTTGTGGTAATCGCCTCAAAATGAATATACATGATAACCTTAATGCAGACAAGACCTGTGCGCGAGAAATTGATTACGTCATCAGACCGGAAGTTAGAAGGAAAAGACCTCGTTTCCTTTGAAAATTCCTGGAAAATCAACCCCGAGGGATTTAATCTCGACTTGTCGGTTAAATGGCAGATTAGAAATAGGTCTAAAACTTCTTCATGTTTCGTGGCAATAAGTGAACTTTGAGATTTCCTGCAGCCCCCTTGAAAAGTTGACAACGCCTTCGTCTTGAAACGTTTGTTCCGGACAGAAAAAATTATGAATGAACGTTTGTTTACATTCCTTGCAAATGCCGATGGAGGGCGCTCTCTCAGTAACCAAGTAATGTTGAAAATCAATATATAATCAACTGTTACAGATTTGATTCTGATTTTTATGACAATCGATACAATATTGCAGGGTCTTCATGTTTGGTATTAAGTGCAAAATTACATGACCCTTCCTTCTGGTCGAAACCGGAAGTGCCTTATTATTTGAAATTGGCAGAAGATGCGAACTTGATTTTAACGATGTGAGTGTCTGCCTAGGCAGCACTGTACAAAAATGTTACAGGTGACGTCATCAAATGTTAGAGCGCCCTCTGGTGGCATATTGAAAAGTCAAACATGGATTTAAACATGCATATTTTGAGTTGATGTGTGTGGCAAAGTTTGCGGTAATCCATGGCCCAACACCGTGTGGTTGTTCCTACAACCTCTAGTATTAAATAGTATTTTTAATAATGCTTGGTTTGACGAGAATAAGCATTACAAAATAATGGAGCCCGATAGTCTTTTAAATGAGCAACTTTGAAGACGAGTTTGAAATAGTATTTTTTAAAATTGTCCATGATTGAATTTTTACAGACACAGCGAGCTATAGCTAGCTCCATGGTTGAGGGGGACTGGAAAGAAAATGCTCATTCGATTGACACCAAGCAGATATCAGTCAATGATTTTCGCAGCAGCAATTAGTGAATCTTTTGGGATTGTTGTTATGCCAATAAAATAGATGAGATTTTTTTTTTTTACATGTAACGGCTGGGGCGAAGTGGGGATGGGGCGAAAAGGGGATGGGACGAAGTGGGGATGGGGCGAAGTGGGGATGGGGCGAAGTGGGAATGGGGCGAAGTAGGGATGGGGCCGGTGGGGATGGGGCGAAGTGGTTAGGGGCGAAGTGACATGGGGCGAAGTGGAAATGGGGCGAAGCGTCCGACACCCATATAAATAATACGTGATAAATGTTGGCGGCCACCACTGTGTAATGCTTTGCGGAAAATGTTTGTCTCAAACTCTGTGAAAACCTTAACCTTCAAATAGGACCTAATTCTTACAAGGAAGCAAGACAAAATACCTGTCAATTTTGTTTATTTCTTTACTTCTGCAACGCATTTGTATCTCGGGTGCCCATAATAAAATGCGTGACATTTGGTTTAGTTCAACTTGGCGAAGTTCAAACGACTTGACTCTAAGGTCAACAGAGGGCGCTATTCACAATTTCTGACCATACAAATTGAGACATTTTATTACTTTGCATTCAATGTAAAAAAAAAAAATGTAAAAAAAACCCAGTAGTTGATTCGTTTGGTTAAATATTACTTGTTTAGGTAATTGTCAAAGATCAGTTACTAGCGACACCAAAGACCAGAAAATCTCACCATATTACTGTCTAAAAACAAATATTGAATAAAACAACATTAACAAATGCCCTATGATCCCTTTCAAAATGTTGAGGCCCAGTACTGATACCAAGTGTAGGAGAAAAAAAGGAAAAGGATGAATTTTCAAAAGGGTGACTATAATGAGAATAAAGGTGTGAACAGAATCATCCCCAGAGGAAGTTTATCTAAATAAACATAAGAATAACTAGAATGTACAAGTAAAACACACTAAAAGTTGTAATTTTGATAAAAAATATACATTTACTTTCTCAATTTACAACGTATTTCACTTTTTTTTGCATATCGGTACCAATTTCCATTGGTTCTGTCTTCAGACTTTTTCTTCTCTGAGAAATTAATTTCAGGCTCAGCTTAATTTTTTTCCCCTAAAAGTTTAAAAGAAATGACAACTGATTGGCTACTCGGACACCATGTTATCCTGAATTGTGTTCTAATTGGTGGATGGACAGAGTCTCAGAACCTAAGGCTATAAAACAGGCAATATGATTGGCTTATCTGACATCACGTGACGTAAATGGTTGCTCTGGATTGGCTTAAAAGTTATAACATGTTCCCACCACCATACAAAATATGGAAGCTCATGCCAGATAGTTGCACATTGTTGATGTAAAAAAAAATTGATTTACAAAAGTTAAGAAACATTTCAAATTAATAAAAAAACAATAGTTCAAACAGTTGACTTTTAAAATGCGCAAATAAAAAAAGCTTAATGGTAAATGGTTTTTAAAAAATAATTTACAATATGAAACATACTTAACTTTTTGTACAATGTCCATGTATTGTTCGCAAGTTTCAAAAAGCTCCAAAAAGCTCCAAAAAGAATGGAGAAAAACTACTATCAGTGGGATAAACGTACATAAACAATTTCAATGCAATTTGTTTTTCACTTGAACTTGTATTTGCAATAATGTCGTTAGAAGGTTCAACTTCGTGGGTAAAAATGTTACGACATAACAGGCACTTTATTGTAGTTCAACTGTTTTGAAAATTTTGGGGGATTTTTTGGCATCATTATCATATTTTATTTTTCAACAGGGTTTTCTCAAGTAAGTTCTCTCCAGAGATTGAAGACTATCACAGAAAACCACTGTGGTTTGGTATTTTAACCAGTAGATCACAAATGTCAAGAAATTTTAAGTGGTACTTCGAAGAAGAAATATAGAAATCCAAAAACTTTTGGGTGAAAGGGATACTTAACATCCAAGGAGAAAATAAAAATGCAAAAGGTGGATGTTTCCTGGCACTTGCGTCTTGTCAAAATCTGATTTCCCGTCCTTACACAGAAGTCTATTAAGAGCAAATACTATCTGAATATTTCAAAAGATCTTTTTTTTCTTACAAAAACTGGCATATTTTTTGGCAAAGACTTCAAAAATCTGTGAACGGAAAAGCATTTTAAGTTCATCAAAGCCTTTTTAAAAATTACATCTGCATAACAAATGAGCTACAAAAAATCATAACATTTTAAATGGGGTGCCTGTCCTATTCTTTCTTGGGCGAGCTTCGGAGTAAATACCATTCCGTTTTGCTGTGTTGATTATTTAAATGCCTCTTTATAACTGGTTTTAGGGGGAGCACCCCTTACAGGGGAAGCTCAATCCTTTCAAGTCTTAAACTATAAAAAAGTAATCAACAATTTACTATTTACAAAAAAAGTAACAATTAATTTTTTTTTAATATGGCACTTTGATGCGAGGGGAGCTCCACCTATTCACATTCTTGGATGAAGTAAATCCTCCTTGTTTTGTTTAAATATCACAGAGTCAGTTCTCGTAATTATTACAAAATGATCAGGGGAGCCCCTCATATTTACAAATGGAACTTGAAGCAGTCCAATTCAATGCACTACACCCATCGAGTCATCTGGGACAGATAATACAGGAAACTTTGTGGCAAGTGGGCGTGGAGGGAGGGGGGGGTGGGAGGGGATCTCGACCTATTTCTGTCCGGGGTATTTCATCTTGGACCTCTTCATGCCAAAGCTGATTCAGATGACCATTTCGTTGGAGAGGATTGTAGGCCGTAGGTTTTCCTGCTGCTTCCGCCGCAGACTGCGTCGGATCCCGTCCGCCCTTCTGTAAGGCTCATTTTTCAAATCTGCAAACAAAAAGGACAGAAAACCCTCAAAACTTAGACCCGACGTTAATAAAACAGAGGATAACTCTCACAAATCAATGCACAAGACTTAGCCAGTTCGCGCCGGGGGACGTGTATACACGCAAAAGTTTTCTGAAAGTCAAATTGGATGACTGATAAACCTGCAACAAGCGAGGCCGGAAATATCTGTCAGCGATCCGCTCTCAGCAAGCGAGGCCAGAAAGATCAGGGTGTGCTACACGCAGATCATGGCCTGAACCCGTCTGGCATCGAGGTTCGTGAAAAATATTCCCGCGCCTGCGTCTGGTCGCTGTCAAAATAAACCCGGCGTGAACTGGTTACTGACCGTGTCCTTGAGCAGGATACTTTGTCACAATTGTTTGGTGACAGCACAGACAGCATAGACATACATGAATACTTTTCATATGTGTGGATTTTTGTTGTCACCCTGTTAGCAAAAAAGAGCATCATGCAATCAAACATGAGTTTTGGCGTCTTAAAGAAAAAGGGTTTTGTACCTGAGATGATATTTTCTATGGCTCCGTCCGAAGCTTCTCGCCTCTTGTCCTGGTGGTTCCTGTGTTTCTTCTGCAGCTCAAGCACCATGGCGTCCTGCCGATAACAAATATAAAAGAACAATCAAGGATGAGATTTGAAAACCAGTAATTCAAAGAAACATTTGTGATGAATAGTTAAACTGACTGCAGGCCATAAATTAGAAGTATGCTCGTAGCTGGGAAATTTTCTTTGTGAATGAGACTGCACCTTTAACGGATGAGTACTGTAAAGCTAGACTGCTTTCAAGACGACTGCCAGCTTCTTAGAGACTAATCAAGAAGCCACACCCATGTTAAAGATGCATTCCCTGTGATATTTTCACCTCAAAAATAGATTTGTTTTTATCGATTGCTTTTTCCTAAGAAATATACAAGTTATTCACTTTTGAATGAGACATCTACCGAAAAACATCCACCGATATTGATTATTTCCCACAAATAATGGAATTATTGGCTACCGGACAATAATTCGGCTCTCGCAGGGTGATTAATTTGTGCGCAAAATGACCTTCCTTTTTCAGAGGGTTGCCGACACCCAAAAATCGGAATAAAGTGGGGCTTTTTTTTGTTAGAACAATACATACAAATTGAAAAGTTGTTAAGAGAAAAAAATCCATTCTTCAAAGAGCACAAAGCATCCATCTTTAAAGCTATAGTTCATCATTTGCAGCCATCCGAAAAAGTAACTGGTGTAACTATTGTTGAAAAACATACTTGGTTGAAAGATAGTAAGTGGACTAAACTCCCTGTGAAATTAATCTTTCTGGCAAGCTATCATTTTGAAGTAATCAACGAAAGAAGGCCTTTCCAACGGTGCGTCTTAAGACGCACCGTAGGAAAATTTAAATTAGTAGTTCGTTTTGTTATTCGGCGCAGCGCTCGCAAGCATTGGCACGACGCACAGGCGCGCGCGGTTGCTATAATTCGTCGGATCAGTGCGCGACATCGCGTATAGCTGCAATTCAAAACAATTCAAAACATGATTCAGCAACTTTTGATTTGAAATTGAGATCCTAGAATGCTGTTTTTCTCGGAATATACAGCTGAAGCTGAGCTGAAACTTCATCAGGTTAGTTGCTCAGTATCCTTCATTAGATTTTGAACACTTTTGTTGCTTCAAACGAACAAAATGCACAAATTACAAATGATGGACTATATCTTTAAGCAATTTGTGAAATACCTCGGCAATGGAAGTGGCATTGAGCATGTGTGTATGACCTGTGCACAAATATGGCATACAGTACACTTAAATAATTGGTTTTGTGGCCAAATGGATTTATGACGAGTTAGTTTTTATAATCAGAGGGGGACAGAACAAACAGCGCCCTCTAGCGGTCTGTCTCATACCTGATTGACCTTTTTCTGATCTTTCTGCTTGCGAGACTTCTTGGCCGCCTCAATGTTTGCGGCTGTCTCCAAAGCAGCCTCCTACATTGTGGAATAAAGAAAACAATTGGCATAAATAAACATTCTGATCACATACTTATAACCCTCAATTTCCCTTTCAGATTTGAACAAAACCAAAAAATCAAAATGACATTTGTGACCGGCTCCACAAAAAAGGGTATTATGTCGCAAAAAAGAAATTGAGTTATATACATGTTTGGAAAGCCCAAAATGTAAGCTTTCATTTGGTATATAATAGAGCTCCATAGCCCCTCCCATTCTGAAGATATGACGTATTTGTATTGATTAAATCCTTGGAGTTCAAATTACACAACTGAGAAAACAGGCTTTGAAATAGCTGGCTTTGTTGTAGAACAACAGAACGACGCACACAAAATGGTTGGTTTTTCCCACTTTATTCATCAGAATCAACTTTTCCGTGAATGAAACCTGAAACTGTAGGTATTAAAGATGTCGTTCATGACAAAAAATGAAAATCATATTTTGACAAAATTTTCACCTTCTCAATGTTGAGTGGGCCATTACACAATAATGCTCAGCACGACTTAATACCCTTTTTTGTGGAGCCGGTCACATTTATGATGTTACAAACAGCTCACAAAATGTAACTCTTCAGAATCAACTTTTCTGTGAATGAAACCTGAAACTGTAGGTATTAAAGATGTCATTCATGACAAAAAATGAAAATCATATTTTGACAAAATTTTTCACCCTCTTAATGTTGAGAGGGTCATTACACAATAATGCTCAGCGCGACTTAATGCCCTTTTTTGTGGAGCCGGTCACATTTATGTTGTTAAAAACAGCTAACAAAATGTAACTTATGAACAGTTGTCTCATGTAAAAGTAAAGTTACACCAAAGACTGACAAGAAACCACCCCCCCCCCCAAAAAAAAAACATTAATGAATTATTAACTATATAATTTCAAGTAAGTATTTCTTGTTTTGAAGTGTGGTTGCCATTTTACCTTTTGCTTTTTCCGATGCTCGTTATCTGCTTCCGCTTTCTGTAATGAAATCACAAAATAAATGACTTTTAAATCTTGCAATGATTTCCAAAAATAAATCTCAATGTAAAATTTGGACTCGAACTCTCCAACTCTCCACAACTAAATCCTGCATTTTCACCATCCCTGACAATTATGCAATTTTGACGACAGGGACAATGAAGATTTACCTTGTAAGCGTTGACAAAACGCTGGAAGAGGGAGAAGAACGTGCTGGGCGGGCACATCTTGGGGTTTTCGCCGTAGTAACCGACCGCTTCATTGTAGGCCTCCTAGCAACAAGAACATAGCAACCATTCCAAAGAACCAATCAGACACTTCCTTTTTTTAAATTTGATTCAAAATTATATTTCATGAATTCCTGCTTTTTACATTTATTTAAATAATCTTAACAAATAATTTCAAAATTAGAATCCAGCCTTTTTCTCAAACCTGCTTAACAGAATAAAATATTGCTTAGGAGTTTTTAACCGAAAAAATACTGCTTCGAAGTTCCGGTGTCACATGAAAATCAGACTTCTATGAAAATCAGACTCCTTCACCCTTTTATTGGTTAAACCCTCTCACATGACCGGTCGTTCTCCTAATTATCTTCGCTAAGGAATGCGCAATACTACCAATGAGTCCGTATTTCATGGAAACCCAAGTTCACACTACACCGGCAACCATGGTCTGCATATTATACAATTGGTTCAATGCCACAAATCTGCTGAGTTAGTAAACATTCTTAGCGTATTTACGAATTCAATTCGATAACTTAGTTTCAGGGGTGCCACTCCCAAAAAATAGTACGGAGAGCATATGTTCACCTCTGCTTTCTTCATGTCGCTGTCGACCTTCTTGACTTTGTCTTCGTTTGCCAGGAGGAAATCTCTCAGGATCGAGTTGTCGTGCTGCTGGGCAAACTCTCGCTTGCTGAGCTGGATGCCCGACGTCAACTGCCTGATATCTATCACCAGGTTCTCCAACGAAACTACGGAGATTATGAAAAGACTGGAATTTTTAAGGGTCTGAAAGTAATTTGCAAACTAAAAACGAGTCTTTAAAAGTTGGACAGCTGAATGGGAGCTGAGTGCAGTTAACTCATGCCTATCCTAGTGACACAAAGATGGTCGGCCGACCACTGTTGGAAATTGATGCAACGCTTTCGCTTTTCTCAAAAATAGCAGCACAACAGATGCCATGATTTCACAGGATGCTTGGGACTATTGTTCTCTTACAGTCAAGTAAGGTACTTCGTAACAGTTTGGTAGTTTTTTTTTCTGAAGTTTGTAAATGTTGTATATTACCTTTAAAGGGAATATACAACATTTGCAAACATCGAAAAATAAAACTACCAAGTTTTTACGAAATACCTTACAAGGATGTTGGTAAATGACAGTCTAAAGCATCCTGTAAAATTATGGCACCTGGTGTGAAGTCATTTTCAATAAAATGGTATTTTTGTATACATTTCCAACAATGGTCGACCGACCACCGTTG